ACGGCCGACGCTCAAGATTCGCGTTTCGAGCGTGACGCCAAATTCTGCGGAGCTCCCCGAGAGCGAATTGACTAGTTCAAGGGAGTACCGTGTCACGATACCTTTCAAGACCAAGCTTGTGCGGGATGGCGTTCAGTTTGTTGGCGTTGATGCTGGAGATCTTCGATATCCGCATGCCTATACTCGACATTCCATCGAGCCAGGCACTGCTTCTTGTATCTTTCCCTGCATCGACGACCCCGGCACGCTTCCGACGTGGACGATGGCCGTCAAATGTCCGAGGACGCTGGGTGATGCACTTTGGCAACCACTGGCTACCCAACACAGGAATGGTAATGCCAATGGCAACCGCGATCGCGGGGCAAACCAGTCCAAGGCTGACAGAGACTTCGCCCTTACCGAGGAAGACAAGCTTCTAGAGATGACAGTCGTGTGCTCTGGCATTCTGTCAGACGAGATCGTCGATCCTGAAGACGAGCAGAAGAAGATTATGACTTTCGAGATGGAGAAGCGAGTTGCCGTGCAGAAAATCGGCTTCGCGGTCGGTCCGTTCGAGCACGTTGACTTATTCTCAGATTTTCGCACGGAAGAGAACGACGAGAAACTCGGAGCTAGCGCGCTCAAGATTCACGGCTACTGCCTCCCGGGAAGAGCTGCAGAGGTCCAGAACACGTGTGCAGCGCTCGCCGCGGCTGCTGACTTCTTCACCCTCACATTTGCTCGATATCCGTTCGACAACTACAAGATGTGCTTTCTCGATGACATGGTAGAGGATACGGTAGCCCTCCAATCACTGTCCTTCGTTAGCACCCGCCTACTGTTCCCCGAGGACATCATCGACCTAGAGGTAGACGTCACAAGGCAATTGGTGTACAGCCTGGCCTCGCAGTGGAGTGGGATCAACCTTTTCCCCAATACTCGCAGAGATCTTTGGGTCGTCATCGGCATCGCCTACTACATGACTGATCTTTTCCTGAAGAAACTATGCGGCAACAACGACTACAGGTTCCGGATGAAGACAATGTCAGACAAGCTGGTGACAGTTGATATCAAGCGGCCGTCACTGCACGAACTTGGCCATCTCCTGCACATTGGAGATTTCGAGATGGAATTCATGGCACTCAAGGCGCCCTTGGTGCTCTTCATTCTCGACAAGCGGTTGATGAAAGCACCTGCCCAGACCAACCTCACGCGCATCATTTCCCGAATTCTTTACAAGGCCAACATCGGAGACAGACAGAGCGAATGGATTATCAACACGGAGTCGTTTCAGAGGGTTTGCGAAAAGAATGCCAGGAACAAACTGGAGGCGTTCTGGAATCAATGGGTTTACGGCTCGGGCTGCCCCAGGTTCGACGTTTTTCAACGTTTCAACAAAAAGCGACTCTGTGTCGAGATGACTATAAGACAAGTTCAGGACAAAGCCCTGACTGAAGCTGAGCTCCTGAAGAAATCAGAATTTCTTCGCGCCATCAAGGAAAAGGCGCACGGTGTCAAGACAGACGAAAAGGCCGGTCTTTTTACAGGCCCCATGACCATCAGAATTCACGAAGCTGATGGAACACCTTACGAGCATATAGTGGAGATTCGCGAGGATGCTGCTAAGGCCGCTAAGTTCGAGATTCCTTACAACACCAAGTACAAGCGATTGAAGAGAAAGAGGAGAGCAACGGAAAAGCTTAGCGCACAGTCTGCTGCCGATCCTGACAATAACGAAGACGCGCTCTTATATTGCCTGGGTGACGTTCTGACCAACCCCGAAGATATGAGGAAGTGGGATTTCTCCGAATGGGAGCCCGAGATCGAAAAGGCCATGGACCAAGAGTCTTACGAGTGGATTCGGATGGACGCTGACTTTGAATGGGCTTGCGAGATGAAGACAAATCTCCAGAGCTACATGTACGTGTCCCAGCTCCAGCAAGATAGGGACGTCGTGGCGCAGCAGGATTCGATGCTTTATCTCAAGAAGAGTCCGCCTCATCCACTGGTCTCGACGTTCCTCACCAGGACCCTTGTCGACCGGCGATACTTCCACGGCATCAGGACAATGGCTGCAGAGATGCTATATCACCACGCCGCGGATAAGGTCTCAATGGCTGGTATGACCCATCTACTGAAAGCCTTCACCGAGATGTTTTGCTATGCCGATACCTCCATGCCTCGGCCAAACGACTTTTCCGACAAGAAGCAGTACACCGTGCAGAGCGCACTGCCTATGGCCATTGCAAAGATTCGCGATGCTAGCGGTAGATGTCCCGAAGCCGCACGACGGTTCCTTCTGAATCAAGTTCAGTTCAACAACAATGCCAATAACCCGTACTCGGACCATTTCTACGTTGCCAAGCTTCTGGAGGCTCTCGCCCATAGCTTGATTCCAGAGAAGCGACGGGAGTCAGACGATGCCATGGAGGTGGACATGTCAGCCGAAGAGAGAGGTTTCCTTAAGGAGGCTATCGTCGAGATTGATCGCTTCCGTAGGATGGACGAATGGGCCAACTCTTACCAGAACATCTGGACGACCACCGCGCTCGAATGCAGACGCAAACTCATGAAAGCCGGAGTGATTCCCAAAAGTGCTGTGGCCTTTGTCCAGTACTTGCAGGATGACACGTGCGACTTGGTTCGACTCAAGGCTTTCGAGGCTCTGGTGGATCTGGGTTATTTGATGGATCTGCCTGTCTTCCGCCTGATTCTTTCCGTTATGAGCACTGATCGGTCTCCATTCGTGCGGGATAAACTCGTCAAGATCTTCTGTACAGGTCTGGCTAGCCTCGCCTTTGGAGAGCAGTCGAAGGCCAAGGTGGCGCCTGCTGTTCCTGATGGAGGGCTCATGATTGTGGACAATACGGAAGCAGAGACGCAGAAGAGGCGAAAAGAATTTGCTCGAAAGCAGGATATCAACGTTGCACTCGAGGCTTTGAGGACAGAGATGGAAGAACAGTTTTCGGAGCAAGAAGCGGCACTGGAGCGAGCTTTCTGGAAGGCTATCAACTCTAACCTGATCGGGCGTTCTGAGAAGATCACGCTGCTGGAGCTTTGCGGCACCATAGTGGATGCTGCTGACCGATGGACGATTACTTTGAAGTATCCTAAACGATGGAGAGTTAATCGTCCTGTCCAGCGTCAACCTGGCAGAGTATGTTTTTCACTCGGAGTTGGCTATTCCGTCCTTAATTTTGCTAACAAACGCGCAGAACATCATCAACTTCAAGGCGTTCTTTAAGACGGGCATACCGCAAAAGATCAAAGAGCCCGAACCACCGGCGCCACTACCAGCACCGGTATCTGCACCCGCGCCTGCTCCTGTAGTTGCACCATCTCGGCCGCCCGAACCCAAACGACTCATCGTCAACATGAAGAGTGGTATTGCCAAACCCAGCAAGCCCACGGTCTCCCTTCCACGCCCCGCTCCCGCGGTCTCTCGCCCATCGCCGGTCTCTGCCGCACAGTCTCCCGTTCCAAGCGCCGCACCGTCCCCTGTCCCTCGGGAGGCAGACTCCATTGTCGCGCACTCGAATGCCAAGGCGTCTACTCCAAAGCCGTCATTCTCAAAGCTCCCCGGGTCAAGGCCGCCGAGTGTGAAGCCCGGTATCGTCAAGGCAGGTATCGCCAAATCTGTGGTATCTTCGGCGTCATCGTCATCGTCCATGCAGCCAAATGGCCGTTCTACTCCTCAACCCACACCCGAGCCCGGCAGCAGCAAATCGCAGAAGCGGCCTCGGCCCGACAAGATTCCGGGGGTTGATGAGGCATCGCCAGCTCTCAAGAAGGCGAAGCTTACTGTCCGGCCTGACGGCACTGTGGTTAAGAAGCGCAGGATGTTCAAGTTCCGGCATCCCAACCTCAGGAAGATCCTGAAGAAGGCCGGCGTCAAAAGCCAGATGCCCTACAGAGATCCGTCAAAGATTCGCAGACCTGGCACACCGTTGAGTGTTCGTGCCTCTCCCGCCGGATCACCAGCCCCTCCCCCATCTGAGAGCATCAATGCGAAGCCGGCTCGCAAACCTCTGCCTGGCGCACCGTCCGCGGCCAGTCCTCCTCCACCGGTTCCGGCATCTCTACCGCCGAAGCCTCCGCCGCAGGCATCACCACCTCCTGTTGAAGGTCAACCTGCCCCCAAGAAGGTCAAGCTTGTCATCAAGAAGCCTTCCAGCTCGCTGCCCAAATAAACAACCTCAAGCCGCTTACTCATGGGATGAGGCCAGAGATATGAGTCGCCGGCAGGAAATCCCACTGCGTCTCTTATCATGCCCTCAACTCACAAATTACCTCCTTTCTCCCATCTTCACAGTCATCTTATCATGCTTCCGAAACGGGGTTGCGTGAATTCACATTACATTTTAGGCGTTCTTCCAGGACTTGAGACAGCGGACGTTAGGCGGGATTATACATTATCATTACAACCAGGTCTTAGGGGAAGCGAAATGTGGCAAACCACACCGAGGGGTTCAAAAAGAATAGGGGCACGAGAAGAGGGTCGCGATGAGCGTCCCCAGCGTGCCGTGCTTTTTGTGTATTAGTAAAAAAAAGAAGCACTTTCGGAAGGGGAGAGAGAGGGACGAGGAGGAGGAAATAGCCAACCTCAAAGTCGTAATGATACCTCCCTCAGTCTAGTATGCTTCTTTATTTGCCCATAAGTCCTCTTGACGTATTCAAGCTCGAGACTGCATGTACTGCGAAAACTTCCTGAGCAGATGTCCGCCTCCGCTAGGCATGATATTCTCTTCCTGCTCGTCATATTTTCCCCACATGCTAAAGACGACGCATGTAAACAGTACAGAATGTTTTGATGTCTACAATCATGACAGAAAACGGGCATAGTGGCGGTTGCATGGCGGGCCGGTTCCGAGATGACCAGTTGAAGTGTAGGTATCCTCGCAACAGGGAATAAACCAGAGTCAAAAGTCTGACAGTCGTATATCGTATAATTTCACAACGAATACACGCGAGTTTAGTCCCTTTACTTTCACGACAGAAGAAACAAGGTGTAGAAGTCTACTGTGAAATTTGTATTTCTTGTTTGCAATGACTGTAGCTGGTTGTACACGCCCCACATCCTGACTGGATCGCGCCGTCTTTGATGATATTAGAGCTAATGGGATATTCTACAAAAGGAAGACACAACCGCTTCGAAAATAACTGAAAAAGGAAACGAAGGATGGAAAGGGGAGGCAACGTGAGCCACCCACCGATGTTAGCCGTAATCAAGTTGCTTCTGCCAATCCCGGATCTGGAGCCGCTGTCCCCTTCCTTCTTGGATTCACGCGCGTGATAGAACTTTCACCCTTGCCTCTGTCTTGCCCCAGTCCCATAAACGCCAGTCTTTTTGGTAGTTCCAAGTAGCAGGATAAGAAAGCAAAAAGCCTCGCCCTTGCGATGAAGAAAATTGAAAACCCCCGTGGACCCTATTCAAGATGTGCCGCGCTCTGTTGAGAAATGGTGGTATTAGAGAGAGCTATGCCGCGGACCGAATTAATGAGAGTGTCCATGGTCGTCGTGACTGTGACCGTTGCCGTGGTCATGGTCGTGTCCGTGACCTTCGTGGCTATGGGTAGACTGGCTGCGCAGACTTCCAGCAGCTGTAGACTCGGTACAGCAGCCACCTGCTTCGCAATTATCTACGCACTGCAACAGGCAAGTCTGCTTTGGCGAGCCAGCAATGGCAGTGCCATCGTATTGAGTAATGTGCTCGGGCTCAGTGACATTGTGGTGCTCGTCGTCACCGCAGAATTCGGGTTGGATGGTGGCCGCGTGAATACCGAAGCCGTGGAGACATCTGCGGGCCGACTTTGCAAGCTTCATGTACTTCTCGCCGTTCTCGGCGGAGATTGGGAAGTTGACATGGACGTGAAGAGAGGCAACAATCTTGGTATCGGAGAGTTGCCAGACGTGAACGTGGTGGCAGCTGATGACACCTTCCAACTTCTCAATGTCCTCGCGGATCTCTTGAAGGTCGATGTTGTCGGGGGTAGCCTGGAGAAGGACCTTGGAGGTCGCCTTCGTGAGGGGGATGGCGGACTTGAGGATAATGAGAGTAATGAACAGAGAGACAGCGGGATCGGCGTAGAAACGGCCAGGCCAATCGGTCAGCCAGATGATAAGAGCGGTGACAATCACACCGACGTTGCCAAGAGCATCACCAATGACGTGAAGAACCATGGCGTTCATTCCCATATCGCCGTGGTCATGGCCGTGGCCGCCAGAGGCCTTCTTGCGCTCCTTGTTGTGGTTGTGGTCGATGTGAAGGCTGGACTCGCGTCTCGAATGCTTGTGGGAGGATCGGCCACGGGAGTTCTCGATCATGTAGGAGTGGTCGTTGCCCTTAGACTTGAGCAGAGGCGACTGCTCATCAGGCTCGCCATCCTCGATGACAGTCTCCTCAACCTCGCTCTCACTCGTGGTCGATTCCTGTCCGTCACGCTGAGAACGGCTGGCGTCAATAATTTCCTGGCGGAAGCTCGAAGGATAGATGCTGATGTCCTCAATGCTAGTGAGACGCGAGTGGTTTCGCGAGCTGTTTCTTCGGTTCTGGCTCTTGGAGGTGGCCGATGTGCGGCTTTGGGCTCGGCCCGACGGGTCGGGCTCCCCATCGAAGCGAATGCGACGGGGCGTCTCAGGGTTGGCACCGGCGGAGGCTCTAGCGACGATGGCTTCGGGAAGAACATCGCCAACGTTGCCACCATCGTTGTCGGTAGCGTGCGAGACGTGGGCGCGGCCTTCCTCAGCGGCGTGTTCTGCAGAGTGGGGGTGATCGTGTCCGTGGTCGTGCTCGCCGTCGCCGTGATCGTGATCGTGGCCGCCGCCGTGGGAGTGGCCATGGCCGCCGAGGACAAAGAAGCCGACGAGGTTGGAGGCAAGGCCGAATGCACCAACAACGAGAATGAGGACGGGGTTTTCGATTTCGGGAGGGTCAAAGAATCGGGTAATGGCCTCGAGAATAATGGAGACGCAGAGGGCGATGAGGAAGACGGCGTTGAAGAAGGCGCCGAGAATCTCGGCCCGCAACCACTGCACACTCAAGTCAGCTCAACGTTGTCTTCGATCGAGTGGGAGAAGGATGACATACACCGTAGGAGTACTTATCGGTGGTGGCCTTTCTTGCAACGGCGACGGCCCAGAGCCCGACACAGAGAGAGATGATGTCGTTGAGCTACTTGAATTAGCGATACGTCACACGGGGCGCGGCAGGGTGGTATCGGGGCAAACGCACCATGTGGAAGGCATCGGCAGTCAGGGCCAGCGACTTGACAACCAAGCCAACAATCAACTCGACGAGGAAGAAGACGACATCGATGGCCAGCATGATGCTGATCCGCGTCGACTTGGACCACGCCATGATGTGCTATCGTCGATTGACCGCGGACGATGAAGGGAGAGGAAGAAAAGAGCTCTATAAGCCCTGGACTGTATTGGGTTGGCCCAGTGGGCAGGTTGTGGTAGAAGGTTACGTCGTTGTCGCTGTGGTCGCTTTTTGTCGCTGTCGCCCGTTGTTGGTTGAAGATGCGCGGATCGGGGGACAAGGGGGGGAGGGGAAAAAGAAGGAAAAGAGGGAAGGTGGAGGGGCGTTGCCGGAATGATATTTGAGTGTTGCTGCGCAGAAGTGGAAGGGTAAAAAAAGATTGAGTTTTGGGGGAGGGTGTGGTAGTGGAGAGTGGCAGAGTGAGGACGCGAGTTGAGTTTGGCGCTACGTTGTATCTTGACCTGACGGGGTGGGAATAATATCGCTCTCGCTCTGCATTGATTAATTGCCTGCTTGCTTGCTTGCTTTGCTTGTCGGTGCTCAGTGCCCACTGCTCTTGCTGCTGCAGCCACTCTCTGTCTTGTTCTCTTCTTTTCCAGATGATGTACGGGATGCCGATAATTAATTGGGATGGGTCACAGTCGAGGGGGGTTAAAGAGATGGAGAAAAATAAGCCGGGACGCGGTCGGACGCGGCGATGGCACAATGCGCAATCCAACAGCGAACGATTTGTAGATGGAAGTATCTAGGTATTGAGGTATTCCTAAGTTAGGTAGGTGGGTATCATGACGGAATGGGGATTTCCTTCTTTTTTTCACCCTTTCGTTGTAGATTGTCTCTCCTCTACCTCGCCTTATTAGGTGGTGTACGAAGTATCGATACGAATTTGAATGGAACCCATTTCTCTCCTCAACAGGCGAATAACACGTGCTTGCTGTTGGCTGCTCGCAGCACGCAAAAACCAAACAAATTAGATGGATGCAAAGGGACCAGGGGGCGACTCCAACTGAACGGGAAGGGGAAAGACTCAAAGAGCATGGGGCAAGGGGGGGCGAATGGCATCTCAGGGCACCGTCAACTCAGACAGAAACATCAGCTCTGCCTTAGTAAGGTAGAAGGGACACTTTCCAGGGAGGTCTAGAGATTTTAGGAGTGATGGAAGCAAAGAGAAAGGGGCTTTCCATGTTCGCGATTACCTTACCTTAATGTAAGGTAAGGTGAGATAGACTGCACCAGAGGTACCAAACGCAAGGTACCTGAGCTGGGCCACAAGTTCTGAATCGAAAGGCCAGGCTAAGAAGCCCCGAGTGCATCGGAAATGCATCGGTCCTCCGCTTCAGCACCGGCCCCATCACCGCTACCGCCGCCACACGCAACTCAGTGACAAAAGACCGAGCTTCGGACATGTACAGATATGCCCGTAAGCCTTGCAGCCTGAGATTAGACGAGGGAAAGGAACGGCACTCCAAATCTATGAGAGCTTGCAGAGTGAAAAGCCACGCTGCAGATTAGACCGTGGTGATGCAGCATTACCTATCAAAGCTTCCGGTTTTCTATCCAGCAGTAAGGTAGCAACGTCCCGTCTCTCTACAGGCATTCTTGGGCGAAGGGCTGACGGGGGCGGCTTGCGATCAGCCTCTCATTGGCCGAATGAGGTCAAGAACTCCCCCACCACACCTGCCTGCATCGCAGCTTCTTCGTAAGGTATGATGTATCCAAGTATCCGGACCAAGTAAAGGTACTGCCAAACTGAGGCAAGTGCGAACAATACGTATCTCTTCACTTTTGCTCCTTCCCACCAGCCAGCCAGCCACCAGTCAGCCCGTCTTACTCCAGCACTTGTCTTGGCTTCCCTTCCGAATCCCGACAATTATCTGCAACACCACCACTGCCTACAGCTCCTCAGAGACGTGCGAGTGCAACCGCAGCCCAGCTCGTCATTCGGTTCGGAGCACCACCGTACCGTTACGGTGGGAAATATCGGCTCGGAGCTTTTTTATCGTCGGCTGGCACTTTACCACTGTTACACCCGACCATTCCCCAACACCCAGTCTGCCAGTGACTCAATCCCCAGGGACTGAGGGAGATTCGTCATGCGTTGATCACTCCTTTTCGGGAATCACTGACGCATCTTCCCAACGACCCCAGCCAGCCCCGATTTCGGCGCCATTCCCAAGAAAATCGACATCTCGCCCCCACGACTGAAGCTGTCCGTCGTCCTCGTCGCCGACCCTGTCCGCCCTGCGAGTCTCCCAAGCATTTGCTTCCCATCCCTGTCATCCCCGGCTGCGATACCCGCCCATCGCGTCCGGTCGGCCAAGCCGGGAGCCGTTGTGGATTCTACAGCTCGGTCCCGTCGACTAAACCTTTTCGCGACTCTCTCCGGGGCCTAGACACTTTTGTTCTTCGTCGACGGTGCTGTCTTTCCACGATTTGAATCGGAATGCGGAAGACCTCATCACCTATCCTCCGAAAGAACCGCTGCTGCGAACACGACAGCATAAAAGACCGCGGACAGCGGCATGGCTCACTGCGGTTGACAGCACTGGTTCCCTGATAGATCCCCGCTACTAACAAACACGACCAGCACAGCGGCGTATCTGAATATCACCGTCAATACGACTTCCACAAGATTATGGATGCCTCTTACGCTGCAGTTCCTGCAAAAATCTCCCCTCTTTTTGCATTCGTTGTCAAACCTACACACAAAGCAAACGCGATAGTGAAGGCACATATCATGCCCACTTTCGCTGACCAGCGAGAGACGTATGAAAAGCCGACGATGGCTCCGATGAGCAAAGCTGCAGCGAGTGCAATACTGATCAGGCCGACTGCTACTGTGATTGACTTTTCATTATAGCGACGGATTCGATGAAGCCCGTCACGAGATGGTTCATCCTTGATAGTGTCAGAATGACTTAGATGAGATGCTGGAGAATACTCTACCTGTCCCGGCCAATAGGCTCGGAGCCGTTTCGAGAGAAAGTCGGCCTCTGCTGGCACTTTCAAGGAAACCAAATCGGTCTCGTCTTCCAAGAAATGTTTTGATCTCCCACCAAGAACTGGCAATGGCTGCTCGAGCCAGTTCCTCATGGCTTCCAGTGCTCTTCTCTCAGGGGGATGCATGGCCACTATCTCACTCTGGAGCTTGAGCGTCTCATCTGCCCTCGCATCAACTCATGTTTTGGCAAAGTAGTACAGCGGTTGGGGCAAGATCTCACGGTATTCTCTCAGCTTCATCCTGAGCTCCCGCACCGTCGTCATCATCTCCAAGGCTCTCGGCTCACTCGCATTGCACTGAGCAACCAGTTTTTCCCATTTCCTGGTGGATTCTTGCAGTGATGTGTCGGTGCTTCCATCGACGAGTCGATCAAATTTCTCCAGCTTCTCCTCCAGAGCCAAAACTTCACACTGCAAGTACAAGATATTGCGAGCGCTTAGCTTGTTAAACTTCTGGAAGATGAAGCCCTCGGAATCGACATCGCTGGCTAGTAGCCAAGAAGCTTGTGCGAAGCCCTGCCCATGGTCTGGCCTCTTGACGGCATTTTCAATGTCATCCATGGCGTATGCTGTGTTCGATCTGTTGAGAAGTCATCGGGATGATCCGGTATATATGCTCTCGCCCAAATCCGGTCAGGCGATGATGAGGATCTGTGAACGGTATGCTACATCACTGTGGGTAGTAGGACGCATTCAATCGGGCACACCAATTTATTCAGCAGTTTTGGTGAGGCAAACCACGTTCACGTGTGCAACTGTCAGCCAACCATTACATGTAAGGCGTTCTTACTACTTGAGAGGCAGACTTTTGCCGGATCACCCATACTGCGCCTTCTTTCTTAAGTTGAAGATTGAAGACTTGTCCAACTGGCTTCCACGTTCAAAGCCATTGCTCTATTTCATATCCAAAACTTACGGCTGATTCCCCTAGATCATCTCGTCTCATTAGAGTCTTTGGCAAACATCAGGAGAGAGAAGATGTCCTTGGCGAAGCAAATTGACCTTCTGAGCGATGCTGCTTCTCCAAGTAATCTTTCGCGGTTGAGCCGAGCACTGGAATCCAGTGGATACATGCAGCATGTAATACGAAGTCTCCTCCAAAGGCAAGGCGACGAGGACCGAAATAACCAACCATCTCTGGTTAAGGCACATGGGTGCTTGGCGTTAAAAGATAGAACCGTCTTTTTAACTATTGCTGACATTACCTAGGCACGCTGGATCCACGATGCCAAAAGAATGATCACCATCCTTGTTTACATATCCCAGAGCCGGAACCTCGACTGGAGAAAGGATACCTTCTGTTTGAACGTCCCACTCAATTTTCCCAGGTCTACAAGCAGATGCACATACAGTATTGCAGCCAAGGCTGGGACAGAGTTCATAGAAGCCTTGCCCGACACAGGGGCCCAGGTCAACATCATCTCAGCCCGCTTGGCTCAAAAATTGCGTCTTGAGCCTCAATCTCAGACAGAGCGGCTGATTCAGTTGCCGACGGGGGGTCAAGTCGAGTCTCCAGGCCGTCTAGAGGTTCCCTTTACTTTCGGAGAGGAAGACAAAGTGACGAATCTGGAATGCTTCATTCTCCCCCATTCCACTCACGATCTGATTCTCTCAGGTCCCTTTCTCCGTGCAACTGAGACTTTGACAAAGTACAGGAACAGAATTGTTACTGACTTTCGTCACAAAAAGTCCAGGCGAATCGGACTACGCCTTCTTGGGAGTACGAGGCGGTGTCTCCAGGTTCTCATTGATGGGCAGCCTGTCGAGGCTCTGCCAGATACGGGATCAGACGTCATGGTCATGTCTTACGCGTACGCCCTATCCCGCGGCTTCAATATCGACGAAGATTTTCAGCACTTTCATGTCGTTGAGCTAGCTGATGGTTCTGAATCGTTCACATGCGGCCTAGTCCGTGGGGTAGAGTGGACGTTCGTTGCGTCACGACAGAGAGTCAAGTGTGACTTTTATGTGCTTCAAGACTTGTGTACGGATGTAGTGCTGAGCAACGACTTTTTGTTCGGATTGGACGTGTTTTCAAAACAATCCGATTCCCTGTCAGAGCTATCTGACAGTCGAGACTCTTCAGAGTTGTTGCTTATCAGCCTGAAGGGTAAAGGTCAATCCAAGTCACCACGGCATGAGGATTCGGCCAATATTGATTGTAGGCCCCAGCAACCTTTCTCCGGTCAGTTTCTGACCCACTCAAGCATCACCCACTAACAGATTTGGCTCGCAGTGACTTCTAAGAATGCTTTCAGTCGCCAGGGAGTACTGGCCGAACTCAATCGTCGCGACAATTTTGACGAGAGGATCGACGCGATGGACCCTGGCGAACAAGAAGTTGCCAGAAGAACCGAACTCGAGAGACGAATAATATGGGAGGAGGGTCGACATATGCACGAGTTACATGTAATACTGTCTCTCGACTGTCTGGATGATTGTACGCTGCTAGTGGCTGCATCAACACAAGACGCCGACACGGCGCCGAGTGAAAGGAGGTGGTGGTGGCCTTTCAGGTTACATGCAAGAATGCATGACTTATTAAACCTCAAGGCCCGGCGAAGACATGGGAGTAGAAGTTAGCAGCGCAGTTAGGTATCTGGAAAGTCTTTGGTAGCATGGCTTTCTGGCGTTCTGACGTAGTGGGGGGTGGAGGTGTGGATTCTATTCGGATTCTTTCAAAGTGGTCATGTAGTTAATCCTTTCTTCGTCATTGAGCTACGCGCCAGACTCTTCACCCTACTGTTGCCTCTCTGATGCCATACGGCTTTGTTTCAAAGATAATACCATGTGCTATGCTTAGTTGAAGAGGGCCGATAGAAGATAAGTACCCAATATAGATGTCTAGCAAATCGAGTATCTGGATTCGCTACAAAGGGCATAGACTCAAACCTTCGACTTGATCCATCTGCCGGGAAGGCCACGAGTATCATTTGCGAGTTTGGCCTGCCCAACAGCATCCTCCTGAGATCTACGCTCTCATAATTGCGCTGACTGGATTCTTCAAAAGCCAGTTTCCGCGGGGATAAAGAGCAGCCATGGTCAATATCGTAGTCTCCGTACCGGTTCCCAATCACGCGCGAACGCCGTGGATCATAAGCCATGCCGCTCTCCCCGCCTGGCAGCTGCGCGTACAATATGGAAGTGGCGTCTCGTAATCATGTTAAGCTTCTCAAAATCTGCCGGTGCGATGCCTAGTCCGGCTACCTCCTCAATGTGCATGCTGGGTGTGAATATAGTCGGCCGATTTCGCAACAGTGCTAGATAGTAAAGAACGAAGGTTTTAGTACGAGATTGTGGCACACCGCCACCATGGAACCCCTCACGTGCCACGTCTTGCTGCATGAATGCTTCCCAAGTGTATAGAGAATGTTTAGGCAAGCCTAGCATGTAGTCCTGGCGCCATCGTCAGCCACGGCCTCTATCCAGCTGCCATGTCGAAACTAGGAGAACACCGTTCGGCCCGGAAGCCAAGGCGGACGTTGCTTCCTTGGTCGGGAAACCTACCGCCTCCCAAGTAGCAGCGACAAAATTTGTTAGACTCCCTTGCGTATCAACCGTATGTTCGTCTGCTACCAGCTCGAAGATACCTCACCCTACCACCCGCACAACTGACATCTCGTACTCACAGCACACCATCACACAAAGGCCTCAAACCGCCTCTTCCAAAGCCCTCTCAGCTCTCCTCCTTTCCATGAAAGTAGCAAGCAACTGATCATACGGCGCAGACCTCCCAGCCACCGCGCGTTTCGAGCTCATAGAATGTCTTTTGCAAGCCAGAGAGCCACCACACCGACGACCCTCGCGCAGCGGGACGCCACACTGGCGTTCGATGTCGATGGAACCTAGAAGTGGAGAGCCCTTGCCATCAGCCACTGCATATGAACAGACAAATATACTCTCATTGTACACTGCAGATAGATTAGAGTTTCAAATCAACATACTTTCTGCTGCCTGACGCCTTTCGGAAATTTGAGGCGTCGCAGTGGAGAACGCGTGTTCGTGGAGTGGAGGGTGTGGTGGTGGTTCTTGATCACCTGCATTCGAGACTTCGCTTGAACGGGCGGGGTCCATGGATCAGATGAGATTGGATGGGTGAAATGGTGCGGTGTTACGGTTGACTTCGACTGGTCTACTGTAAACAACGACGAGATACTGTAGATCCCGACATTAGCCTCTGCAAGATGGAGCGCTTGTATCATTGAGCCTAAGTACGTATATAGTGGCTGTCCACTGTCGCAGAAACAATCCCAGAAAGTGGCACCGAGAGGCCGAACCAAAGGACAGGTTTCTTCGGGTGTCCAAGAAAACAAAGTTCGGGATGCTGCATGAGTCGAAGGTGGACGGCGGATGAGGGAGGGGCTTTTGAAATTCCCGGATGAAAGATCTTCATTGATATGTAGGTAAGGTAGCATGAAGAGTGCAACAACTTAAAGCCGAGAAAGATTGAGGTCGCTTGGTCGGCACGTGAGCTTCTGCCTGGATCGCGGCAGCTCGGGGCTAGGTACCGACGGTGTGGTATCCACTTAAGCCCGACTCGGTCCCGGGAGGCGTCGGCGGTGACCCACCCGAGGGGCCGACACGTCCTGACTTCAGGGAACCTCTACAGGGTGTGGGCTACCTATACACACTAAGCAAATAGGTCATGCTTTTCCAAGAGCAGCTTCCACGAGTTGCGATACACCCGTAACCTAGGTACCTTGGGCTCTCAGGAATTGTGCCCTTCTCCTCCGGATCAACATGCATCTACGCGTGTCGTTCAATTTCGATTACTGATCATTGGCCATGAACTGTATGTTTCAAGTATATAACATAGCCTCTCAACGAATTCATCCTTTCGTCATCTAAAGGCCACAATGAGGCTTCAATTGGTGGATCATCTAGGGCAAACGACACATCATCGTCGCCAAGACACGGCACGGCGGCCAATCTCGACTTGCCTACCCTTCCTTCACGCTTCGAGCCATCAAAATTCGACACAGTTACCCCTCAGTCACTTAGAAGAGAATACATGAATCTCTCAACGGTCCAAGGGAACCTGGCCGTCTTGCTAGGTCCTGCATCTACAACGACTAGCGGCTTGATAATAAGCCGTGAGAATCGAGGATGGGTGCCCCTGGATACCTGCCCAGCTTGAATGTACTCAAAGGAACATTGCATCGTCCGGCTGTGGAAGTATTCGTCCCATTGAAAACCCTACGACAATCGACTGGCATGAGCTCCAATGCCGCTCAATCGTTTCTTAAAACTGCTATTCCCTGACGCACGCTGGTAATCCCGAGGCGTGATCTAGCTCGAAGACTCTTTGACTACATCGAGAGCAATTAGAAAGCCAAAGAAGACTAGTGACAGCTATGATAGCGTTAGCAAAGTGGTGATCTTCAACTGGCAGATTGCTAACATTGCGTGATAGTATCGGAGCAACATACAATCAAGAACCCCAACGCGAGTGTTGTTAGTTCGAACCCTCCGGCTAGTGCCTTACCAGCAAACATAGCGTGCTGGAGTCTCCAGGCTCGGAACGCTCCCAGCAAAACGATACAGATTGAGAAGCTGTAGCACAAGGTAGCGAGGGGTTTGCCCACGGCCGTATATCCGAAGCCTGTGTCTGACGCCTGCAAGGCGAAGAGCTGCGCTACTACAGTCCCTAGGACAGCCGTAGCTAGTGATGTACGAAGGTATCCTAGAAACGTTCGCTCGATCGCTTGGAGACAGGAAAAGTTTCTGTTAGCTATTGGCACTCCATTGATCATGACCAACGAATACAAAGGGTAAGACTGGTGCAATAGGGATGACGGGACAGCTTCCGGCTAAGACAGCTGTCTGGTTCATGACATTATGAGACTGTAAGAGTTCGTGCAACACTGGCTGCCGTAGGTCCATCCGAAATGATCAGTGGAACATCAAGCGCAACACCATGTATGGAATGCGACCTTGTCCTGCCCCAGGGAGAAGACAACCGTTTTAGTGCTGATGAGGGGGAATGTAACATTGAATAGTTTTATCGGCATGATGATGCCTATATGCAATTTTTGGCGACGCAAAGATTGCCATGCAGGGAACGGAGGAAGGTAGATGAACACGGCCGAGACAGGTATCATGGATCAGGGTCGATGTTCTGGTGTTGAGGAAAGAAACTTTCGGGATAACCGGGATGATCAGGAATGACGATCTCAAAGGAATACTTGGATGCATAGTAGAGAGGTGTCGGGGGTCTCTAAACCGTGCAGACTGCTGCTTGACTGACCATACGGTGCAAAAAGATCTGGAACAGTGACATCCCACCATCTTCCCGTATGATCGGGACGGGGTGGCAGAGCTATGAAGATGCGGAAGGGGTTTTCCGAACCTAATCTTGAAGAGCTCCTAATGCGAAACCGTGCGTAAACAGCAAATAGACAATCCGTTTATTGCGCACAGAACGTACCTAGGTGGTCGCGACAAGTCTCAAACTCCACTACTACGCTGACTTGTTTGCTCCAAAATCGCTTAATGATACATTCTTTGCTAGAGGACGGCGGGTTCTGGACCGATGATTCCGCACTTGACGCCTCGGTGTTGCCCTCGTCTTTTTCAGTAACATTTCGAGCTGTCTCTAGCCGATCTTGGTTCGGTTCATCGTCGTTTCGCCTCTCCTGATATCGTGTCGGCTCTTGCGGTGTGATAGCGGAGATGTTCTCCGATGAGCGAGGCTCCTGTGACAGCATGCTGTGTGTTTCCTGTTGAAACGGGGCAGCGGTTTGCGTCACGTATTCGTCCTACCAGACCTTGCCAAGACCAGCAGAGCAGCGACAAGAAGACTATTGAGAAGATGCAGGAACACCGACTTGGCTGCGTGGATCAACGTTGACAAGTCTCCGGTTATATTGCAGCCTCGTTGTGTAAGTATTGCCTAGCGTCGCCGAGGGACGTTTGTCAGATGGCAGGCGATCGAATGAATTCAGGTACCATAAGAAGAGACCTGTGGTGCCATAATCGACGCGAAAGATAAAGTAACGAACAATTGTCAAACATCATGGAGGAACCGAGAGGTGAAAGTACCTATCCTGATGCTCAACTGGCCGGCAGCATGAGCTCGGCGATGACACCGGGCAGACGGCAGTCGGGAGCGGCAAACTCTCTCGACATATCGACTAAATGCGGCTGCCGGCGATAGGGACGAGAATTGGCGCAGACGTTGAGTTGCCGACAAAGATAGGGCAAATGGTCGCCGATAGAAACGAATTATCCACTAGATAGACAGGGATGGCTAGGTGGTCGGTGGCTTGGTAGACGATTCGATGTTTGAGCGAGAAAATTCTTGAACCAGTCTGTAGAGGCCAACAACCGGCACTATCTGCCGTGCGGGAATTTGCTTCCGTGCTCGGACTACTTGATTCCTCCAGAGAATAAGAAGTTGAAGGAAAGATGTGCCCCGCGTGGATTTCGCCGTTGTCCTTGGATGTTCTGGAAAGGTCACCGCACCCAGCGTAGAACTGAGCAAGGGAGTGAGATGGAGATAATGCAGCTCCCCGCACTCCGCTGTTCTCCAACTTCTAGATCTGCAACCTAGCGGCAGGAGCATCCACCCAGAAATGGCTAACCAGGACGGTGGAGCCAGGCGGTTCCGCTCCGGCGGGTTTGAAGGTTGTTGTTTGGGTTGAGGTGACCTAAGATCTTGTGATGGAACGGGACGTACCAAGGAAGTTGAGGACGGGACGATGCTCAGGTACGGCCGCAATAAGAAAACCTCCGATGGGCGTTCCTGCGCTTTCTGCTCACGTCGGCGGTACGTCTACTCCACGGACCACAGATGCTTCCGAACCGAACTCAGGGTCCCATCTCTCCATGCAGGTGCATTTTCTCCGTGACTCCCGTGCCAAAATCATCTATCCTCAGGTAAGGTACCCGAGCTGACGTGCCTTTTGCAGCTCCCTTTATATTGCATTGCTGCGAATCAACATGGGAAAGCATGACGTATCACGGTTTGGGTCGACGTAACTGCTCGTGCTTCGTTCAACAAAGTCTTGTCGAAAATCATCGCCGCTTCACTGCCTTGGCCAAGGCAAACTGAACCAGTCAACAGCACCGCCGCGGGACTCTCACTCGATATGCAACTGCAAAGTTTGCCGGAGAGATTTCCGCAACAGTCAGGCACTTTCTATTCGCATGTGAAGTCCCAATGAGAATGGAGTCTTGAAAGGTTATGTCGCTTTCCGTCCAGAGTCGCACCACATGAGACGAACGACGACCTTTTTGAGATGGACAGCCGGTCAAGTACTGGAACTAAAGGCCACTGCGCAAACTTTATCGCCTGATTTTTCGAATCGTTGTTTTACCTACTTCCGGTGACAAGTTGCTGAACGGCGGACCTCTGCAAGGTGCGGTTGCAACGCAGCCATGCACCACACGCAAGCAGTGTCCGAATAGCCCTTCACGGGAGCCTGTGATTGAAGCCATTCTCGATCTAGCGCCAGGGTCACTACTACATACACATCAGAAACAGGGCATCCCATGGCTTTAATACGGCTGGTCCAGGAACGCCATGGTTGTCGGCGAGGCACGGCCGGTCTGCATCCGACTATACTACGGTTCTTGCACCGACGCAACCCTCCCAGATCATCGAAAAGTTCGACGGGCGTCTTACGAGCCGGGATCTTCAGACCCAAAGACAAAACCATTTGGCTCGAAATCCGGTTCATGGAAAGATAATTTCCCGCCTTCCCTGGGAATAACAATCTGCATCGATAGCTAGGATGTCGGGAGGCAACGACAGAATCCTGGCTTCTGATAATAGCCTGCACCTTACGAGGTATCATTGCAGCCGTCACCTTGGGATTGACCTCGTTGGACTAGCCCCTCTAGCAACAACGACGAAGAGATCGCATCTTAGCGTGAGCCCGTTTGACTCTGAGCCTGTCGGGACCTACCTACTCATGAAAAGGATGAATTACCTAACTCGGATGGGGAAGCTTCTCAAGAGTAGCCGCAAGCAACTCGGCGATCAGGGATCTGTCAGTGGAACAACAGCAACCCAGACGCCGTCCTGTTGGGACTCGGAATCCGGTCCCCACCTCCCCTAGTCCCGCCATGCAAGTTTGTCTTTCCGGCCAGCCAATCCGGCTCACTAAAGGGTAGGACGGGCCGCCGAGCCGTCATTCGGTTCCTTCACATCATGAACCCTCGCCTCAGGTCGCCCTGGATCTCGATAACTTATTGTCAGCTAGTCAGGCTCAAGTCCGCCCTATCCTACTGGACGCTCCTTCCCCGAACGTCATTGCCACTGGACAAAATTTGACGCGGACACATGCAACCTTTTATATTTCTTACGGCCAACGCGTTCAGGTCGCCGATCCTTTACGGTATCGACAAGTTAACTGGGCATTGAACTTACCCATCATCTACAGCCGATGATGGTAAGCCTCTCGTGCTCCTCCGGCGAAGCAGGGGCCGGCAGCCTAGCCCTGTGCTCCCAATCGGACAGTTGGGGTCTCGTCTAACGGGTGCACGGATTGGGCAATTGGGAACGCTATCGGTTCCGATACTCCGTCTGCACCACGGCGGGTTTCTTTCAAGTGCCATGGGACGTTGGGTTGAAGGTTCCCCGGACAAGTGCAACGAAGGCCAGTCTGTCCGTCGTCCCTGGATTCCTTGACCACGCGGCGACAACTTCCGACCTGCCGGGAAACTCTTCTTAGCGCCCATGTGCAGCTTTATGTGGGATGACTTCGATACTGGCTGAGATCGAACATTGCAATCTTGGGTTCCGAACGTTGCGCAGCTCCTGGTTCCTCCTTGAATCTCGCGTTCCATGCCACGGGTTTGTGATTGACAACCCTGACCTGCGTATGCAACCAGGCGGAACGCAGCTCTCGGCAGCGATGCACCGAATGCTAACGAGATCGATAGCACGATGGCACTACGAGTCTCGAGTGCCTGTTGATTAAGCAATGTTCTATTTGCCGGCTACCGCTTTGCCTCATTTGGCCCAACTTCCTCACGGATGCTTCGCGATGTTGCAGGCATGGTAGCCTGGACAATGGTTCGGAAGAAACGGTCTTGAGTCCTTGACCAGGGGACCTTACCAGAACAAGGCCCCTATTCTCACACCCCTTGGGGAAGCTGACGTGAAGCAGGATAGGTATCCGTAGGGCAACCCCGATTCTTCCCCACTTGGCCATTTGCTTGCAGTCATTCGTCCGCTGACTTAACGCACTCCCTCCTGAACTCCAACTGCTTCCCCATCGACCTGCCTTGCGTCCACCGCTCGAACGGTCCGTTCTTACCGAAAGAGCCCATATCGCCCAGAAAGTGTCAGCGAAAAGAAAGTTCGGAGAACGTCTTTCATCAGCAATGCTTTCGCATGGTTTGGCATGGCACAGCAGCTCGACAGGGAATTGAAAAGCACCTGCTAGTCATGAAGTCAAGTGACTCGGCTTGAAGCGCTCAAATCCTACATTGGCCTGGCTTGTTATCGGCGGCGTTGTGGTAACCCTCACTTGCAGACGTTTGGACACCAACCCGCCTGTCCAGGGTGGTGAGAAATCTCCCCATCCCGGCAGCCAATGTTGCCATACACCACCGGGCTTTCCGTTTCCTATCGATGCTGGGCGGAGGATTGTCCACAAGCAGCTGACAAGTTGCCATTGAAGCTTCCGTTTAAAAGACGTACATGGGAAAGTCACCCTCCGTTTGGATGTACTAGTCCCCATACGTCTGCCCAACCTTGCGGGATCCTGCTAGGTTGTACTTCGTTTCTCACCCCTTCCGTGGCTCTCGTTATCAGTCCCGTTTCTTTACTTCCTTCTGCAACTAGACCCATATTGCCTCGACTTCATTGACCGTCTTTCATTAAGACGGATAAATGTCGGGCTCATGTGAGCATTCGTGCTTGAGGCTTGCCTGCACTTTGAGTCTCATATAAGTCTTACCTATCCATCACCATTTTCTATTTGGTGTAGGCTCTATCCCACAGCCGCCTGTTCTACCATACCCTTCAAAGACTAGCCTCACCTAGAGAGTGACTCCGGCAAGAAAGACCCGCAAGTCCCTCAAGATTAGCTATTACGCTGGGGACGTTCATCAAGATGAGCGCCGTGACAGACAGTCAAGCGGAGCGCGATGTTGAGGCACCCATCTCCCCGCCCGAAACCGAGACGAGCAATTCGACGCCGAACACGGTGTTTTCTCCGCCATATAGTCCCCCACAGAAGATTCAGCAACTTTTGAGAGACACAAGAGCTGCAGCAAGAAAGAAGTTAGATCAGCTGACGCTGGAAGAGAAGGTATGGGCAAAACAGTCATCCTTGGAACAGAGTGCTTCCACTAACAGTACATAGGTCTCGCTGCTTACCGCCGCAGATTTCTGGAGAACAAAGGCTATACCATCCAAGAGCATACCGTCAGTGAAGACATCAGATGGGCCAAACGGTGCCCGTGGTGGTATCTTTGTCGGCGGAACCAAGGTTTGTCGCACTTATCAACCACGTCCTCAACTGAGTAGCTAATTATGGTAGGCTGCTCTTTTCCCCTGCGGAGTCTCCCTAGCGGCAACCTGGAACAAGGACCTACTCTATGAGGTTGGCCAACACCTTGCCGATGAGGCGAAAGCAAGATCTGCGAACATTCTACTGGCGCCGACAGTCTGTATGCATCGGCATCCCTTAGGCGGGCGTAACTTCGAGTCTTTCTCGGAAGACCCTCTTCTGACTGGCAAATTGGCTGCCCAGTATGTTCGTGGCTTGCAGGATAAGGGCGTAGCCGCAACCATAAAGCGTTTGTGCATTGGATTCCTGATGAAATCAACCTTTCTAACATCTAACAGACTTCGTTGGCAATGAGCAAGAGACGCACAGACTGACAATAGATTCTCTGATCCAAGAACGTCCTTTGCGCGAGATTTACCTACGACCGTTTGAGATTGCTGTACGAGAGGCGAATCCATGGGCTCTTATGTCCTCATACAATCTCGTCAACGGCGTACATGCAGACATGCACAACCTGGTACTGAGAGATATTCTTAGAGGCGAGTGGGGTTACGATGGGTGAGAGAAACTCGATCATTACCTTCCTTATGCTTCCTGCTTGCTAACTTCTTTTTAGAACCGTCGTGTCTGACTGGGGCGGCACAAACTCGACCGCAGAGTCCATTATCGCAGGGTGCGATGTCGAGTTCCCCTACTCTCCAAACTGGCGTTTCGAAAAGGTGATTGAGGCCATGAATGAGGGTAAAGTGACCCTAGAAGACATCAACCGCGCCGCAGAGAACGTCCTCACGCTTGTCGAGCGACTTAAAGGCGATGACATGTCAGCGGAACTGCCAGAGAGAGAAGACAACCGCGAGTCGACGCGCAGTCTGATCCGCACTGCTGGGGCTGAGGGCCTGACACTTCTCAAAAACGATGGCGCAGTTCTTCCCTTGAACCGAAAGACAACCAAAGTTGCCGTTATTGGGCCAAACGCAAACCGAGCTATTGCCGGTGGAGGAGGAAGTGCAAGCTTGAATCCCTACTACAGAACACTTCCACTGGACAGTATCCGCGCAAGTTCTGAGCAAGAAGTTACTTTCGCTCAAGGCTGCCACATTTACAAATGGCTCCCAGTAGCGTCGCCTTACTGTACTGAGAAGTCAGGCAAGCCCGGCGTCAACATCGATTGGTACTCTGGCGACAAGTTTAAAGGCGAAGTCGTTGTTGTGCAGCGACGAGTGAATACGGATTTGTTTCTATGGGATTCCGCACCCCTAGCAGAGATTGGCCCCGAGTGGTCAGCAGTCGCGACGACTTACCTTACGCCAAAGAGTACTGGAAAGCATACAGTCAGCTTCATGAGCGTTGGTCCTGGCAAGTTGTATGTGAACGGAAAGCTTGCTCTGGATCTTTGGGACTGGACCGAGGAAGGGGAAGCCATGTTTGATGGGTCTGTGGACTATCTTGTCGACGTCGATATGGAGGCTGGTAAGCCTGTGGAGCTAAAAGTCGAGATGACCAACGAGCTTCGCCCGGTGGCGAAGCAGAAACAATTTGGCATAACGCATAAGTACGGAGGGTGCCGTATTGGCTTCAAAGAAGAAGACCAAGTTGATTTCCTCCAGGAGGCCGTGGATGCGGCTAAGGCGGCCGACGTAGCAGTTGTCATTGTTGGTTTGGATGCAGAGTGGGAGTCCGAGGGCTACGACAGACAGACTATGGATCTACCTTCCGACGGCAGTCAGGATCGGCTCATCGAAGCAGTGGTCAAAGCGAACCCTCGTACTGTTGTCGTCAACCAGTCCGGTACACCTGTAACTATGCCTTGGGTCGACCAGGTTCCGGCCATTATTCAGGGATGGTACCAGGGACAAGAGGCCGGCAATGCCTTGGCCGATGTCTTGTTCGGCATTAAATCCCCCAGTGGAAAGCTTCCGGTAAGTCATTTGCTCCTTGTATATGCATATGTGCTGACAGTCGTGGAAGTCAACTTTCCCCAAGCGCATTCAAGACACTCCCGCCTACAATAACTGGCCTGGCGAGAACCTGAAGGTCAACTACGGCGAAGGCCTTTACATTGGGTACCGCCACTACGAGCGTGCAAGAATCGAGCCGCTGTTCCCCTTTGGTCACGGTCTTTCCTACACCACTTTCGAGTACGGCCGTCCATCAATCAGCACGAAGACCCTCACATCTCAGGGCACAATCGAGGTCATCTTTGCAATTAGCAATGTCGGCTCGGTACCTGGCTCCGAGGCCGTGCAGATCTATGTGCGGGATGACAAGTCCAGGCTACCCCGCCCGGAGAAAGAGCTTGTCGCTTTTGAGAAGGTGTTCCTAGAAGCTGGGGAAACGAAGCACCTCACCATTCACCTCGACAAGTATGCCGTGGGCTACTATGACACCTCGGTCCCGGGCTGGGTCGCCGAGGAGGGCACCTTCAAGATCCTTATCGGCGCATCATCTGCTGATATCAAGTGAGTCGTCCAAGACTAAGCATGATGAAAACAGACTAACCCAGGTTCAAGACACTCCGTCCAGTTCGAAGTCAAGGAGTCATTCAACTGGGTCTTCTAGTCTGTGCTTCCTGGCGCTATTTGATACTCATTACACCATATCATCCATTCTTTTCCTGTTTATCTGCTTGATCTCAATGTTTCTTCGTGATCGGCTGGAGGGATTTATGTAGATAGGAGCCATGCCACTCTATCGTATCATACAAATAAGACCTATTCTCAACGAATCTATCTTGATACCACTGGCTCGCCTACACCGAGTAAGAGAGACCAACAGCTGGTTGATACAAAAAACGGCTTGTAGACATTAATAATAGCTTCGGGAGAGCTGGCACGAGACTTGACTGCAAGCTTTCGTCAGCTGCGCGGGAAGTGGCTGCCGAGCCTTGGATGCAATATAAGGCCGTACTTCTGTCCACCCGTGACCTCGGCTATTTCGTCAAAGAGACGCCAGGGAGGTTGTCTCCAAACCAGTCGGCTGGAGGGCATTTCCCAACGGACGGTACATCACTCTCACGGCACCGTTTAAGATGGGCTATTGTTAGACGGTGGAGTCCAGAATCTCGGGAGGCTTCTTCCATATTTCCTAGAATGGCTTCGTGGGCGCGGACTCTCCGAGCCTCTGCCTCACCTTATCTTGCATCGCGAGGCGGGGAAATGGGGGAACCTTGGTTTCACCCGCTTCGCGTGCTCTATTAAGCTCGTTCTTCCCCCCACGTATGCGTGATGCCATACCATATCGCTCGCAGAAGTCGTCATCAGGTACATCCTTCCGTGTCATGCCTACGCGTGACTGCCGCCTCTCCAGCTCTAGAGACCGTCCTAGATACTACCACGTGTATGTCGACACCACACATGAAGAACTCCATCGTCTTTGAGCTGGAGCATTGGTGGAAAGATACGAGCCTGTCGACCGAGAAGCCACCAGGACCTTGAGCATTGGGGATAGAGCTTAGTGCCAGAGAAGTTGGGGGTATCCTTTTGCTGCCACGCCCCTTCGTTCCCCTTTATTACGAACTGGCGGTGTATATCGGTTATTGCATGTGGTTGCGTGTGATGCGTCGTAACCATGGATCTCTTCTTGATGGTAAGGTCGTGTTCAGGAACCTGACTTGGAGGGCAGGATGACTTTGAGAGCGAGTCACTATGTAGCCGGTGATGGCGTCGTAACAGTAGGTAACGTTTCGGTAACCGGATGAATAAGCCGTTGACGGTCTGGGTGGTCATGGGGGCTGGTATTGTAGTAGGCGCCCACCCCCTCCTCGCTTGTCTCCGGGGCGTGGAAGGGAGGTGGAGGGTTCGGAGACTTGCAAGGGAGAGACGGGTGATGTCTCGGTCCGGCTAAGCTATGATCGGGACACGGTATGTGGCTTTGGTGTGCTGTGGGCTTGATTATCCGCCATCGGGAGCTGTATAGATGGGTATAGGGGGTGAGACTGGTGCAAGTGGGTGATGGGTGGTGGTGATGGCTTCATTTACACGTCTGACTGCTTTACCTGATCGAAACTGGAACTTTCTTGAAGGGCAACGTCGACTTCCTCATTACTGCCTAACAGCAGCAGAATCCTGGTATGAATTATTTGAGGATTAGTTGATGGGAGATGACTGGACTGATGTGAAGCCTTTAGAACTGGTGTTGTTGAGAACCTGCTTGACGATCTCACTCGAGACGTCTTCATGTTCAAGATTATCGGCACTGCATGCCAGGGCGCTGCGGCAATGATCCATCCTCGAAGCTTGGTAAGTAAATAAAGGGATCCTCAAGGTATCCTCCGTTCGAGAAGCTTTCCTTCTTGGACTGATGTTTCTTTCCCATGGCTGGCAGGGAACCCCTTGTGCCCCTCCAAGAAGCGGCCCGCCCAGACTTTGTTTGCATGGGGCCACGGGCCAGTTTGCTCGGCTGACTAAGCTGGGACAAGACAAAGGCCGTTGAGCTGGCCGGCACGCAGTAGGTACCTACCTATGAAAAGGGGGTGGGGCTTCCTCAAGCTGTCGAAGTGGGGCCGTGTTCAGCGACGTTTCCAGTGCATCAAAGTCTTCGGGGGCTTCTACGAATAGCAGTCTAGCGGGGTGCTTTTCTTCCTTTCTGGGGGGGATTGCCGGGGCCATCCTGTATGAATCCCGTCGCGATTCGTGAATTGATTAGATTGTCGCCACGCGTCGACTTTTCTCCTTTACCCAGTTGTGACAAGACATCACTATTTCGTTTCGTGGCATTTCGTTGCAGGCGTCTAATATTTTGTGTGCACTGGTAGACCATCAGCTTCCTTTCTAACTATCTTAATTCGAGTTCTTTTTTTCGAAGGTTCTGCACTATCATCTCGTCTCTGCCGGTGTTTTTCAGTACGAATGCATAGACGAGGCTCTATTATAACCTATTAATCCATCCCCAAACGAAGCTACCGACGACGATCGCGCGAGCTCCCGAAGAGCCACTCACACGCCCACATACCAGACACTGGCATACGCAAGCTCGCCCACCTTTGCACGTTTGGTCGGGATTGCGGCACTGATCCATTCCAGAGGGGGCCACCCAGGGGAAGTGGGAAACCAGGTAAGGGATACAGACACGGGGCTGCAGGGGAATGGCAGCAGCCCGGGCTAGCCAAGCACCAGCAGCATGGCTCCGCCTTACAGCAACGGCAATGGCTACGCCTACAAGGGGTCCAAGAAGCCTGCATCCGCGTCTGCATCTCTCCCGTTCCAACATTACTACAATGACGACAGCTTCCGCGCCCGTTTGAGACCGTTGCTCGCGGCCCTACAACGACTACTGAGAACACTTTGGGCCTTTTGGCAAACCCGCGGCCGACGATTGGCGACCGGCATCATGTGGCAGGCTGGTAGGCGGTTGAGACAGAACCTCACTGCGCGCCGCCTCCTGAGCTTCCCGCACCTGCTGGTGTGTCTCTGGGGCATCGTGCTCCTTTGGGGCGAGGGCTGGGTCTTTAAGAGCCGAGTCGCAGAATGCAAATGGAGCAACTGGGAGAACTGGGTAGGTCAATTGCTGCGCGCTGTTGCTGTGAATCGACAACGCTGATTCTTTGATAGCCGGCCGGATCGAGCCCACACCACCTCGTCTTCGTCGCTGACCCCCAAATCACCGATCCGAAATCCTACCCCGGCCGTCCGTGGCCTTTGGAAGACCTGACGGTCCTCATCACCGATAACTACATCCGCAGAGGCTATAGGCAGCTCCAATCGCAGCTGCGACCTGACTCCCTCTTCTTCTTGGGCGACCTCTTCGACGGTGGGCGAGAGTGGAAGACTGCGCACAGCGACTTCAAGGACCCTCAATGGGCTGTCAACCGACGACCGAAGAACGAGAAAGACCACGTTAAGGGATGGAACGATAATTATGGCCAGAATTACTGGTTGAGGGAATACGAGCGCTTTGGCGACATCTTTTTTGGAAGCTGGGGGCTAGGCGGCTCCAAGGCCGGCGACTGGCAAAGGGGGCGCAAGTTGGTGGCGAGCTTGCCAGGGAATCACGATCTTGGCTTCGGAGACCAGGTGAAGGGCTCTGTGAGAGATCGCTTCAACACGTACTTTGGGGACGTGAACCGTGTCGATGTCATTGGCAACCACTCCATCGTCTCTGTCGATAGCTTGTCACTGAGCGCCGTTTCGTCGAAGCAAGCCGAGGTCGATTTGAAGGCGATCCATACACCTGCGGACGTATTCCTGAAGGACGTCAAGTTTACCAAGAGAAAGGCCGTGGAGCGAGAGTTGCGCTTCTGGAGGGGCGAAGTGGAAGTGGAACCCCTGGATCATATCGTGGAGGAGCTGGAAACAGCAGACGCCAAGGTGCCGACTATTGCACCGGGTGAAGAAGGTCCCGATTTTCCTACGATTCTTCTCACTCACGTTCCTCTATACCGAGACCCGGGTACGCCTTGCGGACCGCTGCGAGAGCACTGGCCTCCTACGAAACCGCCAAAGGGGGAGCAAGTGCCTATGATGGACCACCGAAATGCAATCTCCGTCTCGGGCGGTTACCAGTACCAGAACGTGCTGAACGAAGACGAGTCTGTCAAGCTCGTGAAGAGCGTTGGCAACATCGTTGGAGTGTTCTCCGGCGATGACCACGACTACTGCGAAGTCGTCCACTCCGCAGAAAAGGACAACGTTCGCGAAATCACCGTCAAGAGTATGAGTATGGCCATGGGAGTGCCTACACCTGGCTTCCTCATGGTCAGTTTGTACAACCCGATTGACGCCAACGGCAACCCCCTTCCTGGCGCACCCAAAAAGACGTTGCAAACACATCTTTGCCTGCTTCCGAACCAGCTGGCGACATACGCGAAGTATGCAGGGCTGGCCTTTGTCACCATCGTCGCGATTAGCATAAGATCGTTCCTCGTGCCGGTCCTGAACTTGACACCTTTTGCTCTTCATGACGAACAGCCGCAGGGCGCCATATTGCCGACCATCAAGGACAAGGTCGAAGATGATGGTACTTACAGCATGCACTCGACATCAGCCTCTTCCGGATCTCGATTCCTTACCGGCCAGTCATCCCGGACTAGGAGCGGATCCATCCGCTCTAATGGGGCTACTCCAGCGCCGCCGCCGAGGACCAAGTTGAAGAAGCAATGGGGAGCACCACACCGTGCGCCGCGGATCGAAATTTTCGCAGACGAATATGGAACTGGCATGCCGCGTTTGACGTGGAAAGCGGCGTCTCAGCGGTCGAGGACGACAATTGGGCGTGTCGCTCGCGAGATCGGTGCCTCGACATGGAGGGTTGTGTGGATGGTGGTCTTGTTTTGGGCCTATCTTGCATATAAGGGGTAGAAGGGCTGCGGTCTGCTCCGCCTCTTAAGCGTGTACAATGATCGGAACTTGGGACGGCATTCAAAAAGAAGGGATCCCCATCAGAATTCAGCGGGTTTGCATTGGTTTGGCTGTTTGACTGGAGGATGCTGGAGAGTTCTTTGGGTTACATAAAAGAAAGGTCTGTCGTCTTTGTTCATTTGTGTATCATAGCCCGAGACGACGGGTCAGAGAGTACTGTATTGATGATCCAGCTTTTGATGGATGTTTTTGAAATAAGTAGGCTTTGAGGAATCAGATGCCCAATTCCCTGTGCCGGTCGCTTCAATTCCTACGTCTTCGATTCTATGTCTCTGACATTCTAGGAGTCTTGATCCCTTGGTAGGCTTACTTCTCTCCCATCTTGGGTTTTCCAATAAACATGGAGCGGGTGTGACTAGGCTGGCTTGTGAAAAGCTTCGCTCTATCGAACCTCTTTGCTTCTCGGTAACAACGTATTTGCTCATCGTTGCAGGGGAGTCAACGCGAGAGTGGGAAAACGAATGCCCGGTAAAGATCACAAAACTGCCATCGAATCGGTTGGGTTTCGATCCTCAACTGAAAAACACCAGCGCTAGATTTGGGAAATGCAGGTCTCCCTTCTGTTTGACCAAATGATGTATCGTTTGGCCTTTGCAATACATTCGAAAATTAGTAATAGCCTCATGGGGTCCTTCATTGTGAACGCAGTCAATTGCGCTCAATGGCGCACCTTGCTCGAGAGCAATGCCAGAGGCAGAAGCAACCCAGCGCCTGTATACCTGCGGTGGTTCTGTGTCGGTCAGAGAAAGAAGGCACGATATTGGCACGAGGAAGGAGGCAGCACTTAGTTCAGGGCCCTTCTTGCCCTTTCCACAATTCACCAAGCCTTCCAAACCAGTCGACTGATTTCTTTCCCTTCTTCCCCCTCCTTGACCAACCTCTTCGAGAGCTGCACGCAATCTTCGCATCTGACATCGAGTCATCCAAGTTCCAATCATTTCGACCTCCAATACAACGTCTGGTATCCTCCTATATACGTCATCCAATCTCTACATCTCTGACTCTTCACTTGCTGATAAGACTCAGAGTCTACTGATCCATCAGGTTGTTACCTGAGAGCTGTCAAATCATGCCTCCACCCGTCAATCTCCCGACTCCAGCTGCCGGCGACATCTTCACCCACGACGGGAACTTGAAGGTTACCAACGCTGCAGCGAACGTCTTCGTTGTGTACAACTTCGATGCCAAGAAGGCCGACCCATCCCCTTCGAGTCTCACCGTAGACTTTGTCATGGGAAATGTTTATCTCATCGATGCTTCGCTATGCAGTTACTGGGAGAGCAACCGCGTCTTTGGAAATCTCGTCAAAGGACTCGGACTCCCTTTCGAAGGTTGGTTCGAAGGCAACAATTCTATCGACACGGTATACGATGACATCGTATGTGTTGTCGATGGACAACTCCCCCGTGCTGCTCAATCGGCACCATTGCTGGCAATTTGGTTACCGTTGCCGACCTCACCACTCCTGGCGGAATCGAGCAAACGCAGCCTCCCAGTGTCACAACCAGCTACGTGTATGGATGTCGCCTACTTGAATCTCATCTCTCATACGGCGGTGGCCTGCAGAGGGCTCGCTCTGCCTGGGCCTCGATGACATTCGCTCCTGTACGACCATCCAGCTTGCCCACCAGAGGGCTTCCGCCCCCCCTCCAGAACAGTACTTCCGGCACCAGTCATACCGCCGAGACGAGCTTCATGGATTGCCATGGTGCTCCGGGATTTCGAAAAGCCGAACAGGAGGAGAAGAAATTGAGACGCGGCGTGGACGAATCGATCTCGCGTGTTATCTCAGGCCGAGCGACTGCCACCGTAGAAAAAGGACCGCTGTCAGTACCAAACTTGTACACTCAGCAGACAGACAAGGACCCAGCAATTCAGCTCGATGGTATCTCTGATTCAAGCTACCCCCGCTTGATGTGTGCAAATTGTTGCAGGGGAGGCCACGAGGCTAAGGATTGTATCGGTCCGGTGGATATCGACGGCTTCATTGCCGCCTGCCCCATCTGCAACGTACGCGATCATATCTTTTCCAGTTGTAGCAAACTACTGGAGACAAAGAAGAAGGGCAAGAGAGCCCTTCAATTCTTATATCTCGTTCAGCACCGACAGAACAAGCCCCCCATTCTAGCAACTACTTGCTGGATAGCTGTTTGGGCCGCACAAGACTGCCCCAGGATATCGCTACCTCATACGAAGGAGTTCGCACGGATGATTGGCCAGGGGCTGATCCCAGATTACCCAGACTGGCGAACTTATGACTACTCCGCACCTTTATCGCCACGAGACTCGACCAATGTAGCCTTACTTCGGGATCCAAGTACGGAGTATGAATATGGAAGACCATCTAGCCTGTTCCCAGGGACGCAAGGCATCTCCATAGGCCAGGGATACAACGCGGTCAGAGCCAAGATGCAGAGGTTGGGCATAAATCTTTTACCAAATGCCCCAAACCCGGCAGTTTTTTCGAGGAAGATGAAGAAGCAAGCCAAGCGGGATCAAGTCAAGCGAGATCAAGTCAAGCGGGATCATACCAGAACGACATTGGTTCAAGGAGATGGCAGCCGCTTTGCAACAGGGGCAAACTGCACCATTGTTCAGAAGTCTCTTCCAGCTTTGCCAGCAAAACCGGTCTTCACCAGCCCCACGATCGTCAACATCAAGCAAGAAGCCATCGATTAACGTTTGAACCATCGTCACTTGCGGTCGATCACTTCAAAATGTTACTTCCTCATTGCCTTATGTTCTAGCTCATGGAGGGAAGTTGCTCATTGTGAGAATGGGTAGGCGATAAAGTGCGTTAGTGTTGGCTTGAGGATTACCGCCCTGGCCATAAGTTGCTTTGCTTGTGAGTTAGCTAGAGGATATCTAATATGTTACGCTACTCTCCGTGAAGTTTTCATATTTGCTTTCCCAATCACTTGCCTGTTCCTGTGTCGTCCACCAGCCATCTTGTAAATTTCCCCAGCCACAATGCAGTTACTACGGGAAAGAAGATCAACGCAAGCCGTCGTCAGGATAGGATTTTGAATGAAGGCAAAGGGCTCTGGAAGAGACCGGGACGGACCAGAGTCAGAGTCGCGGTGAGGCCCATCACGCAGCCTGGAAGGCTCTGGGGCCCGCCTCCGCTTGGCACACACTTGCAATATGGTACACATGTCTCAAGGCCGCAGTGGGTATTGCCTTGCCTTCGAACATGCAATCAAGAGCGACGATGTGACCTGCTACAAGTACGGCTTTTTTTTCGGGTCTTTGTAAAAGCTTTGGGTTCGATTCGCACAAATTTATCCTCTTCATGTTGCCTCCCGCCCCCTTCCTGCCAGCAAAAACAGACCTACTGCCCATCTCAAGCCTTAACGTACCCAAGGTGCCATCTTAACAAGACCAATATGCTGCGTGTATCGTCTCCAGAATCTCATTCAAGCACTCTGATCCGATACCCTTGCTCTGCTCAAGATCAATATCGCAACTTACAGCCTACTCTGGAATATGCAGAACCCTACGTCTACGACAGTCTTCGGAAACTGCCGACACGGAGAGAGCACTTGGCATCTGAATGGCCATCATCAACGGCACGATCCTCTGCGTGTTCGCATTCGTTCGGCACGGCAACCGATTCGTCAGCCCTCGTATCTCGGACTGAATAGATGCGCCGATAGCAGCGCCAACCTGAGATTCCCGTCTGAAACATACCGGCAGGAATAGACAGCTCTCCCCGGTCCCAGTGGTGTGGTCGCTTGCCGAACCCCTCACGACGGTGACTGCGGGAAGGTTCGTGCCCCTTTTTTTCGTCTGATCCTCTCAATCAGACCACGATATTCTTCTCCCAAGCTATGACCAAGATATTCTTGGCCATTGAAACGTTGCACGATGACTTCGATTCAGGGATTCGTACTCGGCATGATGAACTTATCCAGGCTGAGCTGGTTGGGTTTGTGGACGCGTGGTGCGCGGCTGGAAGGAAAGTCCACGTGAAATGTCGCTATACTTTAATATCTGGTGTTGCCTCGTAAGTATTCTGATCATTTACTCTTGATACCAGTCTCTAGTTTCCGCCCTGAACCGACTTGATTCGAAACACGCTTTGGGAGAATGACCATCATCAACATCATGATCCGGGCTTCGTGCCTTGGCTTCGCCTTCGTAAGTATTGTGCTCTCTTATTGACAAGCCTTTAAATTCTATCGAGAATGAGAGTTTCCGCCAAAATCCTTTTCCTGACGCTGGACAGACCATACTTTACATTATCTCGTATATGATCTACAACCTCTTCTTTCACCCCCTCCGCCGCTTTCCCGGCCCAATTCTCATGCGCGCAACCCGCGCAACTTTCTGCTATCGACTCTGGTGCGGCAAACTCTCCTTTGATATGCTTGACCTTCACAGAAAGTATGGCGATGTGGTTCGCATCGCCCCGGATGAGCTGGCGTACGCGGATCCCGCAGCGTGGAAGGAGATCATGGGTCACCGTGCCGGCAGCGTCGCGAACGGCGGCCAGGCCCCGCTCGAGTTTTATAAGTCGGAGACATTCTACAGACCTATCGCGGATCTGCCGAGGGATATCATCACGGCACCTGGCCCGGAACACGCTATGCTAAGGAGGACTTTGAGTCATGGATTTAGTGATCGGAGTTTGAGGGATCAGCAGCCCGTGATCATGAAGTACGTTGACATTTTCATTGCCAAGCTGCGTGAGCTAGCAAAGGATCCGGCGCAGAAAGGGTACCGAGATGAAGAGGACGTCGATGATTCCTCGGTGATGGACCTTGGTGAAAAGGGGACGAAAGAGCTTGGGGAGCCGGTGAACCTGACGTTGTGGTACAACTACTGCACCTTTGACATCATCGGAGACCTCGCCTTTGGGGAGCCGTTTGGGTGTTTGGAAGGAGGAGACCTGCACCCGTGGGTGAGGACGATCTTCCAAATGATCCGGCTGGGTGTGGCGCTGCAGACGGCGAACCACTTTTCGATGCTGAGTCGGCTCATCACGGCGGTGATGTCGACTAAGGCGATGAGAAACAGGCGGCTTGAGCATCAGGCCATGACGATGGATAAGTTGAAGAGGAGGATTGCGTTGGCCGAGAGGGAAGGGCCGAGGGCGGATTTGATGGAGGGGTTGTTGAAGAAGAGGGAGGAGTGGGTGAGCTTAGCCCCTTTCCCGCCATCTTTCGTACTAGATGATAACATGGGCGCAGAACCTTTCGCTGCAACAGCTCGAGGGCAACGCGAGCATCATCATCATCGCGGGCTCCGAGACCACGGCGACACTGCTTTCGGGCGTGACGTATCTCCTCCTGAAGAACCCCGAAAAGATGAAGAAGTTGGTGAACGAAGTCAGAACGACATTTGACAAGGAATCTGACGTTGATCTCACGTCTGTGAATAAACTGACGTACATGCTCGCGTGCCTGGATGAAGCGCTGCGGTTGTATCCGCCTGTGCCGACGGGTCTTCCTCGGACGGTGCCCGAAGGCGGAGCTATGGTTCGCGGGGAGTTTCTTCCTGCAAAGGTGATTTTTTCCCTTAGGTGCTGTTCTCTGCCGAGGGGGCCGGGAGTTTGTTCCATTCTTTTGTCGGAGTATCCCAGCTAATGCGAGACCTCTCACCTTCGTAGACGACTGTGGCTGTCCATCAGTGGGCCATGTACCACAACGAAGCTAACTTCAAGAACCCATTTCTCTTTCACCCGGAGAGGTTCCTAGGTGACCCGGAGTATGCTTCTGATCGTAGAGAGGCGTTCCAGCCGTTTCACATTGGACCTCGAAATTGCTTGGGACGAAAGTGAGCCTCCTGACTTTCCTCAACTTTGTCTACCTACTAATATGGCATGATAGCCTCGCGTACGTAGAGATGCGGATCATGCTAGCGAGATTGCTTTGGAACTTTGACCTTGTTCTGGCGGAGGATAGCAAGGCTTGGATGGAGACTCAGAAGATTTATACTCTATGGGAAAAGGGGCCATTAAATGTTTACTTGAAGCCTGTCATGCGTGACTGAGATTTGGGAGCAGAGACTTCCTAGCTCAATACATCAAGATCTTGGATGACGCGATACCTCTTTTCAAGGCTCAACTAATTGATTAATTTGTACAAATGACCTCGATAATACCTACTCGACGATTTTTTGCGCTGCAGTTCAATCACAGCAAAGAACGGATCTCACAATTCGATGACATCTGCATAAATTTAATAGTTTTCTTGAGAGTAATTACGGGCGTCCTTTAGAGCCTACTTTGTAGTTGATTCCAGTGCTTGCCTTAGCAACCCTTTCCAAAGTGATCACATCCAAAGCTCTTTGTACTTTCTCTGTGTGCGTTCTTCATGCCACCGCTTGAAGCTATATACAAAAACCTGCATTATGTACATTACGGACCATCTCAGCTAAGTAGCTTGAAAGTAACTACTCCTAGCCGGTTTCTTCGCCTCAACAAAACTTTCAGAGGATCCATCAGTCCACGGACGGCCCGATGAACCGCTAGAGGCACTGATCACATCGCCATGCAACGGTTGCAAGCCAACCTTTCTGTACGCTTCCCAAAGGCTTTTGGACACAGTCAGAGACTCGTCATTGTATTCGTCGTCATTCGCCTTCAACCAGCCCTTGAACTGGTCGTTTAGCAGGCCGGGGAGGGACTCAATAGCCCCTCCCGTGATCATCTCACCCACCCAGAGAAGCATAGCCGTGTAGTAGCGCTTTGTCAAATTCATTATCCGCGTGTTCGTCAGCTCTTCAGTGGGGAAGGCAAGTATGGCTGAGCGGTGAGTCGACCCGACAGAGATGCCGAAACGGATCTCGTGCTTCTGAGGATGTACTAGCCCGGCGCTTTCCGCGATCTGGGGACCCTCTGGCCAGGAGATGTGCGAAAGCATCTCTGCAGCGTATCCGAAAGGTAATGGGACGCTCCAATTTTCAATGTCATGTGCCTCTTGGAACGTTTTGAGATACGGGTTGTACAACGTCCATGGCGCGCGTTGTCGCCCGTACGCTTCAACGACTAGGTGATCAAGGAAGCGGGTAATGGTGTTATTCGCGTAGGTGAAGAGAAGTTGGGTTTCAGTTTCCAGGCGCACCCAGTCTACAAATGGCGGTTGATTCCAAGCGTCCCGAGGATCGATTTGGCCGAGAAAAAGGTATGTTGAAGGAGTGACCTCGGATGTTGTGTCGAAACCTACGATATGTCAGCAGGAATACATGTTGAAGTAACACCGAATTCTGCCTACCGAGCTGTCTGCGTAGCGCATTCATAAGTCTGAATAGGGTCATATCCCAATTGAGAACCGGGCCCTCATCCGCCATGGACGGCCTCGTTTGCTGAAAGAAATCGACAATCAATCTATCGATAATGTGGCCCTCCTTGGGGCGAGTGCGGAGTTTCTTCGCATCCCAGTAGAAAAACAGAAAAGCCTCCTTCCAATCAATCCGGCCAGTGTCCATGGCCATGACGCTTCTTCGGGCGGCGGGAAGGAAGTTGGAGAACATTTTTGTTGTTTTTTGCGAGGCGCGCCAGCCTGATGGGAGGGGCATAAGTACTCCTCTTTCGCCGACTAAGCCCGGGATGATTATCGAAGGATTAAATAGTTCTAGAAGCGGTACAAGCGGGTTCAGCGTCCGAAGGAATGCTGCTTGTTGGAACCAACACGAAAGCGTCCAAATCGGACAGCCAAAGAGATCCACTCTCGCACAAGTCCCAAATCAGCCAATTAAGTCAAACCCCCCACTTCCTGGCACCCCCCTGTTTCTGGCACCCACAAAAACGATGGGATCACAACCCAACCTCCTCATTACTATTAACTATTGATCCTCAACCACACCCACTACAATACAACTGCCAGCCTCACTAGGGCATTCAGAGTCGCTGGATTCAGCCGTAATAACCTCCTTTTCACCCGCTTCGATTTGAGCCCGATGGATATCCCTGATGTTCGCAAACTTCGTGTTGGGATCGATCTGAACAGTCTTCCTCTTCCTAACTGCAGCGTTGGTAACTTGAGCCCTCAGGTGAGCCAGCTGCTGCTGGGCAGCTGCCAGTTGCCAGGCCTGCTCTGTGAAGCCTTTTTTCACCTTCCTGAACAGCAGCCGTTGAGTGCTGGTATCATTGTCGAGTTGGGTGTATAAGTGCAGTTGACCGCTGAGCTCTGCCAGCTTCCTGGGTGTCGACCAGACCACTGCAGAGGAAGCAGAATCCCATGGCTCAACAGGGGTAGTTTGTTGACCATTATGGCATCGCTTTTGCCCCGACTGGTTGGTTTGGGTGTGGTGGGCTTAGCAGAAGGCTCAGGTAATACCATAGGGTTCATCAGGGGCTTAACCATCGCTACAGGGTGTAGACCAGTCCACTTCCAACCACTTCTGATGTTCGAGACTGATAGACCAGCAAGTCGAGCCTTCTGGTAACAGTCCAGGAAGTTCCTTTTACCTATAATGGTAGAGTCGTTCCATTGAGACAAGTAACCGAGCTCCTTCCGATAGGCTGACTTAACAGGGCTGAAGACAGACTGGTCAAGTGGCTGGAGGACATGAGAGGAGTGTGGTGGTAAGAACAGTAAATGGATATTGTTAATATAGCAATTCCATGAAGTCTGTCGTCGTATGACTCCCATGCCCATCCACAATCAACAGTCGAGCCTCGCCCTCAGCCTCGGGCATAGTCTGTGGGATAAACACCTTCTCTAACCATTCAATGGCAGTTAAGTCTGTAGTCCAGCCATTATCTGTTGCTGTAAACTCCCACCCATCGTATGGAACCAGATGTAATGGAAACCACTGTTGTTGGACCGTCTTCCCTTGAAAATGATAAGAGGACGAAGTGCCCTACCCAAGGCTGAGATACACTCAATGATAGAGACCCATGCCCTCGACCCAGGTTGTTTCTTGCGAACAGACGTCGTCTCAGCCATGCCCAGCACTAACCCATTAGCTCCTGACCCTCGAGGATGCCAGTCTCATCCATATTATATCTGTTGGCTGGTTTGATGTCCTTGATCTCAGGGATAGCAAGGAACTTAAACCAGTTCCTAATGACCTCAGTAGATGCCCCATTAACGCGTCTAGAATCGATGGAACGACTTCTCTGAACCTTAATGATAGGGTTCCTTCTCACGAAGGCATAGATCCAGCCTTTTCCTAATGGTTTGGTATCCCCAGCAGCAGCCAGAACTCGCTCTGCGAATTCCTTCACCTGTTGGTGCGTTGGTGCGAGCCCAGCGAAGCCTGAATGCGAACCCATTGTGCCAGCTTACTCTCCTGGTCAGGAGACAGCCTCTGCCAGTCAGCAAAAGCCACTTTCCTAGTCTGACCACCTTGGAGACGTAGTTGGAGGGTTGATCGTGGTATCCCATACTCCAATGAGGCTCTCTTTTGACTCTTGCCGTTTGAGATGTCCTCGAGAGCCTGACGAAGCATTGAGGCATTAGATATAGAAGAAGGTATGTGCAAAAAATGAGCCCATTTGGACTCGAATTGAAAATGTTGTGATAAAAGGAGGTTGGGGGTGGGCATTGCGTTGTGGTGGATTTTCGCGTTTTTGTGGGTGCCAGAAACAGGGGGGTGCCGGGAAGTGGGGGGTTTGACTTAACAAAGAGCCGGCTGTCTATCATTCGGCAAACAAACAATAAAGCAAACACTTAGCATCACCAAATGCCACCCAAACGTTTCGCCCCCCATTCGAGATAACAAGCCCGTTTGCTCCACCGATCCAGGGGTTTGGGTAAACTGCGCAAACGATGAATGGCCTGCTTGCCGCATCGCGATTTGACCAATAATTCATATTCCCCGCAGACGGGCCCAGAACCTCGGACTTGGATGAGACTGGACCCTCTACGCGCCTCCTCACGCCCGCTTTATTCCTTCTTTTTGACCATAATTAGAGCCCCTGTAACGCCAGTGGTGATGATTTCTTTCCCTGGCTCCATCCCTGCCTCGTGGAGCAAACTCGCGAGCTTCCCAACGGCCATCTTGACTACATCACGATCCGTTCCGACATCATCGGGGTGCGCCTCACGCCACCGCGTCACCGGGCTGACCGTCTCTAGGAGCCTCTCGACGTGACCTAAACTCAACTGCTTCTGACCCAAGAAGAACTCCCCGTCCGGTCCGACTGTGCCGTCCTTATTCCAGTCTTTGCGCAGGAAGGCGCTCTCTTCGAATTCCGCCACCGGCGTTTCGAGGTCCCACGGCATCGGTAGCGTCTCGTACATCTTCTCCGCTATGAGGTTACCCGGCGTCATATACGGCTGGATATACTCGTCACGGAAATCTTGTAGGATCTGCTGCATGCTCGTGGCGTTGGGCATGGATGGGTGAATGTACTTTGAGCTGCTCGTCCAGATGGCGACAGAACCGCCCGGCTTGAGCACGCGGGCGGCGGCAGCCCAGAAGCCGGGCATGTCGAACCAGTGCGCCGCGGTAGCGGCCGTGATGAGGTCGACGCTGGCGTCGGCGACGGGCGGGGACAGATTGGACCCGAGCTCCTCCGCGGTGGAGACCTCGAAGCGGATCGGCTCCGGCGCCGACGTGGCCCCGCCCAGGGCTCGGGCAGCGTCGATCATGCCCACGCTCGGGTCCAGGGCGATGGTCCGTGTAAAGCGCGGGCTGAGCTCACGGGCGACGGTGCCGGGGCCGCAGCCGATGTCGAGAAGGGAGTCTGTTTGGCCGCCTGTTGAGACGTGGTGGTCGTAAATGTAGTTGTAGATTCTTTGGTCGTAGCCCAGCCTGCCTTTGGCGTAAGTAGCGCCTTGCTCCTTTGTGTAGGCACGGAAGGTTTTCTCAACCGGGGCGGGAGCTGGGACAGTTGCGACGTCGGCCATTGTCTCTAAATTTTAGTGGCAAATTCTCCAAAGCTGGTATTAATTATAAAGAAATAGAATAAGGCGCTTGTGTATGCTTCCACCTAATATGACAGTGTTTTCCACAAAGTAAACAGCGGAAATTTGATGTGGCCAGCCTGATCTTTATAACTCACATGCGCTCAAGCTGAACTCAACATCTGAGGAGGGCGTTTGGCGAACGAGCACCAAAGTCTGCCATGATTGGCGAAAGGCCACCGAGAACGGCCCACCAACATCTTTCCAAAGAGGGATAACCAAGTCTAACAGAGCCAATCAACAACCCCAAAGATCTCACACTAATCCCGATCAGGGCGACGACTGCGAAGCTGATGCTGTCCCCGCCGACCCGCTGCCGGTCGATGACCTTTTGGTGGCTTGTAAGCCGTCTTGAATCCTTCAGAATCCCGTGTCCGTGTCCGATCCCCCTTGAAAATCTAGCCTGACAGTGGCCACAGACGGGATTTCTGACATTTAGTTCAGTCAAACCCCTCGGCTGGAACACTCTTTTCGTTGGTTGTTAACGATGCTGACACAAGGGTGTTTGCATGCCTAGAAGCCCTCTCATCTTACCTTACCTTAGACCCGGGAGCCGGACACCGGAGTTGTCTTGTTGGGCCGAAGTCCTTCACCGCAGCATGGTTTACTATGGCGCGCTGAGTAAAGGTTGCCAGCGATGCCGTCAACGCAAAGTCAAGGTACGTGCTTTTGAAACCCGATGACCTCCTCCTTGTGCTTGTAAGTTCTACTTCTAACATGCTTTGGAAAAAGTGCGATCAACGCAAACCGGGATGTCTCAAGTGCGAGAAAGGACAGAAGCCTTGTCCAGGCTATCGGAACTTGACAGACCTTGTCTTTCGGGACGAGCGCCAACGAATCAGGAAGAAGTTGGGAAGTGAAGCTGGCAGCTTGTCAAAGCCGAGGAATCTGCCAATCAACTACGCGCTGTGCCTCAACATTGAAGATAGGGCGGCCACCTTTTTCTTCACACACTACACCACCACTGGACCACCGTTCTGTGACTCGTACCAATCATGGCTTGCCAAGACATATCACGAAGATTCTCCCGACAACTTGATCCGACATAGCATCCAAGCAGTCGGCATGGCTGCTATCTCAAATATCTCTAATGCCCCCGAAATAGTGCAGCGGGCCAAGGAGCGGTATGGACAAGCACTGAAAGCTACTAATGTGGCTCTGTATGACCCTGCTCAAGCCACGGCAGATACAACTCTCATGGCGATACTTCTCCTTGGGCTATTTGTTGTATGATTGAAATCCCTTCCCATTCAATAGCCACAACTAACTTGAGCAGACGATAATGTTTGAAAGTTGGAATGATAGCCATGCGTGGACGGCACATATCGAGGGCGCAACAGCCCTATTGCACCTTCGCGGCAAGAGCCAATTCACTAGAGAGCTTGGAATACAGCTCTACATACAATTCAGACAGCAAATTGTAAGTCCTAACGTTAAGTCGTTGAACGGACCCTACTAAGCCGGTTCCTCGCAGCTCCAAGCCTGTATGCATCGAGGTGTTCCCGTACCCCCTGCCCTTGTGGAGATAACCATGCAATTCGAAGCCAGCCGTCAAGGAACGCAGTACAACAGTCTACGTCCGGGGTCCTTAGCAGTTCTAGGCTTTAGACTCGTCAACCTTTCTGCAGCCATGAGCACACAACAAATAACAGACGCCGACGCGATCTGCCGCATAGCGGTTGACATTGACAGTGATCTCAACGCATGGGCATCAAAATCCTCCCAATCTGATCGGGAGTTCCACGAGATTGAAGCAGATGCATCCGGGAAGGAAGACAACTTCAACGGGAGAGAACATGTGTATAACAGTGTTTGGGGAGCACAAGTCTGGAACAACTGGCGGTCGTTGACAATAGTGACAAACCGTATTATTCTCAACCATGTCGACAAACAGAGCTTCCAGAACGACGGACTCAAAGAGATGATGCGGTTCCACAGCATCTCGGTTATCCAAAGTCTCTCTACCGATATATGTATATCTACACCTAGTCTATCTGGTACCCCCCGTCAGTACCAACATGCCATCGAAAACCCCTGCACTATAGACAACGAAGCTAACAATAACCCTAGGAGCACCTTCAATGATCTGGCCGCTGCACATCGTCTCTCAAGAAGAACTGAATGTACCCAATGTACGATCTTGGGCAGTCGAGCAACTAGTAGGTATCAGAAAGTCAATGGGCATAAAGCAAGCCGCTGTTCTGGCAAACACGATGGGCTGAAAACGCTGGTTTTGGAGACATCCGCTTTCGCACAGCGATAGATAAATTTGCCCTTATTCTATGGACAGTATGTTGAACGATAGATGTAATTATAATGATGGCCCTATTCATGGTTCAAAGTTGCAACGTCCAGCATTGAGTCATTAGGTTGATCAATTCTAAGAATTTGGGACATGATGCAGTATACCATTTTAAAAACTCGTCGAAAGAAGTCCGAAGCTTCAAGCGCGGCAACTAGACTGCCGCAGACTATAAGGTTCATGATTGCAGAAGCTTTATCAATAAACGAAACATCGTATCATACCGACAGTTCATGTTGCGGAAGATGAGGTAAGCCAACATATCAGTTAGCGCCGGAAAGTATAGAACCTAGCCCACCTGGCCTAGCGTATTTCCGTGGCCTTGCATACATTATAATTTGAAGCAGAAGATGCCGTTTGTTCGATATCTGATTCGGAATGTCAAAGAAGGTATTCGACAAGCATTGGCTATTGATCTCCAACTATACCCCCCACAATTGGCGGCTTCGAAGCATGGGCACAAACTCTAAAGAACGGCACAGGGAGAACCTGACTCGATACCTCCATCGAACGAACCAATCTCCAAACGCCTGGATTTACGGCGTGATCCAAATTGGCATGTAAACATGTTGCCCTTTTGGGACGCCCCGTGAGGCAGGAGGTGCTCGGTAAGTACTAAGAAAGGAGGCACATATATACTCCACGCTCAGGCTCTGCACAGGGAGGGGGATAGCCTTTTACTGATCATTGTCAAATGAACTAAACTGCCCACTTAGTAGACAACAACGAAGCACTTTGTTCATTTCAACTCAAATCAAAGATGGGGTTCACGACGATATTGTCGCCGGCGGCACTCTTGCCGCTCCTCTTCAAGCTTGCCCTCATTTTACTAGCGACTGGGCTTATGAAAGTTGGCTGGAAGACTTATACAATCAGGAGAAAGTTCAAAAAAGTAAAGGCGTTGGGGATTGTACGTGCACCGCATTTACGGATCCAATCAATCAAGCTGACTGTCGCATATAGCCAATGCTCCCTCACTCTTGGATCATGGGCCATCTTCCCATCATGTTTGAGTTTCGCAAAGAGTTCCCAGGAGACATCAACATTGGCAACTTCCACCCATGGATCATCAACAACTATCAGAAATACTTTCCGGAAATGGACCACTGCCCTCCAGTCATTTATCTGGATCTCTGGCCTGTGTTAAAGGCACCCATCGTGGCTGCGTATAAAAACACCGTTGCGGCGCAGTTCACTCAGACAAAGAATCTTGACAAGCATCAAATCTCCCTCGACTTCATGAACCCGTTAACCAAGGGCTTAGACATCGCTACCCTTCAAGGCGATGAGTGGAAGAAATGGCGAGGCTGGTTCAATCCTGGCTTCAGCTCGAGAAATGTGTCCTCCATGGTTCCTGATCTCATCGAAGAGATCAAAGACTTTGCGGATAACTTGCAACAAAAGGCCGGTCCTAACGGGTCGTGGGGTCGCATGTTCCAGCTCCGCAACATGACGACGGCTCTCACTTTCGACATCATTGTCCGTGCAGTCTTGTAAGTGAGCTACTCCTCTCGTTTGAGGATCGTCAGGACTGATGGAAACTTACCAGGGACGAGCGTCTCCACGAGCAGACAAATACGACTGCTGGACCTCTGAGGGTGGCACTTGCTGACCAGCTGAGACTCATGGGCATAAGACAGGCCTTCAGTTTTGGCTACTTGTTCCCGTGGCAGAACAAAGCCGTGGATCGTAACAATCTCATTGTCCAACACCAGCTTCAACCAAATATTGTCCGATCTCTAGAAACCGGTCTCAAACCATCAAAGAAGAAAACAGTGCTCAATCTCGCTTTGATTCACTTAGCAGAAGAGGCAGGTGGACGCCCGATTGACCCAACTACCGACCCGGTCATGATGGACACCATTTTGGGTAATCTGAAGACCTTTCTCGTTGCAGGCCATGAGACGACCGCCAGTGCACTGTGCTTTATGTTCAAGGTTCTCCAGGACAACCCAGGCTGTATGGCAAAGGTCCGCGCCGAACACGACGAGGTTCTGGGCCTGGACCCTGACCAAGCTGCTGATATTCTGAGTAAGTCACCTCAGCTCCTTGGCTCCCTTCGGTATACACATGCTGTGATCAAGGAGACTCTCCGTCTGTACCAACTTGCCTCTACCATGAGAGGAGGGGAGCCGGGATTCTATCTCAGTGATGCTACTACTGGTCTGCAGTATCCCACCGAAGGGTTCCTTGTGTGGGATGGCGGCCCGGGTATGCAGCATGACCCGTCCTTGTGGCCGCACGTTGATAAGTTCATCCCGGGCCGCTGGCTTGTTCCTGCCGAAGACCCACTTCACCCCGTTAAGGATGCTTGGAGGGCATTTGCCCGAGGTCCTCGGGATTGCATTGGTCAAGAGATTGCTCTGGTTGAGATCAAGCTGGTCGCAGCCTTGATCATGAGGAAGTACGATGTTGAAGAGGCCTGGGATGAGTGGGATGCTCTCCAGTAAGTTTGGCCATATACTAGCCACAATAATTCCCTCGTCGTCGTAGTATGCTAACTATTTTATGTTGCACAGAGGACCTAAAGCCCAAAAAGATATGGTCAGGGGGCAAAGGCTGTATGTGGCGGGAGACGGTATCGGGCATCCCAAAGAAGGCATGCCAGTTCGCGTGCGCCTTCGACAAAAATGAGACATGTACCTGATCTTCGAGATGTCCGTATTGAGATGTCTCTGATAAAGTTCGAATTTATCAAAATTGTCTTGGGTTATCTAGGTCATAACATCATCAGATGTACGAAAGTACGGTGTAACCGCTATCTGCTGAAAGCTTTCCCGCACATCTCCATAGGAGGTGACTGAAATCAACTCAATATCATTGGTGCCATTAACTCATAGATATTGACTTAGCATACATGCATAAACATTCAAATTGTATTGTTCTACGCTTGGGTAATTGAACTTATGGCCAGAAGATCAAAATCCGAACGCCCCATGCTCCATGTTGCTCGTCATCGTGACGGATTGCTCGCTTACTTTGAGTTCGCGTCGAAGAAACATAGGAATGAATGTCGAGGATCTCAATTCTTCCAAATATTCCGAGAGAAGTTGGCCCTGATCTGATCCGCCTGCTCCTCCATCTCCTCTGTTGTCAAGAGCCTCTTCGAGGCGCTGTCCCGATCGGCATTTCCCCAAAAGAAATCTCTATAGAACAGAAGTGGTAGTATACTGCCCTTCCATACAGCCAATTCATCTCGGTAGACAACTGTTAGACTTATCATCCATGAAAGGGCCATGATTTCAAGAATGAGTAGTATCGCAGGGAAGATGAGCCAACATGGTTTGACGGCTATAAAAGTGACGAGTTGAAGTGATTCGCCGTTGACTACCGATGTGGTGTTGTCTTTTCTTCCCATACCCAATCTCATTTGGTTGGTCAAGGCAGTCGCAAAGTCCGTGAAGAGTTGCTTTAGGCTGGCAGGTGTTGATTCTCCGTGGGACCAGAGCCTTGAAAGCCAGATGGCACTCCCACAGTTGATCGAGTTGGGCTGTGTGGAGTCCCAACTGCAAGTGCCATTGAAGAATTCCTCTGAGAAATACTGTGACATCAGAAGCTTGAAATTGTTGTCAATGCGGTAGATACACTCTTCGGGAGCCTGAAATACAGAGCCAATATCAGAAGTATTCCCGGCGTTTACGTGTCGTACCATGGAGAGGTCCGCGCCTTGTGAAAGGTTTCCTTCTGTATATACCTTCCCTTTGATGAGGCAAGGCAGCTGTACTGCAGACAGATCCCAAGCTTGTTTGGGCCCTGGAGACTTCTTATCACGAATATCGTAACTCATCGGGGTCGTCTTCGTAATGGGAGTCTCGAATAGCACTCCTCGACTGATGATGGCCGAGTATGTCCGAATACAAGGGTAAAGCGAGCAAGTGACGGCTATGGCGTGTTTGGGTTTGTTTACATTGATGTTGCCGTCAAGGGCCGTGCTTGTCAAGACAGTGACATTCGCAAATGAGATCGAAGCCCGTTCGAGCGCCTCTGGCGGTATGGTACCATTGGTCCACGATAGATCGCCTGATATAACTCTCATCCCTCCTTCTCTGTCCGTGTTGATGATTGAAATTCCGTTTGCCAAGCTGTGATTAATGGCCTGAAGATTCTCGATCAAGCCCCGATGATCGATCATTTCTCTAATATCAGTGCAGATATTGCAAATGCCGGTGGAAGCATGAGTAATGCTTAACCCAGTTTTGACGGACGTGTTTGAGCCAAGACCGATGAAAGTGCAGTTTCCTGTTGGACAGGTCGGCACAATAACCGAATCAGAACCGTTGCGGCTCAAGGCGAGAGTCTGAATTGCACCCTTGATGTCTGATCTCAAAGCCATGCCTTCGTTGTCGCCGATAAGTGTTCTGATGTTCAGGCCGTCAACATGTCGCGTCACCGGAATCATTCCGGTGCCAAGGCCAAGAGTTTCGTTCTTGTCGACGTGCCCGATAGATTGCTGAACGAAGGGTCCAATAGCAAAGGACGATACGAGGACAACTACAGCGACGAGAATCGATGGGCTGCGCCAAGTGACAATTCTCATCAACTTCAGCGCCCCCCAGACGCCACGAGTACCGTCATCGAAATGCTGTAGGTTTCCCATCCGGCGTTGGGAAGATTTGTCGCACCAGAACCACATCCACTTCGCCTGTGCGATGAGCTCGGTTGCAATAGATACTAAAATCCCCCGAAATATGGTGGAGAGCAAATTGACAAGAGAATTCAGGGTTATGATCCGATCCAAGGGCCAGTCTCTAAGGGGATGATCATCTTGGCCGAGGATAACCGTGATGGTCACGACCAAGAGACATGGGGCAAGGACGAGGGATAGAATCTCCCAAATCCATAGGAAAAGGACGGATCTGCGTGTCTGGCTGTCTTGTTGGGCCTCGGAAACATCTTCATCCTGGAATCGTTGCTGAGATAGGCCCGGCCTTCGCGGGCTAAGCGGAGCGCGAGGTGATGGGGTCTCGGAAAATCCGTTGCTGGCTGTAGTCCATTGCTCGAGTTCAGTTGATGTGGAGACTTGTTTGTTCAAGTCGCGATTGTCGCTTGCAGATGTCGCCATCGACACGTTCTTTCTAGTGACGTATATTTGTTAGTTGAAGAAACTGAAAGAGACTCAGAGTATGGCTTGAGTGCTTGAGAAGATAAACTTGAATTTATATCAAGATTGATCTGGCCCTGTTCATCAACTTGCGTCACACCAATTGTGAATCAGACCGATGAAGCCAAGCTGCCAGTACGACGAGAGTGAGGCTCAAAATCTACGTTTCTGCTGACCTCAGGGACGAGCCTAGAATTGTTTCCAATAACTCATTGACATTGGCCTCAATGCAGATACCCGAGTGGCCCATTCTTGAGCCATTTGCTGAGTTCAAAAGTTGCCTCGTGAGGCTGTGCCGTGACCATCTGTCGCACTTGAGCAACGAAGAACGGTCATATGAGACATACACACGCAATGGTACCACATGAGGTATCCTAAGTTTATTTCAGAAGAGAACATGACCGTTTGATGTTTGTCAAATCCCGCAAGTTTGAGTCATTCTTCGAATTGCTCACCGAACTCGACAGTTAGTGAGAGGGCGCCAAGGAGTAGTCGGGCAAAGCAGTCTTCCACGTCGTTTCTGAGAGGCGACTGCAAAGTGATAACATACCGATTCAATACGATAACCCGCAGATATCCGTCTGATCGGCCTCGCCGAGGTACGGTTGCCTAATGTCTTCCTCAAATCCATTCTTTATTTCCGTGGTGGGATACGAACGACCCTCCAAACCCAGTCTCAATGCTGGCTTTGTATATGACTGACAGCATATCCTTCACCGAAGACTCTGCGGTAGTCGGGCCGGCGAAATGTGGTGCGTACTTTGCCATCTTGCCAAGCATGGCCATTCCCTTCTCCTTTTCTTCCTCTGTAGCTGGCAAGATGTTAGAACTTGGACGAAATTAGAACGAGGACAGATAGTAGTTCTTACCGTTGTCGTACAGCCCCGTGTCGATCACTCCGGGCGAAATGCTGAAGAAAAGAATGCCTTGATGGGAATGTTCCGCACTGAATTTGGCCACAGCTGTATTCAGAGCTGCTTTGCTGATCGAGTAAGGGGCTCCGACCTCGATGCCGGATTTGGATATGAAGTCCAAATCAGCCATACCGGATGAGACTGTGACTACTTTCTTCGCATGACCTCTCAGGACGAGTGGAAGTGCGAGATTGAAGAGATGAACATTGCCGACGACGTTCGTACGGAACGAGTCGACTAAGTCCTGTTCTAGCCGCTTCGGTTTCTCTCCCCTTTTATTTATACTGTCAGCCCCTTGGTATGGATGTGTCGACCATCCTTTCTCCGAGATTCTGTGAGATCTAACAAACTCACAGAACGCTGATGCCGTCATAAGATGACCAGGTTGAGATGAAGGCCGCGTTTGCAATGACATAGTCGATACTTCCACCAGTGATTTCCGATGCAGCATTCACGGCTGTCTGAGATTGGGTCTTAGTGAGAAAAGCTCAATTTCATGCTAGGTGCTTACCTTTATCGCATCGAAGTCGTCAAGGTCAGCTTGTAGGACGTGGATGTTCTTCCGCTGCAGCTCGGCGTCCACCTTCTGCTTAGTAGCCTCGGCATTTCGGACGACCCCAATGACGATATTGTTTGCATCGGCGGACAACTGCCGAAGAAATTCAAACTAGGTCAAATCAGCATTTCATATGGAAATTTCGAATGCAATAGACCTACTCCAAGCCCCCTCGAAGCTCCGGTCACCAAATATGAAGACATGAGGATCGTGTTGAAGTGTGTCTGTGCTTACAGCTCTTTCCAGGTAAAAAGACCAAGCGTAAATCAAAAGCGACCAAATATTCTCAGTTGAGGTAGCAGTGTGAGTGCCTGTAATAATAAACTTGTGAGCACCGTAATATATAGAGAATTTCCATTCGGCTTAGAAAGCTATGGAACGGGGTTGAGTTCTACCGTTGGAACAAATGCGATTACTAAACTTCGTCCGCGATATTCGGCCGGACAGTTGCACTTCTTGAACACTGGCTTGATTATCAAGCATGGGAAATAGGGACTTTGGCCAAAACCACAACGCCTGGAATTCGATTCAGTAATCGAACGGAGGCGGAGGATTAGAATTATAGCTTCAATTAATTCGACGTGATTGGCAAAGGAAAAAGCATGGTTTCCAAAGGATTCGAAGCAAAACCTGATATCAATAGTGAATTCCAGCGTAACAAACACAGAAAGTTGAGTTCCATAAATTGCACGTGGGAAACATTACAATTGTTCACCTCTACTTTGCTAGCTTGCAACTAGCACAGTAACTTCCATTTTCCACCATTGCTCAGGTTAAGCAGCCTACTTTCAACCATGATCTTGAAGAACCTTATCCTTCTTGCAGGAACGGTGGCTTCTCTGAGTACTTCTCCTACATTCCCTCGTCATGAGAACCCCGAAGCTCTCAGCTGCTCCACGTCAGCGAGCCAAGCGACACCCAGTTGGCGCCAGCAGCAGATTTTCGAGACGTTCATCCAGAGATTCTTTGTCCAAAAAGATGCAAAGGGGGCAATTTTAGACAATATGTCCGTAAACTACACCCAGCACAACCCCAATGCTCTCAGCGGACGTCAAAACGCCATCGATTATGTTGGCCCAATCTTCGACGCTGCCAACTTCACAATCTTGCGACACTCATTTAGCAACAACACTGGATGGGTTCATACAAAATTGGAGATTCCAGGCTTGCCGCTGACTGCGGTGGTGGATATTTTCAGGTTCCAAGGAAGCTGCATTGTTGAGCACTGGGATGTTGCAACGGCGATGCCGCCTAATGCTACAAATCCTTTGGCACTATTTTGAGTGTTGTTCACATTATGTCGGAGAACAAAGAGGTTGATAAAAGGATGGCGATAGAATATCTGAGATGAGATATACTGTGGATATTGTATGATAAGACTAGAGCTCTCGGGAAAGCATTTGACCTGCTTCAAGTTGTCATTTCTGGCATGATGCAGATTTACATGCATCAAACGACTTTGAGTGTAGACCTTAATTGAATTCGTACTTGGAAGAAGCATTGAAACGGAAATGGAAAATGATAGTTGAACTACTGAAATTATGGCAAGCAAGACTACTCAACTGAACAGAGTACAACGCCTTCATCTACCGCATCACCAATCCTCCACTTTGTATGAAATATGCCAGAAACACCCACGATGATGTTGATCTCCATTTTCATGCTTTCGATCACCATGACACATTCACCCTTATTGACCTCGCCGCCAACGGACTTAGAAATCGACAGCACCTTGCAAGGCATCGGGGCTTTGACTTCGCTTTGCTGGTCACTGCTGGAAAGCGCTTCCTTTCTCAGATTGGTATAGAACGAGAGCAAAGTATCTTTGCGGAACTCCTTCCACTCCCCAAGCTGCGGTAAATGGCAGAATACCCTGACAGTTTCATTGAGTGGTAGACTTTGGCGACCTTCGCCAGCATTTGGGATGGCAAGGTATGCGCGAATCTGGTGATCATTCACCGACATACTCATGAAACTTGGCGATGACAAAGAGCTCGCCTTCGAGACTAGCAACTGCTCGCCAGATAGTGGCTTCAGCTCGACGTTTTTGATGTTGAAAACAGGCCCCGACCATGCCTCTCCGGTCCGAATGGCTCGGCTTGTGGCAGTGTAAGTAGCAGTCAAATTCGATGCCGGTGGAAGTTCTTCCCCTTCTTTGGATAAAGACTCCTTCTCATCCAGGCTACTGTGTGTCACAGGGTAGAGACAGACATCCCACTCGTTATTGGCGTTGCTGGAGCTAGGTTTGGGAAGACAGGCCTCGCACCTAGTAATACCTCCAGAGGCGGATTTTGAGTCTCTAAGGGAGATGATCTCGCAGCTTTGGTGGAACGGGTCAAACTTTTGATTGTGGAACTGACGGCGGACTGTCCGGAAGTGACGACGGCCACCACTTCCCTGGGCTTCGTCCTTCTGCAGATTTTGCAGAAAGATACTAGGAATAAGTGAAACATGGGCTGGCAAGGCCGGGGTGTATGGACTTCGAAGCAAGTCGTCGATATTGTTCGGGATGAATGACGTCTTGTAGCCAAAGTCCTGGAAGGCCGGGTGCAACAGACAGCTTTGAAGGAATAATTGGTTGGTCCTGACTCCAATGCACGGAGTGTTTGCCAGCTCTCTGGCAAGTATGTTGATCGCCGCAGATCTTGTCGGTGCCCAGACAACAATCTTGCAGATCATCGAGTCAAAGTAGATCGAAACAGATGTTCCACTTTGAATAGCTGTCTCATAACGGATGACCGAGCCCGGGCTTCTTCCTGGAGATGCAGGCTTCCATAACAAGATCTTGTCATGACTGGGAAGGAAGTCTCGCTGGGGGTCCTCCGCACAAAGCCGACACTCAATTGCATGCCCAGTCTGTGTAAGATTTGACAGCTGAGGGAGCTCTGAGAGACGACCTTTGGCAGCAACAAACAGTTGCAAAGCGACAAGATCAACTCCGACGACTTCCTCCGTAATTGGATGTTCGACTTGCAGTCGCGTGTTAACCTCAAGAAAATAGAACTTTCTCGTCGATGTGTCGAAGACGAACTCCACGGTCCCGGCTCCTTCGTAGCCTATCAACTTGACGATTCGGACGGCTGTCTCGCTCATTCTCTGCCTGGTGTCGTCATCGAGAAAAGGGCACGGTGTTTCTTCGATCACCTTCTGGTTGCGACGCTGGATCGAGCAATCTCGCTCAAAGAACGACACTACTTGACCATACTGGTCTCCAACTACTTGGATCTCAATGTGCTTACTGTTCTCAATGAACTTCTCTAGAATGCAATCCCCTGAGCCAAATGAGCGTTGAGCTTCTGACTGCGCTCTGCTCAGCTCCGTCATCAGCTGCGATGGTTCGTGCACAACTCTCATACCCTTGCCTCCGCCGCCTGCGGAAGCTTTCAGCATCACGGGAAAACCGATGTCGACAGCAGCTCTTTGCAGGTCTTCGGCTTCAAGACTGGTGCCAGTAAATCCTGGGATCAATGGAACATCGGGAGCGTTCTGCCGGAGATAGTCTTTGGAAGAGCGCTTGTCGCCTAGTGTGGACATGGCTTTGGCTGGAGGGCCGACGAAAATGAGTCCAGCGTGGCGTACGCTGTCAGCAAAGTTTGCGTTCTCGCTCAAGTAGCCATATCCTGGATGAATTGCGTCGGCGTGGATGTCTTTTGCAGTTTTGACCAGGAGATCAATGTCGAGAAACGGATTTCTCGTGTTCTTCTCCATAGAACCAATGCAGATGGACTCGTCCGCATCCTGGACATGCCGTGAAACAGCATCTCTGTAAGGAAAGTCAACAAATCGTGCATCTAGATAACTCCAACGTTCTTGGGTTGTAATTTGGTTGGAACTTACTCTTGAGTATAAACCGCTACTGATGCTACATTGACTTTCTTGCAAGTAGCAATTATTCGACACGCAATCTCGCCCCTGTTCGCGATCAACAGTTTTCGAATTCGAGGGTGTCCGTCTTCGCCGAGCGGGATATCGGCCACAAAAAGCTCTTTGCTGTATGGTCGTGCTCCCGTGATACCGTCAGTTTGCTGAATAGCTGCCATTGTGACGGGGATGACGCAGAATTTGGAAAAGGGACGACTCGCTCAAGCCCGTTTCTTGAGACTTAGTACATGCAACAATGAATCTGGTCGATTAAGCTATTCTAGGAGCTTCAAAGTCCATTTTTGATAGTGGGATTGGCCAACATCATAGAGCTTTCGGATCTCGGGAACAGTGAACCGCGCTCCGACTAATGTCCGTAACGCGGCATAGATGCCCTTGCCGGCGGGTATGCTCGGGAAAGCTGCAACATTAGCGCCGGGAAGCGGTCCGGACAACGGTACACTGTGTGGGCCCTGGCACCCGGCTCCTCGGAACTTCAAACTGATGAAGGTGGCAAAGCGGCAGAACTCACCACAGCAAAGTTTTCTGGGTTTTCGAGACGATTTGATATTATAAGTCTGATAGGCGAAGTACTCCAGTCACTGGGAACATGACTAGGCAGCCTTATGTCTCACTGTGTTGCACTGCTCTAGCGTGTGCAATCACCGACTTAGAATGATACTGTGTATGAAACGGTGAGCGCCATGCTAGGTTCTACGTTGGTGGTTCAATGACAACTTGGTCAGTTGAGCGATGTTTCTTTACTTAAATTGCAAGGATCAGAACTGAATTCATTGGAATCCAACCAAGCATGCAAACCAGGTTCGCTCGTTTGTAGACACCCAAAATAGAATAAGTAATGTGCAGTGTTTTGCAACTCTGAAGCGAAATGGAATCACGGTAAAAGGAGCTAATTCTACAACTTTGCCTTCCTTGCCGACTTGTTGAGCAGCGCGTCTCCCAAATCTCGTATGAGATGCTTTTGATACTTTCCACTCCCAGTCTTGGGCAGACTGGTTCCAACATCAGGGTGACCAATCCAGAACACATGCTCAGGGGCCTTGTGCCGTCCCAACTTATCCGTAACCCAGGCCTTAACTTCCGAATCACTCAGCTTCACAGTGCCGTTCGCCGTCTGTAGAAAGCTTGCGACCACCTCGCCATATCTTTTGTCCTGGAGGCCAACGACACAAGCCTCTGAAATAGCGGGGTGGCCGAGCAATCGATCTTCGATCTCAGTCGGAGAGATGTTTTCGCCACCTGCCAGATGTTTAGTTGAAGTCTTCGGAACCCAGCTTTGAAACTTACCACGAATAATCAAGTCCTTGATGCGTCCTGTGATGTGAGCATAGCCATCAGCGTCGATCAAGCCCTCGTCGCCTGTGTGCATCCAAACCACTCCATTGTCGTCGACCTTCATCACTTCCTTCGTCTTTTCTTGATCTTTCCAGTAGCCCTTCTGCAATGCGAAACCACTGGTGCATAGCTCTCCTCGAGTTCCACGCGGCACAATGGCTCCTTGAGCATCTACCACTTTGGCCGCAGTATGTGGAAGGGCCTTGCCCACGGACGCATTTCTCTTCTCATGAGCATCCTCAAGGGATGTGATAAATGTAACTGGGCTGGTCTCTGTCATCCCATAAGCGATGAGAATGCCCTCGACGTGCATCTTTTCGCGAATATCGGTCATCAATGCGGCTGGCACAGGAGACCCTGCGATGAGACCTGTCCGCAGGGTGTTGGTTGGAGAGCCTGACTGCTGGAGCGCCTCCAACTCGGCAAGAAACATGCTTGGAACTCCAAGGAGGGCCGTCGCCTTCTCGTTCAACACAGCGGATAGTGTTGCCTCTGCATTGAAATTATCAGAGGGAAACACGATGGAACTGCCGTGGCAGAAGGAAGCAAGGAAGCCCATGATGAGCCCGAAGCAGTGGAACAGAGGTGGGGGGCAGCACACAACGTCTGCCTCGGTCAGACGCATGGCGTCGCCCACGAATTGAGCATCATTCACCAAGTTGCTAGGCAATTGATCAGCTTGGTATTTCTCACTCAGGGCTTGGCGGGGTATCTTACATATGAGTGAGAGTGGCGGCCTTCGGGCGACCTGTGGTTCCTAGAGGATGTTGAGCACAGGACGGAATCTAGATGGTAGCTGAACTCACCGGAAGTAAACTGGAGGTTGAGTACATCCGAAGGGCGAACCTTGCGTGCTGCTCGTCTCAAGACGGAGTCGTTCATGAAAATTGACTGTCCGCGGTTGAAGAAGAAGCTGTAAGATTCAAGCATGCTCCCCTGAGGAGCTTGTTCGAATTTCTGCAGGTAGACAATTTGTTTGATCGGAGACTGTCCTTTTTCAAGACGCAAGAGACTTTCTAGGTGCGGCGACAGTGATTTTGTCCCTATTTGAGGTGACATCAAGAGGAGTTTGCAGCCTTTGGCATTGTGAAAAATTAGTAGGGGGACCTTCAGGGAATCACTTTGTTTTTGCTTACCACTGGCTAGCACGGCATTTTTCAACTCGTCGGGCGAGTACGTATTGTTGAAAACTACATAGGGGCATCCAATGCGAGCAGCCCCAAGGAAAAGCTCAATGTACTGATAGCAATTCCCTGCAATGATTCCCACACGGTCTCCGTGATGAAGTCCAACCTCAAGGATTGCTTTGGCTATGACTTTGCTGCGGTCTGCAAGCTCCCGATAAGTGAGCCGCGTAGACTGCCAGGGGACAATGACCGCAGGGCGGTCCCCATACTTTTTCGATTGTTCTTCAATGATAGAACCAAGCGGCTTCAGAATAAGAGGCGGCGAGGTAGGCCCCTGAACCAGAGAGAGCGATGCATCCACCGAAAGTGTCATGATTGCGGAAGGTGAGGTAAGGTACTTGAGGATGAGAACGATGGGCAAAAGGAATAAACAATAATATGAGCCAGATGTTGAATTTCGTCTCTGAAAACTAATCTACATGCCATAAGTCATAAATACTGTTCCCCGGATGTTTGATAGCCGACATCGAGGTGGGCCAACCGGGGCCCGAGGGGCACGAGGGGATCGGTCCGGGAGAGCGCCAATGCCCCGACCCATACTCAGAAACCCAGTACTTCTACCGAGTCACACGCGACCAAGACGCAACTGACTCTGCTCGATACCCACAGCTTTACTTCTTCCCTCAATTTGATCAACATGATTGAGCAACTTTTTCCTGTCGAGAAGTCAACCGTTGACCTCACTGCATCCAACTTCCAAGCGAATCGTCAAGCATGGGAGCCTGTTTTGCAAGAGTTTAACAGTCATCTGAAAGATGTGTCCTCGGAAGGGGATGAGGCTTCCACATTGAGACACCAAACGAGACACCAATTGCTGCGTAAGTCGCTTTTTGAGTGTTAACAAATTGAGACATTTGAGCTGACTAGCACGGTGCAATGAAGCACGAGACAGGATTGCTTTACTGCTCGATGCAGACTCGCCGTTTCTTGAGTTAGGATGCTTTGCGGGGTTCAGGATCTCCGGATCTAACTCCTGCGCAAATATCATTGCAGGTATCGGCCTTGTTAGGTGAGTTTACTTGAGAGCACTGGTTACCAATCCATTTCTAACAGAAAATGAGTCAACGGCCATGCCTTCTTATGTCGCATATCCCAACGCAGAGTGGAGGAGCTTGGAATGAGATGACAGGTGAGGGCTCCTCCTCCACTTCTCCTGGGACCAGACTACTAACCTCAACCAGTCCTCAAAGTCAACCGCATACTTGAAATAGGATTCGAGAACGATTTGCCTCTCATTTCACTGGTTCAGTCGGTAGGAGTGCCATGACCAATTGATACAGAAATGTTCTAACTATCAAAGGCCGGTGTTTTCTTACCCCAACAGTTCCGAGTCTTTCATAAAGGCGGGCAACTCTTTCGTGATCTAGCGATACGATCTCAGCAAGGCAAACCTTCGTGTGCCATTGTTTTTGGCTCCTCAACTGCTGGAGGTGCCTATCATCCTGCGCTTTCTGATTACACCATTTTCGTGGAAAATCAGGCCCAAGTGTTTCTGGGAGGACCTCCACTAGTCAAAATGGCTACTTCCGAGGTGGTCACTGCCGAGGAGCTGGGCGGGGCCAAGATTCATGCATCAATAACCGGACTGGCTGATCAGATCGCCATGGACGAGTATGGCATTCTCGATTTTTCTTCAGTTTCCATCTGACTGACACCATTATGACAGGTTCGATGCTATTCAGAAAGCTCGCGAATGGGTTGCAACACTTCGCACCCCGGAGCCCAGTCGCCTACTCGCCAATACGTCAGACCCTGTACCTCCTCGGTATTTCATCGATGATCTTCTCTATTTGGTGAACACTGACATTCGTAAACCATTCGACATGCGCGAGGTGTTGCTCCGACTTGTTGATGACTCCAGGATGTCTATCTTCAAGCCGAGCTACGGCACGAATATGCTGACGGCCTGGGCGGACATCCTCGGTAAGAAGCTTTTTATCACTCAATCAACTTTCACGAACAAGGTTCACTGATACGTTTACAATGAAGGCTTTCGTGCTGGCATTGTGGCGAACCAGACTCCTGTGATCCACCCACACGAGGCCCTCAAAGCCGCACAGTTTATTCGACTTTGCAACCAGGAGTAAGCCTCTCGAGCTCAAAGATTTTCCTCGTTCTAGCTGACCCGGCTTCAGAAATACGCCAATAATCTTCCTCCACAATGTCACTGGCTTCATGGTAGGTACTAAAGCAGAGCACTCTGGAATCATCAAAGCAGGCGCACAACTTGTGTCCGCGGTAAGCTGCTCAACGGTTCCTCATATCAGCATCATCCTCGGAGCATCTTACGGAGCCGGTAACTACGCCATGTGCGGCCGATCATACCGCCCAAGATTCCTCTTCACGTGGCCGACGGGGCGATGCAGTGTCATGGGCCCAGACCAGCTTGCGGGTGTTGTAGAAACCATCAGAAACAAGTCAAATGGCGGTAGCAAGCTCTTCCCAGAGGAGATCAAAGCTCAGGCAGCGCAGTTACGGGAGGATGCGTACAGGGATTCGACGAGCTATGCAACCAGCTCGATGCTTATCGATGATGGTATCATTGATCCGAGGGACACTCGTGATGTTCTTGGCATGTGCTTGGAGATTGTGGGGTTGTCTGGCCAAAAGAGTGCTGAATCACATCGTTTCCTGGCAAGAATTTGATCGTATTTAGGTTATGTTCTGTATAATTATATGAATGCTTTTCCGAGTCCTTTCAGTGTGCGCATTCAATTTAGTAAAGTCTCCCTTACTCCAGCCCTAAGTGTAGCAGCATCACTTTGACCAGAGACAAGTGCACGTTATTTTTTCGGGACCTGCTTTTCTCGACACGAGCTCACGGACATCATCAGACCTTCAACCTCATGCTCAAATGTAATTGACTGCGATCTTCTTCTTCTTCTTCTAAGCCCGTTCAAATGCGAGCATGCACATGGTGCGGTATGAGGTGAAAGCTTGGAGTCTTGAACCTTGACCGCGAGGGTGTGGATCTGGGTACCAAGGAAAGGGGATTAGAGCAAGTGGAAGATGACAATCTTGAGTCATCCAATTGGGTACTTGGAGTGGAAGTCAGGTACCTATCCAACCTTAGCCGGGCGGTCCGGAATCCCGGCGTACCCCAGATTTCCAGCCGAGGTGGCAGTTAGGTACGTACCAGGACCCACCCGGTCCGGGACCGACCTGGAGATGCAAAGCCGACGGGAGCATTCTTGGATGGGACGGATGCTCACAAGGGCTCCTGCAAGCCACTTACAGCGACTCTCGGTATTCTCTTCTACTGAAACTAGATTTCCACTCAACATGGCGGGCCCCAAGACTGTAAGAATCGTCGAGGTTGGGCCTCGTGACGGCCTTCAAAATGTCAAGACCGTTGTGGATACTTCGACGAAGCTCGAACTCATCCAAAGACTACAGGGTGCAGGACTGCAGAACATCGAAATCACGTCTGTCGTTTCACCAAAGGCCATACCTCAACTTGCAGATTGCCGCAAAATACTTTCCGCCCCTGTTGTGAAGAGGTGGCAACAAACCGATGGTACACTGCGTATGCCAGTTTTGGTTCCGAACACCAAAGGCTTCCGCATCGCCCTCGAACATGGTGTTAGGGAAGTGGCTGTCTTCGTTAGTGCGACAGAAGGCTTCAGTCGAGCAAATATCAACTGCACTGTCGACGAGAGCTTGGAGCGTGCCAAGCAGGTGGCTGCCGAGGCCAGTGCAGCCGGGGTGCTTGTGAGGGGGTGAGTTCGTTCTTCTTTCCTGAAATGTTTTTTGGTTTTTCAGCCTCGATATACAGTCATCTAACTTCGTTTTCTCTTATGGCAGATACGTTTCTTGCATCTTTGCCGACCCTTTCGACGGTCCTACTCCTTTACCTGCAGTTTCCCGCGCTGTGCGAAGCTTACTCGATATGGGCTGCTACGAAGTCAGCCTTGGAGATACTTTGGGTGTCGGAACACCACCAGACGTTCGACGGCTACTTGAATATCTCAAGATCCAGAACATACATACCGAGAGATTAGCTGGCCACTTCCACGATACCTACGGGCAAGCTCTAGCCAATGTGTGGACGGCGTATGAATGCGGTCTGCGAACCTTTGATAGCAGCGTTGGCGGTTTAGGCGGTTGTCCTTTTGCACCAGGTGCCAAGGGAAATGTGGCCACGGAAGATGTTGTATACTTGTTTCAACAGGCTGGTATCGATACCGGTGTAGACCTCCAGCAAGTAGTTGACATTGGGGTTTGGATCTCCCAGGCCCTAGCGAAACCCAACGATAGCCGGGCTGGAGCGGCTCTCGCCAGCAAATCAAAGATCTCATCGACCAAATCATCTTCGAAGATCACCGATCGACGAAAGGAGGCGTTGGGGTGGTCAGTCTTGCAACAGTCTGACAACATTGTGGTTCGGGGGGCCGGGGCGAACGGTAATATCGTTCTCAACAAGCCCCGAAACGGCAATACCCTCACTTTTCCGATGATTTCCGAGATCATCCAGGCATTCAAGTCATTTGAGAGCGACGCCTCAATATCTCGTATTCTTATCAGCGCAAATGGCAAATTCTTCTGCACTGGGATGGACCTGAGCCAGGCTGCACAGGCAGTCGGCCGGGGCGGTGACGCAAGTTCGAAGCTGTTCCAGGCATTGACAGACTTATTCGAGCTCATCGACAAATCTCCAAAAGTCACAATTGCCTGCATACAAGGACCGGCTTTTGGCGGTGGCATTGGATTAGCATTTGCTTGCGACATTAGGATTTCCATCAGCTCGGCAAGCTTCACATTGTCTGAGGCCAAACTTGGCATGTGTCCTGCCGTAATTTCGAAATACGTCATCAGGGAATGGGGATTTGGACTCTCGAGGGAAGCCATGCTCACTGCGCGATCTCTGACAGCTTCCGAGCTGAAGTCTGCTGGCGCCATCTCGATGGTTGCTGAGACGCCTTCGGAACTGGACATCATAACGAAAACTCTCCTCGCGCAACTTCGACACTCGTCGCCCGGGGGTTCAAGCATGTCGAAAGAATTAGTCAAGTTAAGTTGGAGACACGCGGGAAAGCCAGAGCAGCGGGACGGGATTTCCAGGCTTTTCAAGACCATGATGGAGCCTGGCTCTGATGCCGTCCATGGGATAGCAGAATTCCAGCAGAAACGTAAGGTCGACTGGGACTCCCTGAATCAGGTTCCGCGGGCGAAGATATAGCATAAGATATCTAGTATGTACAGGACTTAGAGGCTTAGTTCAATTGCTTTGAGTAGTGTAAACACAATGACGGTGACATTCCGACCGTAACAACAAGCTGCAACTTAAAACCAGCTGTAATACCCGCCACCAGGTTGGCTCATCCGGATGAAAAGAATGGGGAAAGCAATGGAAATGAACCCACTACGCTGCTGCGGGCCGTTGATGCCCCCACGCACACATACATAAACCCCGGTTACCCCGCATTACGGCTCAGCATTACCCCATATCAATGTCCATCGGTCGCTTCACTTTGAGGCGGACGAACGCGTCTGGGGCCTCAGCAACTATATTCATTACATCATTTCGCCTTGCCTGAAAACTGTAGACAACATCAACATGGCGGAGCCTGCGGAATCATCCACAACGAGGCCAGAGAGAAGTCCGGAGTCGAGGTCACCACCAACCACCGCAGGCATCAAACGCATCCGCCAGGCCTGTACCAGTTGCCGGTAGAGTTCCAAGCCCTCCATCCCTTCTTTAGCGGAGGCCATATCAAAGGCCAAGTCGCGTGGGAATCGCAGAGAAGCTGATATGGCGGCATTCGTCTTAGGCAGAAGAAGATCAAATGTTCCGGGGATCGACCAAGATGTATCAATTGTCGACGGGTGATGCAGCGGTGTCAATACGAGCCCTACTCGGCAGTCTCGGCTTCCCTTTCTGGGAACTCGACTGCATTACTTCTTGGCTTGACTAAAGATGTAATCACTGTGATAAGTGTCTGGCCCTAGAAGATCAGCAGGCTGACGACGTGAACTTGTCTAGACGGACCTTCTACAGAGAATCTCTATGATTGAAAGCAAATTGGCTCAGTTGAGCGACCGCGAATCTCAAGAATTCAGGTATGTGTTCATCGTCAAATTTCATAACCCAGGATTGTCGTGCTAATACAGCTCAGTTCCGCCGCTTTTAACGAGGCCAATCTGCCTATGGAAGACCACAATACTGTGGAAGAGCAGCCTCAATTCCAATTAAATGAGCAAGAAGATGTTTTAGGCGTTCCTGATTTGGTCAACCAATCATCACCCAACATCTCAACTACCTGGCGTTCAGGGAGCTCGCAGTCTCAGTAAGTCTTCTTCGGCGTCTTTTGTAGCTTAAGCACAAAGGACTCCAAGAAAGCTAACCTGGCACTGCAGAACATTCAGTACATTTCCGCCGGATTCGGTAACGCAGTCGCTGGTCGACACTTTCTTTCAATGGTGTCATAACCAGCCATATTCTTACTTCCACGAAGGAAGCTTCCGGCAGAAACTTGCGGATGGCCAGCTTTCGAAATGCGTGCTTCTGGCTGTTTTAGCATCTTCCTTGAGGTTTTCAGAACACGAATACTATCGAGATAACAGATCCAATGCCATTGAGGCATATGCAAGAGAAGCATGGTTATCCGTTTTGGGCGACCACATGACGGTGGAAGATTCTTGCAACCTCGAGGTCGCCCAAGCCACCAATATCCTGGCCATCATTGACTTTACTGGTGAGTATTCCGATAAAGGCGTCTTATTACTTGGTACTAACGCCTTTGTCAGCCGGCCGAACCAGCTCCGCGTGGCTCAAGATTGGGATGGCGATTCGGATAGCCCAGGATCTCCAACTCATGAAGGAGCCCAGCGAAACTCTTCCCCTGGTGGAGCAAGAAGAAAGGCGGAGATCCTTCTGGTCAATCTACCTTCTCGACAAACTAGTATCCCTCGGCAAGCACAGACATTTCGCCATCTTGGACGAGGACTGCCATGTGCGACTACCTTGCGACGAGTTGACGTTTCGTTCTGGTGGATGGGGCCAGAATGTGACGCTGCGTCAGCTTCTCGATTGGAGCACCGATGTAGGCGTTGAGAGTGGATTCCCAGTTGCCATCTTGGCATCATCAGTACTCGCGCGCTGTACTCGAAGGCTTCTTCACGACCGCAACACCGACGATACTCCCCCATGGGACTCGAAGTCGGAGTTCGCATCAATCACATCCCTCCTTCTCCTCGTCGAATCCCGCCTTCAGGTCGATCAACATCCCATCAAGAGTGTTGTCGATACTTACAGGCTTGATGATGGTATCATAGATCACCCTGCTATGGGTCATGTCATCTTCGCACGCACAGTATTCCATGTTTGCTACTGCCTTCTGTACCATCCGTTCCTTGTGCGAGAGCAAATTCGGAAGGTCAAGTGTCAGGTTCCATCAAGTTTTATGCGCCTCGCCTCACAGAAAAGCTACGAACATGCCCGGGATCTGGTCAATTTGCTGCACGATGCAGAAGCAGTAGGGTGCCATCTAGGTGCTTCGTTTTACGCATATTCAGTGTGCCTAGCTGGTAGCATTCTCTCGCTTCACATGCACGCCGAGAAGGATACCGAGAGCCAGCGTTACTTGGAACTACTGAGTGCAACCCAAGACAGCATATCAATACTTGAAGGAATGGCAAAGTTTTGGGATCATGCGTCCAAAATTGTAAGTTTCCAATAGCTCGATGAATTGATTTATCTAATGCCATGTATGGGCTAACATTGGTATAGCACCATCGGCTGCTGACTTTCAATTCGAACGCTTATCTTTTCGATTCACTCCTTGACTCGCAGCTAAAATCAGTCATGGATCCAGGATGGGAAAGATCCCTCTGGTCGATGGTCGACTACGGGGAGATGTGCCGCGAATCAAATCTATCTATCCCAAGTCCGAAAATACCAGCGCCTTCAGATTCTCCAAGCTTTCCAGACCTCGGACTAGAAAGTGAACAGATGTTGGACATGGGACTTGGTGTACAACAAATATCACAGATCGACGACAACCTGATGAATTTTGATACTCCTAACATTAAGTATCTCCTTGAGCTGGCTTCTGGAGGAGGTTAGCGGTAGGTAGCCTTGACTCAATGCGATTGCTGGTCCTACTTTTGCAAGTGAAGATCTTGCTGGGAGGGGTCGCAAGTGCATTTCGATTTGCCATTCAAAACAGGCGCAATAGGTTATCGAGTTACAGGTATCCTTGAGCCACTTTACTGCTGAGGGAAAGGTCTGGTCTAGCCAGGAGGCAAGCGGTAACGCAGAAGAGACTCAAAGCAACCTTGTTCCTTCAGTTAGACAGCGAGGAAATTGATGTTTGAGGGAGGAAAGAACAATGAAAATATGAAATTCGACTGCCTAAGGCATATATCCAAGGTATCTACCTAAGGTACCTTAGGTACGTGCCTTAAGATGAGGTACTCTATGCTCATTTTTCGTGACATGCATGGAACTTACCAGGTAGGTAACTACCTTACCTTACCTAGGCCACAGGCAGCACCTACCTCATTAGGAGAGGCACCTACCTTTGGCAGGGCGGCTTCCTCGATTCACTTTCGTCTGTCCCTTTCACTCGCTCTTTCCTCTCTGTCACACATGCCTTAAACAGCTCCACATCTTTTTTTATCAAGGTCAAGTAGGTAGGGTCTCCAAGGCAGGCAATACCCTCGTCTCAATCTATTTAGTTCCCTCCCACCTCGCCCAGCGACAACTGTTCTTCCTTCCATTACAGTACACCAAATCGCCAACATGAACCCCGACGAGATCAACTGGAAGGATGTCTTCTTATTCTTCTACTGGGACTTGCATGATGAAGATTCGGATTCTCCTCTCGCAGGCAAAGAGACATACGACGACTTCATCCTGGAGTTCTTGAAGGGAGAGCGCTTGCCTCCTAACACCCTGTCTCGCCCCAAGTCATGGAATCACCTGCTATGGCACCTCATGCGATCGTCCCTGTATCAGACAGGCAAGTACCTACAACATTCATTCGCGCGTCACATTCTGACCTCATGTTTAGGCCTGAACTTGGGAGAAAACAGCACCAACAGCAACTACAGTTGGCTCTACAATTCCCCCTCTCAGACCGAAGAGCCCTGGGTGAACTGGATGGAACTCCTCGATATTTACAGCGAACAAGTCGAATTCAACGAACAAATTGAATACGGCAATGACATCTTCTGGGTTCTGGGATACCTGGAGGAACGCGCATACGCAAACATCCACTACAACTTGACAATGCACGAGGCATGGGCCAGCAACCCCTATCTTCTGGAATTCGGAGACAGTCAGGGTGTTCGGCTTGACTGGGCGGTGTCGCTGCCCATCAATGGGGGTTCATCATACGAACTAGGATTGCCGTATGCTCTCAATCTCGAGCAAGGCTTTGTCATCGAATACGAGGTTGAATCAAACGCGATGCGTCTTTGTACTGAAGGAGGCCTGCTAGGAGGTGAAGACGCGCTCGGCTTAGCGTACTTCCATTACACAACTATGCTTCGATGGGCTTACCACATGATGTTAAGAGGCAGCGTTTTCAGCATTCACGACTTCTTGCAAAGTCCTTCGGTAGATCGCCACTGGTCGAAGCCGGAAAATGCCGTTGATAGATTGCGCATCACGAAGGAGCTGTGGCAGGGCATCAGAACGATAAGCCGAGGAGGCTAGCAAAGGGCTTCGTAAGCCTAGCGGGACTTTCTCGGGAGAGAAGAAGATAGAGTTCATTGATTGAGATGAGCCTTGAGATGGAGATTACACATAGGACCTTAGGGAATCTTGAGCGAGACGGCCACTGCAGTTTCAGGATGGGGGTTTACTCAGTTTTGACACGCACTACAACGCAGCAGGATGGGACACTTTTATCAGGAGGAAACCAGATAATTGGAGCTAGATAGATATCTTCCCAGAATGAAACGTTGTCTCGGGAGTGTTGGCTTATTCTTCGTGACATAATTGATTCTGAAGCGTAGGAATAATATCGACTTCAAAGGCATACCTTTCACACCCACGAGCAACCCAGTGGAAGGATCGAAAGGTTACTGGGTGCGTATCATGGCCGCTAACCAAGGCAGGTTCTGTAAGGTAAACGGTACGAGACGCACTACCTTCCGTCCCTGGTAATGCTCAAGACGTTGAGGTTCCACTTCTTTCCCTCCGTCACCAGGAGGGCAGGAAGCCTGAGGCGTACCTTCCGCAAACGCCACGAGGAGCCCTCATATACCCCTCCAAGTCCATTCCTGTCACCAGCCAGCAGGCGCCCCCCTAGGTCGGGGGGTCAGGTCAAACTGGCTGGGTGGTGGAGAGGTTAATGGTCCAACGATTAAACGCCAACCAGCCTACTCGACAACAGGCTTAGCGAGTACCCGAGTTCGAGTCCCAGCATGAGCACCAAGAGATGTAGCCTCCAGTCCAGCACCGGGGGGGTGAACTCTTTTGCCTTTTGGTGTTTTGGATCTTTTTATATGCTTGTATGATCGAGGCCTAGGCTACTTACCTTACCGCGCTTCACTGATGACTGTTGTTCGCCTTGTTACCAGTCCTCTTTCACTCCCCTCCGAGGAGAAGGCCCGTTTCAGGCTCCAAACATAGACCTTCACGTGGGCAACGTAGCTCAATGGTGCCTCGTTTTATTTCCAAGTAAAATGCGTCACATCGTTATGACACCAGGGCATTCATTCCTTTCTCCTTTTCTTCAAGGCGAAGGTTTCATGTGTAAAAGACAAGGCCGCCTCCAAGCCGACCTCGACGTCCGAGATCAAACGCATCGTGAAATGGGAATAAAAGTTTACGGAAAACCTGAAGAGTTGACAGTTTCCCGTTTGACAGTTGCAATGTATAGATATATATATCACCTGTTCAAGAAGCATCAAGACCAAGATACTCCTGACATCAAGCGGCATATCACTCAGATCACTGCCATGGGTTTGATGACACTAGTCCATTTGGTCTTTCTCTGCATCGCACTTCACCAGTTGTTGAAAATCATAGCCATTTGGCTGATAACTGGCAGTTGGCACAATCTTTGGAGGATCCTACCTTGTATCGCAGACGACGAACAATCCGACATGTCCGACCACGAATCTTCACTCAACTGGGGCGACGAGTTTTCCTTCCTCATCTTCGACTACTCACTTCTCTCTGACGATGAGACCTTGGTTCAGCTCTTCCTCGCATGTGTGATGATCAGGCACCAGTCACTCAGAAGAGGAGACGGGGAACAAGATGTTGATCCTTCTCACTGGGTAAACTTCCCATGGCGGGTTATGGAGACCATCAAACCGCGTTTCCGTATGTGTCCAGGCATCTATCAGTTCACAGAGCGTCATACCAGGTGTCACTAACGTGTTTGGCACAGAAGTTCAAAACGAAGGCGGCTTTCCAATCGACCTGAACTCTGAACCCGCACCTGCTAAGCCAGTGCCCGTTTCCGGCGTTGGCCATCATATTGAGCAAGGTAAGTGGCTCACACAGCCGCCTCAAGACGCCGCTCTTCCCTCTCCGCGAGACGATTCAATGCTCGCCTACCTACGCACTGAGTTCGATAAGGGTAGCGCGGTCACTGGTGAACCATTCAACATCCGGTACGAGCTAGGTATGTTCCACCGAGACCTCTACCAGCAACTCACGATGTATCACTACCGCCGCCTGCGCAGCATCGGTTCCATCACAGGACAAGTCGTCGCTGCACGAGCCAACAGCCTGTGGGCGAGTAATCCATCCCTACGCCGCTTCGAAGAGCAGCACGAGACGGTACCATGGGGCGTCCCGGTACCTTTTCTAACCTTCCAGTTCCTCAACTTTCTCCCGGGGCCCATCGACCCCGGTCCGGGTCTGGAACGATCTTGGGTGAGTCGATTTCAGATCGTCTGTAGTCCCGTCGCCCGCGTCGCCTACGTCCGGATCAAGCCGGGCCGTGGTTATACCGTGAACGGGATGACGGTCGAGGAGGCGGAGTGGATGATTGGCGGGATGAGGCTTCTCCACGTGGAGATGCTGCGTATCTGGGGGCTCTGTCGTCGGCAGCCGATGTTCTGGTCGGGTGAAGATTTGGCCGCGTTTGCGCAGGACGTCTTTGATGGTGCTGCGGTGAAAGGGAGAGTTCATCTGGATGCGATCTCGAGTGCCAGGGAACATTGGAGGTTTATCCGGGAGGTGGAGGGTGTTTGATCTTCCGTTGTCTTCTTGGGCGGCTTTAAAAAGAACTACAATGGGGGCATCTTGTCGTTTATGTTGTTTCCCTGAATTAGGGTAGATTTCTTATAGTTTGTTAGTCCTGGTAGACTTTGGGTGTTAGATGCTCAAGTATTCAATGAACTTTTCTTTGTGTTTCAGCTTTGGAACATGCACCCAAGATTTGAAGAGTGCAAAGTCCAACATCCTATTTCCTGAACTTATCGCCATGTAGGATAGGTAGTGGTAGATAACGAACAGATGAATCGAAGTGGAATACTGCCGCAAAACTACACGGTCGTGGCCGGTCATTTGAAAGAGCAAAAACATACAACACCAGGTATTCGCTGATCGTCACCGACTCAACTACTAATCTGGCCCTCATCAGCTTGTCTATGGGAGAGCGGACGGGATCCCGAATTTTCTGATGGGTGTGGTCGTATGTGCTGGTCTTCCAAAAGAAGTACCATTATATTGGAAGGGGGGTTTGAAAATTCGGATATGGAATCGTTGTTTCCCCCTGTCACCAATGCCGGACGGATCGTATTGGCATCGGTGATCGTTCGTCGGCCAAGGAGGTCAAGCTCCGGAACATTGTGAATCGTTCGCTTGGCGAAACGGGGGCATCGTGGTTGCGATCCACTTCGTGGCCAGTCCGTCGAAAGTCAGCCGACCCGGTCCGTAAGTCCGGAGGGCTGAGAGGGCGGGCAAGCATTTCAACTCGAGTTCCTAACTTTTTGTCTTGAAATCCATATTGGGAGATCAAAATACTCACCGCAACTACGCGCTTGCGGTTGTTCTTCGTGGTCGTCGGGCAAGATTGTTTTTCCTCCGCGACGGATTTCCTTTCCAGGCTCTATGCATCTAGCAACGGGACTTTCAGTGGGTAAGCCCGTATGATTGGCCGCTGCAACGAATCAGGAAGGGAGAACTGTATTTTGCATTCACGTGGACTCGTGGAGTCTCCAGACCCAGATATATCGCGAGGTGGAGGAAAATGGAGGGAAAGGTGGAGGAAGTTAAGTAGAAAAAATATGTTACATAATCCCTCATCCAAAAAGCCGGGCTCAACCGGAGTGTTCACGGACATTCTCTACGAGGCGGGATGCTTCATTGGCTAATCTTGTAGGATTATCTGGATCTGAGTTACTGAACCATCATGATACCGGGGCGGTCGGCAGATTGAGGAGGGGGAAAGGTAACGTTGACTACAGGCGTACGTGAGTCGTGAGGCGATGTCGTACGAGGCATCCACATGCAATGAACCTGAATAGCGGCTGCAATAACCTTGGTCAGTAGAGAGAAAATGAAGGGGTTGATTCAATGGTTGGTTGATGATGGGCTCGGAATGCTTCGGTTGACTGCGTTTCATCAACTTTCGGGCCGTCTGGAGGCATCCGAATCTTGGCAGCGTCCAGGCGCCGGTTGAGGCTGCGGGAGTGGCTGATCATCTAATCCTCTTTGCTTTCACTTTGACTAGCTGGCTGAGTAAGAGTTTGGCTGCGCATATGATGTCGTTGAAATACGAACAAAGCATGGGTTCAAGCTGGCATGGCTCATCTATATTTTATCCTTATCTTGCCTAATGCCATTGTTGCTGCATCGCTACCTACCTCGAAGTGGGATCGGACATCAAACAGATGGTGTTGCGGGGAGTGACTGGATAACTGGAGATGGGATGGACATGTGCGTGGGAGGTGCGTGGAAGCGTCCCATGGAGAGAAAGAAACGAAGGCTGGAGAGAAGCTGGAGAGAAAAGACTGGAGACAGAACGGCTGGAGACGGCGCCGCACACTGCATCCCGTTCTGCGAGGGCGAGGTTCGGGCCCACCGGCCCAACGACGTCATAAATGGTGTCCGTTGGTGCTATGCATCCCGCTTTGCCCAGTTTGGCAGCCCGAAAAGGTGACTGCTTTTTGGTGTCATTGGGAGCTCAAACAGAGAAATGGAGACAGTCTTCCCAGAGCAGCTAAGCATGGCTAGGTTAGCGGGGAATGGGAATAAGAAATCGGGGAGAAGTAAAAAAAAAAAAAAAAAAAGTTTACGACCATGGATCGTCATTGCTAAATCCTTGCGGATCTCTGTTCCTTCTGATGTGCCAATCATGGTGTTCCTTGACTTTGCCAGGTACAGCTGAGTGAGGGCTGCCTGCCACTCCCGTCGTGAACTGCGACGCCACTAGAGCCGCGTAGGACAAGGTACGTTTGTCAGTACGGAAAGGTGTGTGGATGGGAGGTATTTTCCACGGGCAAACAAGCTTTGGAAGCCGCCCTTCGCCAAGTCTGCTGCCGCTCTACCGCAACTTGGCACCAGCCTCAAGTACGTACCTCCCACCTCTGACGCTTCTCTGGTAGGAGCCGAAGCGCGAACTTCCACACATCACCAAAACCTGCGTCCGGATGGGCAGCGTGACTGGAATTTGACAGCACAGGAACGGCGTCGACGAGTTCAGCCATCAAAATCTCACTAGAAGAAAACGTTTCCAAGGGCAGCGTCAAACTCAATTACTCCACATATTGGCTAGACTGGCACGCTACGCTCGTTCCTTGTTGGCTCCTCGCAAACCACTACATTTCGACCCTCCTCCGGACTCCCTCCGGCGAATCCACAGTGTCGACGATCTGCACCCGTCCCCGATTTTTTCACCAGAATTGTCCTGTGACCGCTCGCGACTACAACTCCCATCGAACGGTTGACGTTACCTTTGGTGCTCAGTTTGCTTACTACATTGCCCTGCTACGGTACCCTTCTGTCTTCCTTTCAACTCGCCCGCGCCCGTATCCCACACACCCACGCCCCTCCAACGCTGCGTCTAGTTTAAGTGGGACGTGCTGCGCTAGAGGTTGCCTGTTTCGCGCCACCAACAATGGACGGTGATGTCACGGGTGGGCGACTGCACGTTTGGGAAGCCGACTGGGCATGGCTCTACGTCGACAGCAACAGGCGCATTGGGTCATGGCGGCAGGGTCTGCGTCCCTCGGCTTCAGTCCGAAGTTGACCGCCCCATTGATATATCTCGAAGCCTCGCCCGGGTAGTCAGAGTTGGCCAATCCCTTGGTTCTCCCGAATCATCCAGACTTTTGGTCTCTAGAAGTTGTCCTTCCGCCTAATTATCTCTCTCATCCTCCTTCATTCTCGGCTGGCCTCCTGAACAACAGGAGGAAGCGATATCCTTACCTTCTCTCGACCGTCCTGCACTTTACACCTGCATGACAACAGCTCAACATGGCTGGCACACGATTTGCTGAGGAACCGCCTCAGGTCATCAACCAGGCTGACCTCGAAGTCGCCAACGAGAAGCTCGAGTCCCGCGACGAGCGCAACGTTAATGACGGCACCAGCGGTAGCGATACAGCAGCTTCGAAAGAGCACGACCCGACCATTGATCACTCGGAGCACCTGAACGGCAACGGCGCCCTCAATGGCAACGGTAACGGCGCCAAGCTGGAGAAGCTGGGCACCTATGACAAGTACGAAATCACCGAGGACGACTGCTACGAAGAGCTGGGCTTCTGCTTCCCTAAGTGGAAAAAGTGGTACATCCTCACCGTCATCTTCTGGGTCCAGGTCTCGATGAACTTCAACACCTCGCTCTACTCCAATGCCATCGGCGGCATCTCGGAGGAGTTCAACGTCAGCGCCCAGGCCGGCCGCTGCGGTGCCATGATCTTCCTTGTGCTTTACGCATTTGGCTGCGAGCTTTGGGCCCCGTGGTCCGAGGAGTTTGGCCGCTGGCCGGTTCTCCAGCTCTCACTATTTCTCGTCAATATTTGGCAGATTCCCGTGGCTCTGGCGCCCAACTTCGCTACCATCATGGTCGGTCGCGCCTTGGGCGGTTTGTCGTCCGCTGGCGGCTCCGTCACACTCGGTATGATTGCCGATTTATTCGAGTCCGACAAGCAGCAGTATGCTGTCGCATATGTCGTCTTCTCCTCAGTCGGAGGATCCGTTCTTGGCCCCATCGTGGGTGGCTTCACTGAGGAATACTTGCACTGGAGGTAAGTGCCATTTGACTAATAGAATTTTGATTGATAACAACTAACCTATGTGCTTAGATGGTCCATCTGGGTCCAGCTCATTTTCGGAGTTGCGGTCCAGGCCGTCCACGCCCTCACCGTTCCTGAGACACGCACAACTATCATGATGAACCGCATCGCCAAGAGACGCAGAAAGGAGGGCAACCCCAACATCTGGGGTCCCGACGAGCTCGTCCCCTTCAAGGACCGCTTCTCGGCAAAGGAGGTCATCACGACCTGGATCCGTCCCTTCAAGATGTTCCTCACCGAGCCCATTGTTCTGGTGCTGTCACTTCTCTCCGGTTTCTCTGACGCTCTCATCTTCATGTTCATCCAGTCGTTCGTCCTCGTCTACGGACAGTGGAACTTCACCACCGTTCAGGTCGGATTGGCCTTCATTCCCATTGGTATCGGCTATGTTCTTGCATGGCTCCTCTTCATTCCTGCTATCAAGCGCAACATCAAGGAGCGTGCGGCCAAACCGAACGATGATAGGGCACAGTACGAGTCTCGTCTTTGGTTCCTTTTGTACACCGCGCCTTGCTTGCCTATTGGCTTGATTGGCTTCGCCTGGACTATTCAAGGACCTCCCATCCACTGGATCGGCTCCATGGTCTTCGCAGCCATTGTCGGTATCGCCAACTACGCCATCTACATGGCCACTATTGACTACATGATCTGTGCCTACGGACCATACTCCGCGTCAGCAACCGGCGGTAACGGTTGGGCTCGTGATTTCCTCGCAGGTGTCCTTACTGTCCCTGCCACGCCTTTCTTCACCAACATTGGCGCAGGTACCGGAAAGAACCTTGAGTATGCTTGCACGATCCTGTTCTGCATCTCATTCATTCTCGTCGTCGCTGTCTATGTCATCTACTGGAAGGGTCCTACCTTGCGCGCACGCTCCCCATTCGCTCAGAAGCTGGCCGGCGCCAGAGATGATGCGGGCGGTCGACGCGTCAGCCATGTCGCAGGTGCAGACAGGCGCGCGAGTGTTGCCTCCGGCGCTTCTGGTGCTGAGCGCCCTGATCGTCCGGCGTACGGACGTTCTTACAGCCAGAATTCGCGCTTCTTTGGCGAGAACCGTGTTACGCCCCGCGGCACTCCCAGAGGCACTCCCTCTGCGAGCAGACGCAACAGTTATGTTGGTACTAGACGCCAGGTCGCAAAGTAATGTCTATTCCATATGGAACCCCAGGGCTTTGCCTATTGAAGCTCCAAAAGTTGATTTCACGATCTTTGATACCCTAAACCTAGTCTTATCTACTAGCTAGACATAGTCATAATAAAGTCAATCACGAACAAATTCTTCTATGGTCTACCTATCATCAGGCGTGGGCTCATTACTTGCCTGGTTAATACTGCTAAATTAAACCCTGACATCAGGCCGAAGTCTTCACGTGGTGCGGAATATCAGCCAGAGCAGCTCATCTCCGAGGATGTCATAATCATTCGTAGATCTTTGACGCAAAACCACTGATGTCGATAGCATCATACCAGTTATCTATTGTCACAACCATCTACGGGAATGGATTATACTCGCCTAACCCCGTACACACACCATCCATCTCGACACCATCAATCCGCTCCACCACCTTTCCACCCGGTCCGAACCGAAGGACATATCCCCCGTTCGCCTCACTCACAACCCGCGGTTCCCATCCGAACTTCTTCTGCGGACCATGATATGGATCCTCAGCAAACGCCATGATGCGATCCTGCATCGCGTGGCTCACCTCAACCTCGAACTCCGTCGTCGGCGCGATATGATCCAACAGCCCATACGTTCCAAACACCAAAGGTGTCTCGCTATTGTGATACGCGCCCAGCCAGTCGTACACATTCAGATTGGGGAACTCGGCCGCATACTGGAACCGGAACACGGGGGCCTCGGTGGTGCTCAGCTGGTTCCGCGCGACGGTGGCGGCGTACGCCCCGCACACCCACGCGACGTCGGCCTCCGTGACCAAGGCTTGCCAGGGCCCTTCTGTCAGGTTCTCCTTCGGCCAGGGGACCAGCGAGGAGAATTCGTTGGCTGTTAGGGAGATGAGGACCGGACGGCTGGCCAGCTTGCCCTCTGCTGCGCGGGCCTCGTAGTCGCGGAAGATGATGCGTTCGTCCTGGACCAGGGAGAAGAAGATCGCGGGCGCCTCGCCCCGGTCGGTGTATTGTCCGATGAAGTTGCTGATTTGCGTGGGAGACACCCGGCGCATGCAGTCCAGCTCCGCCGTGCCGTCTTCGTCTTCGCAGTCCGCGCCGCAGGGGGATCCGCAGCCCACGTTCTGCGCGACAAAGGAAAAGTTGGAGTATGTTAAGTCAGCTTCGATGCCCGACTGAACGACGCCGGATTCCATGTAATATGACTGGGCGATCGGGTCGTCGTAGTACGCGTAGGCGTGGATATCCGCGCTGACGGACCCTGCGGACCGGCCCCACTGCATGATGCGGTCCGGGTCGCCGCCAAAGGCCGCGATATTCTCTTGTACCCATTCTAAAGCCGCGCGTTGGTCCAGTATGCCTAGATTCTGCGATATGCCCTCCGTGGCCAGCCCGCGCGCGTTAGGAAAGCCAAAGATATTGACGCGGTAGTTTATCGTCACGATGATGGCCGACTGGGAGCGCTCGACCCACGAGGTCGGGATTTGCCAGGGGAGATCGATGCCGCCCATGATGAACCCGCCGCCCGTCATGAAGAATAGGACGGGGAAGCCGGCTTTCGTGGGCGGCGGGGTCGTGGGTTTCCAGATTGCGAGGTAGAGGCAGTCTTCGGAGGTTGCTTCGCCTTCCAGGCCCGAGGTGTCGTTTTGGGCGCCGTTGTAGATGAGGTTCCCCTTTGTGAGGGGCAGGTTCCACATGGATTCTACGGACGATACGAATTGAGGACATGATGGCGGGAACTTTGTGGCGTATTGGGGTCTGCTGGTACTATTGTCGTTGGGTTGGAGTTTTGCGGGAGGAAGCCAGCGGCGGGATGCGACGGGGGGTTCGGCGAAGGGGATGGAGCGCCATTGGAGCGTGTTTGGGGCGTCTAGGTCGATGATGCCTGTGTATGTGCCGGTTGAGGTTCTCACGGTGAGAGGGTTGTTGGGGTGTGAAGAGTTGGTGTTGCTAGCCGCTGCGCGGACGCTCGCGACCGAGGCGAGGAGGGAGAAGATGGCGAGCTTCATCTTGAGATTGGGCATTGCTACCGAGAGCTTTCAATCCGTCTGAAACGAAGCATTTGGATCTCAAATAGATATATCATTTCCAAGGTCTTATCTACACTCGGTGTTGGTTGCCCCGCCTCGCCCGGCTTTGGTGATCTTGATCTCATTCTAGAAGGTAGTAATGCGACGCGCATGTGGTCAGCAATCCTTTGGGAGGAAAACCGGGCAACTGTTAGCGGGTGATCTGACGAATTCAGACTTGGCTATAAGCACTTAGCCTTGAGGTGAAATAAGGGGCGAATCAAATAATCGCGTCTGATCTTCTCTCTGACTTTTCTTCTCTAGGAGACGTCTGCGATGTTTGAGGTTGACTTTCATCAGAGTCGCAAATAATGTGGTGTGACGATCGTCGCTTGACCCAATTAGTCGCCAAAAGAAGTCAACAAATTCTCGGTCTAAACACAATCTATGGGAACTCAGGTCTATTAAAATTTTCGGAGTCCCCGTCACGTAGCCTTCTCCTTTCAAAGTATTCAACACAAGCTTACTACAAGGTTGCTTAGCATGGTCGTTAAGGCTAAGCTGAAACCTCCCGGCATTCCAGATTGAGTTCACCATCAAGAGATTTTCATTGTTTATCGCAAGCTTCCTATCAGTAACCTACTGAACTACTGCAAAAACTCAGCCGCGAGGCGTAACTCGAATCAGTTTGTTGATTTCAGCATTCTAGCCCTGCCCCAGTTCGACTGTACTGCGACGAGCAGTCTAGCACCTGTACCAGCACAAGAAGCTATGCCCAGTCTGCCCGCTCGGAGGCGTGTAACACTTCCCGCCACCAACAATGGCGTTTCCAGTCTCGCCAATCTGGTTCTGGCAGTTGCTGTCATAGTACAGGCGACAGTTAGTCCCGTAGGTCCCGTCGCCGACGGCCCTGAGGCTGGCGATGGCGTCGGAGGAGGAGTAGCATTGCCCGCTGCATCTCTGTCGAGAGAATCGTCGTTCAAGTCAGTTGTGTGTCTTTGAGAGCTTCGTCCATATTTTGACTAGTGAAGAGGGAGTTTGAAAGGTGGTACGGGGGCTAGGGGAGGAGGGATTCAAGGACTTGAGACGTACGCCGGGCCCGATTGCTCCGATTTGGTCGCTACAGCCGGTGCCGCGGTAGTACCGGCCGCACTGGCCGTTGACAACGCCGGCTGCGGCACAAGCGGCGCGGCGCTGGAGGTCCGTGGCGTCGAGGTTGATCACGTCCGACGAGGTGCCTACGACGACGGCAGCGCCAGCGGCAAGGTTTGCGGTCAGGAGAACTACGATATTGGCGAGAAGCATTTTGAAAGGCTTTGATTGGGATGAGGGTTTTGTGGTGGCTGTTGAGCTTGCTCCAAGAGGTTTGCAAACAGCGGTCTTGGTCTTCTTTATATGACAAAACCAATCTATTGACTCCAACCATGCTGACTATGAATTGGCTGCAAAGACTCTGTCATTCCCAACGTTATCCTGATTTCATTTGGAAGTCTCACTGTGTCATAACCTCACTCACGAGGTTTAGTTACACATTTCGACGCATAAGCTACAACGTTCCAGCCAACATCGTAGCGGTGTAAGCCACATCTCACGATGTCTGTCCTTCCCCGCTTCCCGTTTTTGGTTGTATAAATCAAACGCACGCACGCAACAGTAAGCCCTAGTCGATGGAAAGACCAATGCCTTTCTCAATCTTGACGCGACACAGAAACATTGTACGACAGGACAATAGCCTATTGAGTACAAAGGGAACGATTGTTCATGTGCATGCATCTTGCTTGGTCGTATCACTAGTATAGCACATCTTATGTGACTATGCCTTGGTCAGACTTTACCATATTGTGAGAGCTGAGACACAGTTGTTCTCTCACTCGGGTGGCAACTTGTCAAGTAATGCACCATGATGCGGACCAAAGTTGCCATCTTGCTGGTACTGTTGGTAAGCCACTATTTTCTGTCTATCCAACCCGACTTTCAGCTATTCAAGTTCTTGATTGGGCATCGAGGCGTCAGTCTAGGCTCTGTCTCACATGACCGGTCAGACGAAATGACGAAGTGAGTCGAATTGATAGGCCATGTTCGATAGCCTATGCAATGCCTTTGACATTTACCGGTGAGACAACATTATAGGCCTTCACTGAGATAACCATGTTGCCTACGGTGATTTGGGGAACGTGTTTCGGCAACCCCTCAGCTGTGAGCAATAGTAAAATGAGACAATATCGTAGGAATGCGCCGGGTATTGACTAGGTTGGCGGAGACCCCTTATAGTCTAATAATACTTTACCAGTTTTGGAATTCCTAGTCAATTTGAGTGTCTGCCTAACTTACAATACCTCTTCACATCCATACGTGGGAGCAGCAAGCGTGATCTGAGATGAATTGCATGCAGACTTCCGTTGGACGCACCTTTCCTTTCACCGCGAGTAGAGACCACCAGGTGCTGTTATGCGCCAATTTTAAGTAGCTCTGTTCATGTACAGAAGCAAAATGGGACTTTCTTTGGTTGATGTTGCACTCTAAGGTGGGAGTGGAAGTTTCTTGAACTAGCCATGTTCCGTACTCACACAGAAGATGTCTCAATATCAGCCCATCAGTAACTTAGGCCCGATATCATACATGAGAAGATGATGCAATACTCAGATTACGATTGGACCTCGTTGAGAGTCTCTGCTTTCTTTTATGTATTTATGCCGACCTAAACTGTCCGTCTAAGAATACTGGGCCTAGTACACATATGTCCTGCGGCCACCACCAGCGACAAGTTGTCGGGTAAGACACGTCATATGATGTGTCTGGTGTTCAATGATCTACTCACTTGACTACTTTTACGCTTTTCAGAAACAACTAGGTCCTGTTCGGTTGAATTCCATACTTTCTCCCTGAAGGTAACTCTTGCTGACACCGACGGATTTTGGCCGGACTTACACGACGTGACGACCAACCACGATGAAGCTTCTTGCTTCATGCCCATACGTGTCAATCTCAAAAAACCTTTAGGAGCCGGGTTTGACAGCAAATCTAGACTCGAGCCATCAGTGGCAAAGAGTTTAATATGTGGGATCCGTGGGGGGAATCCGAATCATCATCCTGCTGCCTGGATGATGGGTTACCGAGGCGGATCATGGATGATGTATGGAGGAACCGCCAGCTTTCAGGATCAGGTCCACCAAACCATCTCCAATCCCGACGTATCCTTTGGTATCAGCATCGTGGCAATGTCATCAATCTGCATTGTCATTTGATCCCTTCATCTTCCGTGAATGCCTCTATCTCTTCAATTCCGGCGCATCCCGCCGTCTTCGCCGAAGCTGCCGAAAGCTTGCTCGTCGGAATCGCCCCCCGACTCCCGGGCTAGTGATCCGGGGCTTCCTCGCTAGACGATTGTCAATGACACAGAAGTCTGGATCACGCTGCTTTCAAGAGCCGGATGGCGCGGTCATCGTGAAGTATCAGGGAGAGAGCCGACCTTCTCATGATCATGCGCTGATAAATGTATAGGTTTTTCGTTCGTGATTGTGGCAAAATTTTCATAGCTTCGCCACGGGTCTGGATGCTGTTGAGTTCAGTTGCTCATGATCTACCCGATGACTCCGGCCGAGAGATGCATAGGCCGCCGCGAAGCGCCCCCTGTGACCCGCGCAGCAGGTCCCGCCGGAACCGAGAACTCTCACGTTTGACGGGTCAAGCTAGCCAAATCCCGCGGTGTTTGCCACAAAGTCGCCTGTCACAGCATTAAACGTGTGAGGGGGAAAAATAAACGGCTTGATGCGCTCGTGGAGTAAGAAAGGCGTTCCGAGGATGCCATGGAGTTGGAGGAGTTGTTCCTCGGCTGCTGCCCAGGCCAATTGAGAGTTGGGGCTTGTCGAGTGCCAAGAGCCAAAAGCAGCCTTATCATTGTCGCCCTATCGTCTGCACAACTTCGGGGCTTGCCGCATTTTCCCTGATGAGACTGGAAGTCAAATTTGTCGGTGAGGCCAGAAGACTAGATCAAACGAGGCAGCTTCTACATCCCAGGACTTGGCGACTTATTCGAAGTCAAGTTGGGTTTCTCTTACGAACGAAGAGTTGACTCGACGCTCTCAAAAGTCATGTAAGATACTGAGAATACCATTGGTTGTATGACGCTTCGATTTGCTGGATGATTGCATTTGGAATACTTAGAAAGTACGGAGTACGTAGTATGGAGATGCCGTTAAATGAGGCTGTGAGGAGCTCAGAGCCAAGACTTGAAAGAGCACTACAATGCGTGGGGTAGGTAATGGAACATGGGGACTAGGACTGTATTTGGTAATTTTTGGCGCTTCTGAAAAGCCTCACAAAGCCCACGCGCAGGTTACTCCAGATTCCTTAGATCCGATTTACGGTTACTATCTTACCTTGCCTCAGAACGGACGCCAATCACGCTAAATGAGGCTGGCACGTGCTGTTCGGCTTTCGACTCTCGGGTCGTAAATTTAAATCTAAAGATACGGGATACTAGAAAGGGGTATGTTAGTCGAGGTGCATTTGGGGATATTTTCTTCGTAAAAGGCTAGGTCTGTCCGCTCTGTACCGCTTGGCTTTTAGGATGGCTCATCGGCAGGCTCTTCCGGTGCGGCTTGCCCGCGCCTTTTCAGAGTCTGATAAGTGGAACAAAGTGTCACAGACAAGCATAAGGGGATAAGTAATAGAACGACTAGTCGAAACTCTCTTAGATCAAGTTGTAAAGCAATTGGTCCCAATTGGTGCGCCCCGCAGAATCGCACTTCGTAGAGACTCTTCATTACGCTGCATGAAACTCCCGTCGGAGTTTTCTGCGCGGATGATGGAGAGTAGTACATATATGTTATGCTGTCGTTTGGGATTTGATGCCCTAGGGCCTCGGCAGGGCGTTGTTGGAGAACATCTGTGCGTAAGTCTTTTCATGTTTGCCGTTCAACTCTCCGTACTAAGGACCTAGTTGATGGTTCTTTATATACCTGAAATACATACTGAAAGGCTGTGCTTTCATTAATTTGGATTTTGGATCGCCGATTCATCTTGGTGATAACGGGGGTTCCGCCTCAAGATTTCATTAGTTTGTCTTTGCTGGAGCCGTAGCCTATGTCCCGGAGAGCAGTATGCTTAAGGCGGTGCCGCATGGATCACCGCTGTGTCGTCAACTGACATTACACCTACTGGCGCAGACGTAGCAGTCCATTGTCGCAACATGAATAACGGCGCGTCGGAGTAATTATGTTGCAAGGTATTTGGACTTGAGAATGTGCTGGCGAGATGAGTAATCCTGCGGGCGAAAGGCATCTTACATCGAGGCACAATGGTAGTGCTTCACTCGGGGTAGTCGGTGCCGATCAGTATCACGGCCAAAGCCGGTGACCGTTGGGACTCGAGCGCGGCTGGCGTGCTCACCGTTGGCGGCGTAATGCAGTGATGAGATTACGGTATTCGTCCGCAAAGTGACAACCATTTGTAAGCTAGGCGGTTAGTGGAAAGGCAACATGACTCGTGGAGGAGATTGATGGTGGAGATGGCTAGATTGATAAAGTCGCGGCTGTTTGAATTTTCCAACGTGAAGGTTTGCCCGTTGTCATTTGGGAGAGTCTGGGATGATGAAAGATCAGACGCAGGACCGTGACTATGGATGCAGGGCTAGATAGGGTTATATATTGGCTGTTGCAGTTTTTCAGAGAGAGATACTTTTAGAAGTCATATTTTCGTGTTATAATTACTGCTGCCCAGCCCCGGTGAAAGCATCATTTCGTTGAAAATCGCGGTCCGATCTTCGGTGACGCATCCCAATACATCCCCCACCCGCGGAAGGACGACCCAAAAAAGAGAAGGGCCAGAGATTAGAGTTGGGCGATTAAGCTTCGCCCCTAAAACACCAGACAAGCATCAGGATGCGTCGCGGCCAGAGACAGACAATCACTCATTATAACCACGGAGGCACCCCTTGAAATCCGCGCACTCCGACGGACTACGATTATTTCCGCGCCAGCCGTCTGGTACCAGACACTCATTACACTCATACACTACTCACTCTCAATACTCGTATTCTGTATCATTGCAACGACTGCTCCAAGACTTACACGACCGCATCGAGGGGAAAGAAGAGAGAGTGAGAGTATCCAACAGACAAAAGAAAAAGAGGATCGAGACCAGAGGCGCAGGAACCACCCGTGTACCGAGGGTGGGCTACTTGCCCAGGTGCGGAGAAGAGAAGAGAAGAGAAGAAAAGAGGGCGTAACGTTAGGGCGTAGGGAACAGCTGCAGAAAAGCCAGGCACACAGGGCCGACAAAGAGAAAGAGACGCCAGGCAAGTTGGAACTTGGAAGGAGAGACTCTTTGGGAGGGGCCTCTGCGGCACGCCGCACATCCATGACACATTTGCACATGCATCTTTCTCACACACACACACACACACAAATCACAGCCTCAACCCACCACAGTCGCGGACACAACCCATTCCAGCCCCCAAACCTACCTAACCATTCCCTGCCCCCCTCCCCTGAGAGGAGAGCTCAAGCCCAAACACGCACCGGAGCACCACCCTTCTCGCTCGGAGACCCTCGCAGGAGAGAAGAAAAAACCGCTCTGCTGGCATTTTTTCCCATCCTCCTACGAGTCAATTGGTCCCAACAATCCGGTCCATCGTTCTTGGTTCCCACGTTTGATCCAAGGAAGACTGAAAGAAAGTTGTCCCTCCATACGGGACACGGAGCTCTATTATTCTATTTTTCTTCTCTGCCCTACCGCACTTGTATCAGTCCGTCTCCTTTAGACGCCAAGCATCAAAGTTATGGAGCAGAGCCCCGAAGACCATCAGTCACCGCCAGACGGACAAGCGGCCAACCGCGGGTCCGACGCACTTCCGAGACCGCGTCCGTTGGCTTGCACTCCATGCCGGCGCCGCAAGGTAAGGGTCCAATTTCCTGTCCCGGTGGGCTGGTTCGCCCTCGCTCTTTGGAAGGATGCTGGGTGCCGTTGATCTTCACGCCTATCGGCGCGAATAATTCAACCCCAGCATTCATGAGAGAGAGAGCGAGACCGAGCAACTAAGCGCGTGGGGTTCATCTTGGGCTAACCGTCGGGACGGCTCGTCGTTGCAACTGCAGATTAGATGCGACCACAAGACGCCAATTTGTTCAAACTGTGTCAGGTATGGCTTGGAATGTGCCTGGCCCGAAGGACGACGGTCGTCGGGACGTCGCCAAAGACCGTGAGTGAACCTCCTCATCTCCTTCCCGGCGAATCACTCGCTGCCCTCATCCTTACCCTCAACTCACTAGTTGCTGTCGAGGGGAAAGGGGGGGCCGATGTGACCCTTATCTCCGATCTATTCTGCTGGCTCGTGGATGGCTGACACATTCACCATGGTGTTGCGTTCAACAGACTCTATGAAGATGTAGTTTCGAGACTGGCTCAGATGGAGAGGCTGGTGGAGGAGCTCCAGAAGCCAGACCAGGGACCGACACCTCCACAGCAATATGTCCCGACCGCCAGTGAGGCGGCAAAGGCAAGTGCCTCAAATGCCTCACCCCTGGCGACGACGTCGTCAAACAACCCATCGCCCCTGTCCAGGCGTAAGGCTAGTAGTGCGAGCCCATCCTCCGGAAACCCTGACAACTACCCATCGCCGCCATCAGCTACTTCGTCGGCCTCGACTGGAGCAAGGCCGTATTACATCGGGGCTCCTGACGAAAGTACGATAATCGCAGCAGGTACGTAATGATGGACCCTTCTTGCCCATGCCATTGGTCCTCTCAGCTCGTGGTCGTTGACAGTGTTCATATGCTAGGTGCTTGCTCCCTACTCTCGCCCCAAGGTTTGGGTCAAATCGAGCTTCTCATTGGCGATTCGAGGTTCAGCAATGCCTTGAAAGCTATGCAACCAAAGGTCGTGTATGGCAATGTTCAGCCGTATCTTGAACCTGCCGACACGAACCATCCTCTACCTCCGAACCATGTCATTATGGAATGTGTCAACGGTAAGTTTAGCCAGGTGGTTCGAGCGATTTTGACCGTCTACCCGGGTTCAAGTGGGTCTCAGTATCACAACGGTGCAGTCACTGATTCAATCCAACCTAGATTATTTCGTGACCATGAACGCTGGCATACGACTGTTCCAAGAGCACGAGGTACGAGCAGCTCTCAAGTCTTACTTCCAGGGCCAGCCGCCGGCGGATCCAGGTTGGCGCATGGCGGTCAACGTTATTATTGCCCACACCTTACGCAAGAGGAATGGCATGCGGAATAGGGAAGAGTATCAAAAATACATCCACAATGCGCTGGGAATGGTACCCAATATCATCTTGCGCACACCATCGCCTCTGTCGATTGGGGCATTACTGTCAACAGTTGGTTCCCCTACGCTGCTCATGTTCCCCAAGGTTACAAGAACTGACCCCTTGCGCAGGTTCTTTACTTCAGCTTCACATCTGAGAACCATATTGCGCTCACCCTCATGGGTCTCACGGTCCAACTCCTCTTGATGGCAGGCTATCATCGGCCAGAGCCGGACGTGGAATTTGCGCGCCCTCAACAACTCATCCCTACAGAACATCTCCACCGCCGCCGTCTCTTCTGGCACGCATACGTGATCGACCACGATCTTATGCTGCGGATCGGAAAGCCTGCCCTCATTAGCGATGACTTCCTCCTGGACCTCCCCGAAGAGCACCCATCCGATGGGTACAGCATGTACTACTACCCCAACGACGTGACGCTCAACTTCTTCCTCGAGCAGGTCCGCCTTGCCCAGATCCAGGGGCGCATTTCCACGACGTTGTACTCTCGCAGCGGTCTTCCTGCGGCCGAGCTTGAGGCCGAGATCCGCCGTCTCGATAACGAGCTGACAGAATGGCGTCAGAGTATCCCTCCGATGATCCGCGCCGACAACGTCGATGCCCTGCTTGACGGCGACTATTCTAGGCTGGTGTGTCTGACGACGTTGCACTTCACCTACTTCCAACTTGTTGTTGCGATCCATTCTGCGGCCTTCCGACTTCCCACACTGGAGGATCAAGAGGGAGTAGAAGCCGGTGATATAGGCCCCAGTCTGGCGCTTTGCGTGAGCGCATCGCGTGCGGCCATATCCCTGCTGAACTACCATCAGATCGAACACCCATATACGCCGTAAGTGTCCTCATCTCATCAATGTAACGAATGATGCAGCTCACACTCCTTCTAGCTACCTGCTCTATCAAATCGCTTGGAGCGTTGACATTTTGTTCGTCAACATTCTCCAGAACAAAAACAACCCCCGAGCTCGCCGTGATCTCGACCTAATTCGCACTGTCATCTCCTTCTTTGAAAAGTACGACCCGTACCACCAGAGCGTCATCTCGTATCAAATCATCAAGGTCATCGCCGATGTTGCGGCTACGGTCCTGGCAAACACCCCGACCTTGCCTCCGCACATGCTTCCCGTTCAGCAAGTCCCACTCCCGGCCCCGAGTATGCCGATGATGCCCGGCTCCGCGGGTGCAATGCAGGGAGCTTTCTCCCCCCAGATGTCCGGACCAGGGACAGCCCGCAGCGGTAGTATCAACGGAAGCACCCCCGATGTCCTGGGTTCCATGAGAAGTCTTTCCATGGCGGACCAGCAGCAGCAACAACAGACGTCACCATTCATGGACTTGTCAACAGGATTAGCGTCGCCCAACGACGGTCAGCTCTTCCCCGGATTTATGGATATGGCCGACTGGAGACTACCGATGGATTACCAGCCAGAGCTATGGCAATATGACAACCTCCTAGACAATCGGTTTCCCAACAACCAAAATTAAGCCGTAGTCGGACCGGATCTAAGCATTTGCAGAGGAACAAGTCTTGGCGTCATCGGGTCCACTCCCATGACGGCGGCGGCGGATCACTTCCGGCCATCCGGCGGTAACCGGCGATAAGTCCGCAGGCCGTCGCATTCCAGGCCCACCCTCTCCGGTTGCATCGCCGAAAGAAACTACCCGATATCGCGCACTCTAGCGCCGCCATCAGAGGCGAATCAGGGCTGGCCACGATCATCAGGCACGCGAGCTTTTACCCAAAACTTCCATTTGGAATCACTCACCTACGGCTCCGTTGACAAATTTCGCCGAGGTCGCGTGCCGAGAGGAGAGGACCTCGAGAGGCTAGGAAGGAGAGAAGAGGAGGAAAACAAACATGAGGCCGGACGATGCCGTCTGGGATCGCGTCGCGACGAAGGATTGAGCTCGAGATGTCCGGACGATGGCCGGGTGGACGGTGCGCCTCAACGTAGCCCTAAGGCCGTCGAGCGAGGAAGGAGCATGTGGGAGGACGTGGAGTGGTACAGAGAGACAGATGGATGCAATACCCGAGCGCCGAGGCACCCAGCAATTGTCTCAACCCTACAAGATACAGCCAATTGGAATTGACTTTTTTTGGATTTTTTAGCCATGCCGAATCCCTCTTTTCTTTTGCGCATTCCTGTGTGTTAGTTGAGAAGCGCATGCCCAACACACGGATGAAAAACACATGTCTGGCTGAGTGAAACCCACGTCGCCCTACGAACGGGAATCAAAGCACCCACGTTGCGAATACGATTATCCCCAAATGGAGACCCCAATTGAGATGGGCAACGGATGCCATGCGATTGCCAACTGGGACTCGACTGTGTCTGCGATTCTAGACTGGATTCTGGGAGTTTAGCCCTTGTCGATAATGACCGCCCCCTGCCCGCTCCTCCAAGTTTCCACAAGTGATGTGCGCGCGTATGCTTTTGAAAGAATCCGGGGTTTTTAATTGTCAATGGCAGTTCTCCCCCAATGACGTCAGGCGTCCTTTCCGGACTCTTCGGTTTCACGTTTTAATCTCATAGCCCCCTTTGACCACCAAGCGAACAGAAAACGTCAAGCGTGCGGCGCGCGATTTCTACTGGGCCCCTTTACCGTCTCTTTTTTTCCTTTAGGGTTCCTGCATACTTCGTAGACACGCGCCATTAGGAATGCAAAGGCCATCTTAGGCCCCCCCCCATCCCGATCCCTCCTACCTACTTACCTTAAACCCGGGACTTCCCTCCTAGCTGTGTCTCCACGCTTACCCGCACCGCCATGACATCTAAATTCCACAGCAACCCACGTCCTCTTGTTCGACTTCCCCGTCAACGGGCATAGGATATCCCCTGTACCTCACTCACCTCTCACGTCTTTGAGGCCTGCTGAGCATCCTTTCCGATCCCGGCAGATTGAGGACTCTCTATCCCTCTCCTTCTCCGACAATGGGTTCAGAAACCAAGAAGAAGGCCTCCACCGAGGACAGGAAACGGCGATCTGACACGAACCCGCCCAAAACACTCAGGGAACGTTTCCTGCACTCCCTCCCCTACTACACAGGACCCTACGGCGTGGGATTCCTCGAGATCGAAGCACCGGTCCGTCAACCGCGCACCTTTTCGGAGCTCAGGCGCCACAATGTCCCGCTGCTGAGGCTCGATACCGTCCTCTTCGCCGTCTACTACCCGTGCACCGTAAAGACCCAGACGGACGACCACGCCGCTCCCGATCATGATCATGGCCAGCAGCAGCAGCAGCATCACGGCAAGAAGAATGGAAAAAAGGCCGGCGGTGCAAAGAAGCCGAAGCTCTCACGGGTTGGATGGCTCCCGCGTCCGCGGGTCCTCACCTGCAAAGGTTACGCCAAGGAGTTCAGCATTCCGCACCTCCCCGTCACGGCTTACATCGCCGCCACCTCCATGTTCACCAAACTCCCCGCGCTGAGAAACGCGAAGCTCGCAGAGCATTGGCCAGAAGAGATGCTGGGCGACGAAGGTCCGACGGGTCAGACGGCGAGGAACGAGGAGTCGAGCTCGCGCAAGAAGCCAAAGTTCCCGGTCATCATCTTCAGCCACGGCCTGGGCGGTTCGAGGATGAGCTACAGCTCCATCTGCGGAGAGTTGGCGAGTTACGGCTTCATTGTTGTGGCAATCGAGCACAGGGATGGAAGCGGTGCGAGGACCTATGTGAACCTCCCGGAACATCGGGAGGTGTCCGATAGCGAATCTTCCTTGGAGACGGTGAACGCCAAAAAGATCAAGAACAAGAAGAACGGAAAAGACTCCGGGCAGCACTACTGCGTGGACTATCTTTTTCCCAAAAATAACGAGCAGGACACGGCACCGAACAACGAACAGGGCGTTGATATGCAGCTACGCGCTGCGCAGATTGAAATGAGAATGACGGAAATTGAGGAGGCCTTCCGCATCCTTGGATATATCGACAGTGGTCGCGGGCACGAAGTTGAAGCCATGAACCTGAGAAAGAAGGGCAATGTGGCGTCCAGCTCCAAGGGGCTTACAGGCATCGTGTGGGATGACTGGAAAGATAGGATGTTTCTCGACAACGTGACGATAATGGGTCACTCGTTTGGCGGAGCAACGACGGTCGAAGCTTTGCGAACCGAGTCGCTTAGCTGGGTTGGTCAAGGCATCATTCTTGACGCTTGGGGCCCGGCAACGCCACGCGCAGGAGAGAACCCCAGTCACCGCGTTAAGAAACCGTTGTTGTCGATCGGATCGGAAGCCTTTATGCACTGGCAAGAAAACTTTGACAGACTTGTCGACGTCTGCAACGAGGCCAGGGGCGAGAACGCACTCACCTGGATGATGACGATCCGTGGGTCGACCCATCTCTCCCAGACAGACTTTGCAGTTCTGTACTCGACTTGGACAGACTTGTTCATGAAGACGTTGGTGAATCCTCTGCGAGCCATCTACCTGACGATATCACCGTCGCTCGAGTTTTTAAAGATCACGCTACCTCCGGAGCAGACGAAGTACAACACCTGGGTAGACGAGGAAATCTTGAAAACAACAGAGCCTCCAACCGAACCACTTGCTGTGGTGACGCACGATCACCGACCGGACGACCAATGGATCGCAGTTCGCCTCAAGGTGGACAACGAAGCAACTCTGCGGATAAAAAGATGGTTCCGACACAAGAATCGGGTCTTGATGGGGAAAGGCGATGGATCGGGCATGCCTTCGGGACTGATCAGCTGGGAGAAGGGCAATGAGGTTTGGATGCACGTGAGCCCGGACCCTGAGTCCGTGGAGGAGCAAATGCAACGGAACGAGCGGACGACGAGCCGGAATGCAGCGTAGGTAGGCTCGATTAGCATCGCGATGTGCTTTGTAGATCTGCATGTACTTCATGGGTTGGTTTAATTGGGTAGCGAATTTGGTTTATTGGCGTTTACGAGGCGTAACCGCACCCATGGTATCGGGATGCTTTGAGCACTTATGGTGCCCTTGTACGAGTAGGGTAAAAGGTTCGTCAGATAGGACACAGCCTGCGGGCGTCTGCTAATCAAGATACAAGCGATTTCTTGTTGCAAGTCGCTTGCATATTTGTGTGGAAGAGTTGCGTATGGTCCCTCAATTCAGAAACGTGATTCCAAAATCAGCAATTACTGGGCAACAGCTCTGCAGGCTATCGGGCGGTCGGACGGCCAAGCCATTGTCGATTCAAAGACGGGCTGGTAGAGTGCCTTTCGGCTTCAGCAAGAAGGTCCTGGAGCTTGCTCATAATCAAAGCCTGTGCGCTCTGCGCTTTGTCGTGAGAAGAGGGTAGCTTTGGTTTGAAGTATAAGGCGAGGCTCGGACTCCCTTGCCGAAGTGGACTAGCTCCAGGGACGCCGATGAACAGCAATTTTGATCGATTGAGCCAGGGGTTGCCCGGTACGGTGACGTGTGGAGAGCGATGGTGCCGCGACGAAGGGGACCAGGATTATGAAATCCACAGATTGAATTGTTGTTTGACCATCACGTCCGGCTGTGGATAACGTGGACGGCAGACGCAGGCAGTTGAGGGCAGGCTAGCCTTGTGTGTCATTCTGGCGTGGGCGTATGCCACAATGTCTCCTCGACTATTTTTGTCTCTTTTGGTTCGTTTCTCGCTTGCGTGCCGGCACCTTCTTTTCGGACGAAGTCGTTGTGTGAGGGCTTTGAGGCGAGCCAAGAATGGGAGACAGGGAGCCCATCGATCAAGGCATGCAGGTCGGGGTACTTGTAAGCGGTGGTGGTGGTGTGGGAGTGTTTCTGAGTGGACATTATGCAGGTGTCAGTTGATGGGATGGTGCAAAGTACGAGTTGTGCTGTCAGTGACCACTGAATTGTGCGTGATGGTTCGTGCCGACGAGGCGATCTTGGTTCTATAACAGAAATCATAAACTTTGATGACGAGAGACATGTCGGACGAGGGACTGATGTTCGTAGAGGTCTGTGATTGAAGTTTAACGGGCAGAACAGTCGCCAAGATGTCGTTGGCCTGGTCGGGTCCACATACATGGTCATCCACAGCTTCAAGTTCAGGTGAGGCGAGGGAATGGGAATAAGGTCAGGCTCTTGGCGGCGGGACGATGTGGGTTGCGGGCAGAAGCCACAAAGGACGCTACGCCAACGGCCGGGGATGGGATGCCCTGACGGCCTTGTTTCTCAGGAATGGAAGGCACGGAGGGAAAACGCTCAAACGATTGTGTGATCACTAATGTGTGGGGGAAACAATGAACACACCAGCGTTCCTGCTTGCTTCTTTCTTTGCTGCAAACAAACGTCCAACAGCCAGGGGAAAGAGCAGAGCCCCCCGCTTGCTCCTTCTCAAAATAGCCGGGTGGGTGTTAAGCTAGCCATGTCCCGGTGCTGATCGCCAGGATAAAATCGCCGGTGTTCGCTAACAGTGGATAAGGGGTGGCGTCACTGGCGTCTGCAGCGGTCCCCGGTCCAGCTGGAGCTTCTCCAACCGTCCAACACACCTTGAAAGCTCGTATCCAGCGTCGCGACTCAAAATTCCCATGTGTCTAGAGGAAAGGGAACGATCCCGAATCCCACCTCTCAACAAGGCCTCGCATGGCAAGCGGCATGAGAACCAGCCATTCAACCATCTTGCTGCGGTGAAGGGGCAATCCAAGACACCTTCTCCGGCTCGCTATTGGACAAGCCTCTTACTCTCGCCGCCACAACCACTGCTCCGCCGTGTAACACCACCCGCCAACGGATAGATGACATGCAACACCCCGATGGCTCTCTTTTGTAACAGGCAATATGACCACCATGACATGGCACGGCAAGGTACATTGTTCTAGCTGCCTGCTGCTAAAGTGCCTGCTACAGGTTCCGTTCCCGTCGTCAAGCAACAAAGTGCGCTGAGCAGGTCCTGCCGATACCTTACCTAGTTGCCAAGTTGTTGGCGCATCATGTCTCTTTGGTACCTTACTTGCTTACCTAGGTACCTTAGTCTTTTTCTTTGGTACTGGTTTTTGCCTACATCATGCAGCTTCTGTACTGTCCAGCTGAATGTGTGCCGGGACCTCTGCCCTGCTGCACCTGTTCTCGCTCCCGATCCTCAACTCAGACGTGCTCTGGGACGGTAAAGGGCTGATCACCATCCCATCTCACGTTGCCCTGACCTCTATGGGGTAAGCCGCCTGGTGTAGTGAGTCTGCACGATGTCGGATGGGAGCGGCTTACCTTAGCTAATATGCGCGTTGGCTACCTCACGCTCACGCCAATTGCCCATTGAGAAGGCATCCCCATGGTAGCCATCTCATTCCGCCAGTCCGTGTCCCGCTCAATGGCCGTGGCTCTTCCCGGTTGTTGTGCAGACAAGACCTGATAGAATCTGACCATGATTTGACTTCACTCAATGGCTCAAGGTGGTTGCTAAACGTCTGTGGTGTCGTTGCCATCTTGTTGGCCTTGCCCTCTAGGATAGGTCAAGGTGCTTGAGGTGTTGTAAACAAGCTCCAGGTCTGCAGTCTGCATAAGGTGCCTCCGATGACTAGGATCCAGCTCATCCCGATCTGCAGTTCCTTCTAGGTATTCCTTTTTCCCCGTCTCTTACCAGCATCAGCATCAGGACCAGCATCCCGCATTCGAGAACCCCTCTTAGTCTCAGCGAACCCCGGCTCCTTCCCACATATCAACCCTACCCTGCTCTTTCCTCTAGAATTCCCCTTTCGTAGTAACTGCCCCTCGCTGGACAATTCGAAATTTCCGCTTTTCCTTGGTTTCACGACGACAACGTTACTTTGTCGCACTTTCTCTCGTTGGCCTTGGCCTCTCCGATACCTAATTCAACCGTCTGTTGATTTTTCCGTCTCAACTTTTACGGATACTCGCCCACCTTTCACCGTCTTTTTTCTGGGCCACGCCTCAGATCGCGCGACGACGTCTCTACAACGTTAATTCACCGCCGCGCCCTGGGGGTTTTCGGCCGCAATTACACTTCGACAAATTGTTCATTGCATCACTTCTCAGTCTGTCACTACTAGCAAACGCCATATCAGCATCACGAAGAAATGAAAACGCAGAAACGCCTCCATTAGCAACGTCTCATCTTCTCTTCACCATCTGCCACACAAACTAGCTGGCTATCGTCTCCCACTTTTGACGCCACTACTCCACTTACGATAATCCACCTCCAAACACGCCTCGAGACAAGCACCACAAGATATCCAAGAATGACTGCAACGGGGGCTCAACGCGAGTCGACCAAGCCGCAACGCGGCCGGTCTGACAGCCTTCAGAAGATGTTGGAGCTGGAACACATTCGGAAGGTAGGCCGATCCCACCCTAACCTGACGCCTCCTACCACGTCGCATCCACACCCAATTTGGCTATGTTAGCTCCCACCCACTAACACGCTTCATCTTGTAGCTCGAGCGTCTTCAGGGGCATCAGTCCATGCCTGCGGCGACCCATCCTTCTCACCTGGCGTTTCAGCAGGTTCTTCAGCAACAGCTTAATCAAGGCCGACCTGCCCAGTCACCTCCGAAACTGAAACCTTTTCCTACCGTTCATCCCGCTCCGCCTGTGAAGCCTATAGCTCCTCTCCAGTCTCGCCGGAGGGAGTCATCAGCTCAACTTCCCACACAGAAACCGGAGCTACCACCTTCTGCTATGAAAGCGGTCCGCCGAGCAACAGCGTTGCCTTCTCTTTCCATTTCTGTTCCACCGCCCTCGAACGTCAAGTCTGAAATCGATCGCGGGTCGGAGCGCAAGGAATCGGTGGAGCATAAGCACAAGACAGTAACCTTCCTCGACGTCGATATGGTCGACGAACCAACTGCCGACGACGCCTCCTCGATTTGCCACTCACCAAGCTGGGAATCCTTTGGTCAGAACAAGAAGAAGGAAAAGAAAATCGAAGCCAGGATGCGCAAGAAGGAAAAGGAGCAGGCCGAGAAGCAGGCCGAGAAGGAGGCCAAATCTGTGAAGAAGAAGTTGGCAGCTAAGCTCAGCAAAGCTGGACCGAACACCAAAGCTTCCCCGCCAAGACCTCCAAATGCATCGAGGTCAATCTCTAGCCCAACCGTGTTCGTCAATGAGCATCTTCGGTCAGCCAGCGCCCAGGCCTTCTATGAGCCACCACCTTCAATCCGTCCTCAACATGCCAGACAACGGTCAGACTCGGTAGCCATGCAGCTAAAAGCTGCTTTGACAGGCCACAAGACCCATAATCAGTCTCACAACAATGATGACCAAGGCTTCATTGGCGGCTTGAAGCTGGAGCAGAAAAGACAGATTGACGCCGGCATTCCCTTTAGAAAACCTAACCCGCCTGCTTTCCTGACTGGTCAGAGGTCTCACTCATTTGGACCTGAAGTGAGGGTAACACCGCCAGCAATGACACCTTCAGCGTTGCCGCGTTCTTTCTCATTCGACCCGCAAGGAGAGCGACCTGACGAGTACGACGAAGACTCATACGGGCCCAAGACACCACGATCCGCTTCTATCAACACCTCTTCTTGGTCTCAGCCTTTAGTCTCGCCCACAGCACCGCCTGTACCTGATGTGAGCAACTTTCAACAATGGATGAACGGCACGAAGCAATCGCAAGTGCCCGCCACCGACGATGAGTTGGAGATTCATAACGGACTCAGCGAGGTTGTGGTTGAGCAAGAGCGAGGACGAAGAAGAGAGAGTTACGTTCACCAGTCTCGCCAACAAAGCAGAGAAAGATCTATGAACGGCTACAGAGACGAAGTTCGCGTCTCGTCTGCCAAGTCTCACTATCCTCCAGCCTCCAATCGCCCACTTCAATCTCGAGCGTACTCCTCTTCTTCAGAGAGCAGCCCAATGGGCTCCAACTTTCCTCCACGTAACGGATCGCTCTCTAGCCTTGGCGGCTACAAAGACCAATCAGCCTCGGCTGAAGATTTCACGCTTACCTTCCGACTTCCTTACACACCGCCAGCAGGCAGTCCCGGACAGCAGTCATTCGACCGGTCCACGTCTCAGGGACCACCCATGTCTAGAATGATGTCTAGAGAGATACCTTTGCCTCCCGAAAGATCGGCATCGCGTGAGAGGCATCCGGCTACCCCTGGAGCAGCCATCAGAAGCTTCAAGGATGCAGCCAAAGCCGCATTCCAGAAAGTGTCGACTCCAGGATCATCCAAGCCGCCTGTCTCCAATTATTTTACCAGAGCGGCGCGCGATACTACCATGACACCCGACTCAACGTCAAGCTCGAGGTACTCAACGGACGAGCCATCCCCTTTCACGGCCCCGCCTCGTCCGTTTGCCGAGTCTACTGAATCGACTTCGAGAGACTCATCAGCACGCCCGACACACAGATCTTCGATGTCTTCATGCGACGAGTCTTTGCCTTCTCCGTCACCCGCCACCACTCCTAACTCTTCAAGACCGCAATCCGAAAAGGGGTTGCCGCCTTTGGACGGAGAACTCGGTCGGGTCGACAATGAGACAGTGGTTGTTACGAATGACACACGGTCGTACAGGCTTTCTCACAAGGCAGCGATGCAGACGGCCTCTCCAATTGCTACGAATCAACGGATCAGCCTGCCCCCTCAGATTCCGGTCCAGAATCATGAGGCTCATCTCAACGAGCTTGAAGCCTTGGTGACGGAGAAGTTTGGTAGGCAGGCTAGCGTTGCTGATGCCGAGGACAGCGACTCGTCGCAGAGCTATCCCACTCCAACACACACCGACAGTTCGAAGACGTCCGCGATAGCATCCCCTCTTACATCCGCTTCTTTGACGAGTCCATACGATTATAGGAAGAATGGGCACGTTCAGGAAATTAGCAGCAACAACATTGAACCGGTACAAGAGGAAGTCCATAGCGTCGTCCAGCGTCACCCGAGCTTGACTAAGAGCCGCTCGAGTCCTGACCTCGCACTTGACACAAGTTTCCTTCCGAAGCTCAAGCATCAACCCCTCGTGCCCCGGTCTCTTGTTCCGCCACCGCCACCCCGTTCATCAAAACGTGGCTCTGTGAATAATTTACACGCCAAAGCAGCCTCGCAGTCTTCGTTCCCTGCGGATGTAGCTTCCAGGAAGTCTATTGTGTCCACCAAGGGGCCTTCGAATCCCTCACATTATCTCGAGGAAGCCCGCAAATCAATGCCGCCACCGCGATCCAGTCGCGTCTCACGTGCATCTATTGTACCTCCCAACGGCATCCCCGAGCCCGTTGCCAAGATGCTTGTGGAATGCTGCAGTTGCAAGTTCTTGCACGACATGCCGAGCAAAGTCTACGAATGTATGGCCAAGCCCGATAGCATGGTGGAGGACCGGAAGCTGGGGGTCAGCGGACTCATCTCCACGACGGTGAAGTGTCCATGGTGCGCTCACGGAATGACGACAAACTGTTGCGCAGGATATGCGGCAGTGATCTATTTGAAGGAGAAATTGCACTAAAAGTAAGGGGCAAAAGAAACACGAAGTAATGCAAGTTTGAAAAGGATAATACGACGATCGGGCTATACACTTGCTCTTTTTGCGATTGAGCTCCTACTGAGCCGGAAGGAAAATAAGGAACGAAAGTAGACGACGGGAAGCGGACAGTAATCATACTTGCCTGGCAAGTTTGTGTAGAGAATTGTATCATAGGGAGACTACATATCATCAGCCAGCTCTATGGGTGGAGACTGACTCGAGAAACCAATACACCCATTAGTTGTTACAGTTTTTTTCTTCTTCTTTTTTTTAGCTTTTTTTTTTTGGAATTCAAGTGACATCAAGTGAATATGTGATCCGATGTTCTCTTATCTTCATCTCATTATGGCCGTGCCTTGTCAGTCACTCAACCAATCATGCCGTATCGTTGAGGACCTCGGTTTCCTGATTAGGCCATGTCCCGAGTTCGAGAACCGCCCCGCTTCGCTTCTCCGTGTCGGATACGTAGTAGTAGAGAATATAAGAATCGGATTACGACTCGGGAAAACTAAAATGGTATCTCGGATGTGCTGTGCCATCTATCTATCCCCTCAAGCCCCATCATTGCAAAGGAAAAGAAAATAGAAAAGCAGGAAACCCTCAGAAAATCACTGGTAAGAGCTCGACCCTCCCGGACGCCCACTCATCTTCAAACTCTCCTCCATCGCCCTCCTCAGCTCCTCATCCTCCTCCTCATCAGCATCCGCCGCCACATCGCGTCCCTTGCCCTTTGACGCATTCCGTCGATACTCCTCCTCGGCAAGGCTCTGCTTCTTGACGTACTCCATCACGACATCCTCCTCCGTCCGCGCCGCGGCGTCCTTGTTCTGCTGCTCTCGGTGCGCGGCTTCCGACGCTTCAATCGCCTTGCGAAGTTCCTCATCCTCGTTTGTGTTTCCCTCCACGTGCTGCCTCTTGGATTCCTCCAGGATCCGCTGCAGCTCCTCGTCATCTTCGTGTGCAGGGGGTTGCTGCTGGGCAATCCGGGACTGCTCGAGGGCGCGCTGGAACTCTTCGTCATCGCCGTGCGATCCCTCGCCCGGCTGTACTCCCGCGGCTTTGAGAGACATGCTCTGGTTGATGGCCTCCTCGATGAGCCGCTGGTACTCCTCGTCGGTGATCTCCAGCTCGGCGCTCGTGAACGGGTCCTGGTCCTGGTTCTTGGCGTCTCTGTCGAGGGGCGTGGCCTTCTCGGCACGTATGTCAGGAACTCCGGAGCTGCGGAAGTGATTGACACTTGCGCGGATAGCCTGCTCGACCGCGGCGTCTTCTTCAGCGTTGCCGCGCGACGTTTCTGCGACGGATACACGGATGGCGCGCTCGAATTCTTCGTCCTCGGCGGCACTCATTGAGCTAGGCTCTGAAAGCGACAGATCCGACCTCGAGGAAGGAACAACGGCCTCGACATGACCCTTCTTCCACGCTTCCTTTCGAGCATGAAGCTGTTTCCTTTCCTCAAAGGACAGTTTTCTCGTGTGGGCCCAGCCCGTGACCGGGGCCGTGAGACTCTTCTCGGGCTGTCCGTAGGGGCCTTCGCCTTCGGCCTTCTGCTTCTCTCGCTGTTCCTTCAGCTTCATGGCCTGGAAGTTCTTGAGGTCAAATTTGACATTGTTCCAACGCACAACGACGTCTTCGCGCTCCGCAACACTGGCGCTTTCCATGTCCATTTGTCCCTGCTTCATGCGAGACGCAATGATGTAGTTCTGGACACTGCTAGAAAAGGCGTTCCGGAGAGTTGCATGGACACCTTGCATGGTGTACGCGGGGACGGACCATACAGCTGTATCAATTAGCAACAGTAATTCTTAGTATAGTAAGGAGTTTGGCACGAGGTATAGCACGGATTCAACTCACCAGATGCGGGCTTGAGAATCAAACCTCCAATGCCCTTGCCGAAGCCTTTGATGAGACCTATCCCACCTTCCTTCTCAGCGCCCTTGAGCGGCTGAGTAACAAGCCCACCGATGCCGTCAAACATGCCATAGCCGAATTCCTTGGCAGCTATTCTGATACCGCTTGCCAAGTCCGTCACCTTCTCGGGCGGCCGCACAGTGTCATCATTGTACAATCGAGGGGCATTCCGGAAACCCCTTGCCAAGCCGAGACACACGTTCATTGGTGTCTTCACACCGGTAGTAACGATGCGACTAACGCTGGTCCCAGCTGCTACGGCAGCATCGACACCCACGTTTGCAGGCATCGATTCTTTGAACGACCTCTTCGCCGGACTGTTGGGTGGTCTTACTGATTGAGTTGTTGACGCATGTTCTGATGGAGTAGTTTCGCTACGAGCAATCGACGCACCATCGGGAGGGCTGAAAACCATGGATGGAGCAGTGGAAGCCGTCTGAGACTGGGTTAACGACGCCGAGTCTGGCTGTGGAGACTGCGGCAGCGTTGGGGTAGAGCCCTCCATTTCCATGAGGCCCAGCTGTGTCGAAGACTCCGATGCGTGCGTGCTTGGAGCCGTAATTGATGCCTTTTCGCTCTGGTGTAGAGATTGCTTACTTGAGCTCTGATGAAGAGACTGCTTGCTCGAGGAGGCTTCCGTGAGGGAGGGTGTAGAAGGCTCAGGCGTCTTGTCTCCTTTGCTACGGCTCTTGAACAGCTCTCTGGGGAAATCGGCTACAGCCATACCGATACTGCTAAGATCTGCGACGAGCGACGTTGAGACTGCGGAAATAGGATCCCACGGCTGGCCCTCTGTGATGTACTCCTTGGGCCGGTAGCTGCGAAATGTTAGTTTTCACTTTGTGTGGAGTGACTAAGGGGGCGCGAGTACTCACAGCTTGAGATCAGAATACTTGATCAGGCCCCTTTCTACCAATACCGCGGCAGCCATGGGGCTTAGACGGACCTTCGTCCTCCTTACACGCCAAGCGGCCGCCCGACTGGGCTCAATAGAGCACCTAAGTTCGTCGGTGTCCAAGTGATCGTGGAAGCTCTTACCACCCAAATCAGTACCCTTCTCCTCGCGAATCTTGTGACCAAGCTCCTGGGCTCTGGCCTGTGTTTCAGGCTTGATGGCAAACTTAATGGCCTCCGCGAGCTTGTCTCCCGTGAGATCCTTGTAAGGAATGGGATCCGGCCCAGCACCCGCCCTCGAGACCATGGCTCCCCAGAACGGCTGGTCACCAAAGAACGGCACAATGATGGTGGGCTTGCCTGCCTGGATACCTGCGGCAGTCGTTCCTGCGCCACCGTGATGACAGACGGCCGACACGTGCTTGAACAACCAGTCGTGGGGTACATTGCCCAGCATGAAGACCCCTTCCGGAAGCCCAACATCTTCCGCACCTAGGCCGCCCCAGCCCTTGGAGACCAGCGCGCGTACGCCTGTCTGATGAACAGCATCGAAGATCATCCTGGTCAAGGCATTCGGGTCATCAACCACGATAGAGCCAAATCCAATGTAGACGGGAGGTGGCCCAGCAGCCAAGAACGCAGCTAGATCAGGTTCTGGAGTAAACGCCGAGGCCAGGTTCAAGAAGTAGAATCCTGAAATGTCGATCTCGCGACCCCAATCGTTCGGTTTAGGAATCAGTGCCGGAGACCAGCAATACGTATAGGGGATTCTTAATCTCGTCAACACACCCGGGGCCCAAATCAGCGACATGGGTTCCAGATCCAGCGCCTTGTCTCTGAACCTATTGATGACGTCGCCGAGGCCCTGCCATGTCATCATTTCAACCAACGCGTAGGAAACATAGTTGGTCATGACCGTGTCGGTGTTTGTCGACTGAATGTTGGCCAGCGGGTGAGGGAAAGCGCGCGTAGGCGTCCACGGCATAGTGAACATTAGGTGCAACGGAATGCCCATCTTCTCCGCTATGTGAATATGCGCAAAACTTGGCGGGTTCGCAATGATGGCATCAGCCACGAAAGGTTTCTGCGTCGGGTCCCCAGGTATTCCATAGTGCTCGTCCAGCGGCTGGTCCTTGGCATGCGGTTTCGGTGGCGGACCCAACCCGTTGCCCGCCTCGATACACGAGCGCCAGCACCCGAGCAGAATATCTTGAATTCCCCTGCGGCGCTTGCTAACCTCTCCGCTCTTGAGCGTGTCGAAGCCGGGCATCAGACCGGGGTTCTTGACCATGAAGGCCATGAGCTCGGCGGGGTCGCCACCGATGCAGAAGAACTCGAGCCCATTCTCCTCAACAAACTTTTGGAACGTCGCGTGCGTGGCTATTCGCACGCGGTGGCCGTAGGTATCTTTCAGCACCTTTCCGAGGGCGACAAAGGGCTGGACGTCGCCTCGTGAGCCGACAATCTGGATAACGACGTTGAGCTGAGGGGGAGGGGTCTGGCCCGGCTGGCCTCCGAGACTCGGGGGGATGTAGGCAGGAGGCAGGGGGGCCTGGGGTCGCTTGTCGGCGAGAAGCTGGTTTCGTAGCGTCGGGGCGAGGATCTCGGCCAGGCGGTTGCCGCTCTGGTTGATGTTAATGTTGACTCGGCCATCCCCTAGTAGTACTTGTCAGCGAATCCTGTGGTGTGAGCGACGTTGGTGGTAGGAGTTGGACGTTACCTGTTACATTGGCGCCGGCTTCGAAGCCCGCCTGGTTGAACTGCAGCTGATCGGGAAGGTCACCATAGGCCGGCGGGGCCTCGGTCTCGGCCTCCAGTGAAGGCAAGCTGAATCCGTCAGAGACGAGGGCGTCGGGAACCTCAGCGCTGTCCGTCCTGTTGAGGTTCAAATCGCTGGGCCGTCTTGGTGGCGGGGGAGGGGCAGACGAGCTCGCGCCCGCTTCTGGGTTCTTGACGACCGTCATTGCGGGGAAGGTCAACTCTTCGACTCGTCAATCGAGGGGGGAGCAGGACCAGTGACGATGTCGAGTGGTAACGGAATTTTTTTTTTCGAAAGTTCAGGTCATCACGGGGTGGCTGGTCGCAGATAGAAGCGGCGATGTTCGTAGCTATTGTAGTGGGATTGTGGACGTTTGAGAGCTTTCGATTGACAAGGGCGCCTTCTCACCAGCGCAACAAGCTTAGTGACACAAAAGAGGGGCAAGCAAGCGTGGCAAGATAGGCAGTTATGCGTGTGGGCAATTATATTGCTGAACAGGATTGTTCTTGAGTTGGGTTATGGGAAGATAGAGAATATTTAGAAGGTAGGATCAGGTGCAGTGACAAGCGAGGTGCTGGAGCGAAGGCTGGCAGCATAAGTATTCAGCCCCGTTTCATCATCGGAGCCAAAAGCTGAGATGATCAAGCTCGTGAGAAAGACCCTGGAGCTTCAGTGGGTTCGAGGGTCAGATTAGAGGTGGGGTGGGTGCGGATAAGGGGGCCACTAGCGACGTCTCCGCCAGGCTTCGCAGATTCCCAGTGGCCTCCACTGCCTTGTAAGGTGAAGCAAATGGGCAACCAGGAGGAGGGAGGTAACCCATATGAGCACCGCCCTACGCAACCATCCGAAAAGTTGCATCAACAGGTTCAACGCCTCAGTTCAAGCGAACTGGACTGGGGCGACTGGCACGGGGCGCTCCCGGCTTGAATCTCCATGGGACGGGGGAGACAGAGCTATGACGTCCACCTCCCTCTTTGCAGCATCATTCGTCCAATGGCTTGAGGACGTGGGGGAGGAGAGGCGTTGAAGATCCTCCAAGAAAGATGGCATCGGGTAGGCCAATGACGGGATGCTTTTGATGGGACGATTTCGAGGAGGGCCAGCTGGACCTGGTTCTGGAACCCCGCACAGCCACAAGACTCAAGACCAAGAGGTGATGGGTTTGGAAGACAAGGGAGGGCCCGCTCATTCAACACGCGTCTCAGGCACGAGATAATGTCTATGGAGTAATCCAGTAGAGGTTTTAAGGAATGTTTCGACGTTTGAGCGACGGGCCTACGTTTACCGTTAGGCAGCGACTATAAGTTGTCTTCCGGTTCGCTGGTCAGTTGTAGTCTTGGTAGGATACTTTCAGGGGGACCAAATAAAGATGGACCAGGGTCCGGGTCCGGGTCCGAGGGACGCGTGGAAGCGTGGAGCGTTGGCTGTACGGTCATGATCCTATTCTCCGGTCCCAGGGCAGCTCGGAGGTTGCTTGCGTCGAGGCAACGGTCATATGAGACATCTGAGAGTCAATGGTATTGAAAGTTGACCGCCTATTTCATACCCATGAGAAGGTTGTTATTAAGAGTCAAGGCTCTTTGCAGTTGGAAAGAGCCTTTTGACATTAGGCGGGATCAGTCCAAGCTGATGGTTCGTCAAAGGCGTACTATATAAGTAGGTATGGCCCGCGACTATTTTCCGGGTTACAACAGGCCCCCAGGTTGAGAGTCGAGTGGTGTAGAGTGCGGCAATGCAACACAAAAGTCAATCAGGCAACAATAAACTCTTCAACTCCACAGGCTATACTTACAGAACCTACATCTCATCCATCGTCACCAGAATCTACTCGACCAGCAGCTTCACATATTCCTAGGTGAATACGACAAAGGTAAGGATGAGAATAAGCAATGAAAGTATTCAGTAGACACTGAGTACAAAAGCAGGAACAAAAGGGATGAACAGCAAGTTAGGAACACCAAAAATAACTACCACAAACCTGCAAAAAATTCGGTTCTCCCCTTCCAGAATCGAACTAGAGACCTTTCGATGACAACGTAACCATTACAGTCGAACGTGATGAACCAACTACACCAAGGGGAGGAAGACAGCTAAGCTGCTCTCGGTGAATCGCTGCAGGTTTCTGGCAGGTTTGCAAATAAGTATCCATCCGCGGTGCTTTTGTGCGCGGGTGGATAACAGAGTGGCCAACCGAGTCATCAGCAAGAGAGTGGGAATTGGCTGACAAAGATTATATGGGGAAGGAGATTCGGGTTGGTGGGGACGGGCATTTCCTCCAATTGCAACTTACCGTGGGCACGCGCACGCGGGACCTCTCTAGTCACCTCCCAAAATGAGTTCGGAAACTGGCTTCCTCTCACGTGTCCCCGTGCGACACTGGATGAACGGCTATTGAACCGAGCTCGGTTTCTGCTAACTCAGGACACAGGAAGCCTTCATCTTTCTGTGCAGAGTTCTTCGGAGCAATTGGTGCTGTAGAAAGACTCTCGATTATCTTCGAGAGTAATTCGTCCACCACAATCCCATTGCCTCCACCTCTCCTCAAGTCGCCATTGTGGGACGGTGGATCGAGCTTCTCGCCTGTGCAGTCATCTTCCCATTGAGCTCAGGGTCACCGCATGGGTAGTCTGGACCAGCTCGTAATCGAACTTACTGGAACTTTGACATCTCTGCCTGGCCAAGATTTGAAGACTACAGCTTCGTGGAGTAATAATCACTGTCCTTAGTCAGAGATAGCACAATGTTGGGTTCCAGAAGTCATGTTGAACTATCTGGACTAGAAGCGTAATAAAATGTAAAAAGAGGTATAATACAGCGGCGCGCATCAGTCATGCTCTCTGCCTCTTCAACCAAAGTACTCCCCCTCTCGAGCACAAGCAGGCACTCCACTGTCCATTATCGTCAAAAGGTTGCTTTTGTGTTGTTTTTTGATACCAGATGCCACTTCCTCGCATATCCCAAAAGCAGTCTGTGCCTTTGCAGACACACCTCTCTTTCTTTCTTTCTCGTCGCAATGGCATCCCTTTAGTTTGGGTTATGGCAGCATCACCATTGCTTTTGCGATTCCTCACAAAGCTGTGTGAGCATCATCCAAGGCTAGCTTTTGCATCTCTCCTGATCGTCTTCTCAGGTCGCTTAAGAGGAGAACTTGCGGGTGAGCTTGGCAATGACTGTTGCGTCGTTGGGTCAGCTGACTGCTCTATTCAAGGAGTGATGAATCCATGGGTCAAACTTACTGTGAAGGGCGACAACGCTGAAAATGAAAACAAGGGAAAGAACGAGAACAACGACGGGGTCGACCTTGAGGCCGGGAGACTCATCGGTGTAGAGTCCTATGTAATAAGGTTAGCATTCATTTTCTTGAGGATCAATTGAGCTCCTTCGCCTCCAATTCTTCTCGGTTCCAACCACTTCGCCAACATCCACCACACCATCCCTGAGAGATTGAAGGACATGTCGATAGGATGGGAACGTACTCAGCATGGTGCTGCTGCTACCGCCAGCACCGGCAGCTCTCGTGCTGTTCGGCCGCGCATTCGCAATCTTCTCCTTCTGGTCGGCAGCCGCGCGGCGACGGATGGCGGTTCTGGGACCGCCGGGAGGAGTAGGCGAGGAGGGACGCGCGACGCTGGCGCCAGAAGCGGCGGCGCCGGCTCCGTTAACGGGCGAGGAAGGGCGAGGGGAGGACTGCGATGCCACAATTTCAATGTCAGCGAATTGTTCCTATTTGGTCACATCTGTAGGTCTTGCGGCCTCGGCGCGCGCGCATTGTCCGATTGCAATCAGGCGCAGACTCCAATGTTGGCAGCTAGTGCTCAATGCCCCAGAGAGTCGCGTGCGATGTGGTAAAGTGAAGCCACGACATACGGTTTGGCAAGGGGGAGCTCCGAGGGACCAGCCTGGCCATTACCGTCGGAAGAAGGATAACTAACCATTGTGAAGGAGTGTGACGAGGGACAAGATCCAAGATCGCTGCAGGATACTCGGAAACCAGGAGAATTCGTTCGAAAAAGTCGACGCGGGAAGAAGAATCGAAGTTCGGAAAGGGTGGTGTGGGATGTGGATGGTCGGTCGGGAGGGCGTGATGATGGGAACTCAAGCTCTCTAGAGGGTCGGGGGTGCACCTGCGCTCAAAAGTGGCAGAGTTGAGGCCACAGTTTTGGAAAGGGGACCAGCTGGGCGCCGCCCAGGGGATTTTCCGACCCGACGTTCCAGACCCCCCTGGGGCGGCGAACATACCTTAATGGGTGGCTGCTCAGCATAGCGGGCTAGCGGCTCCAAGAAACGGGCCCCTAATCCTGGCACGACCAGTCAAGTTCACCACCTGAGATTATGGCATACATGGTCATCCTGTCCTTGCGAAATGCAGATGCAGTAATTCGTCGTAGCACATGCTTTCCTCCCTTTCACTGCGCCCTTTAGAAAAATACAGTTAAGCGCTGAGAACCTTGTGAATGCTTTCAATTGAATTTGAGGGTACTGTATATCTAGGAAGCAGCCGCGTTCTGCAGCTGAAAGCTTCCATCTGACGGCGCCAGCTTATGCAGCGCATGGTGAAATACAACACAACGCAACGCTTTCCTGCAACAGCGCTCTCCTTATCGACAATTGCCGGCTATAAACGCAGGAAGATGAAATGTCTGCTTGCAGACTCCCGGAGAATGGTGGTAGTATGGGGGTAGTGTTAGTGGTGGTGGTGATGGTGGTGGAGGGTACAATTCAGACATAGAAAATGAACAAAGGGAAAACAAAATCCTGCCACGTAGAGGGCATCATCCCCTTCAGATTCCAACACGAGGACCCATGGTATTCCTAGCCGCCTTTTTGTTCTTCATGATGACTGGTCTTCGACAGACAGATATCTTTCGTTGGGTTCCTCAACCGCATTATTCGAACAATGCCGACGAAGAAGCACCAGGTGGCAGAAATGCCCCAGCTGCCCCAATTCGGCCATCCCAAGCTCCAAAGTGCCCTGGCTTTTTTTCCCTTTCCGATCCCGAGGTTCTTTGATGGAAATTGTCATCCTCGCGGTCCTTTGAAATGCGGCCATCGAGCTTTGCTGCATGAAAGCCGCCGTGAGCTGGCTCAGTGGTCTGGTACCTCCACCATGCTCATTATAAGGTAAGATTAGACAGTGATACATCTACACCTGCTGGAAACGAACCATCTCAACCCAAACGCCTGCCGCTATGATGGGACACGCGGTCCTGCAAATTTCTTCGGAGGTGATGAACGAAGAAAAGAAATTGGTATCTTTAGCTTCAAAGTGTAACGTCGAGAACCAGGCTGACGTCCTGGACATCCGACTTTGCGAGGTCTTCTAGAACGGGAATCAAGTCCAGCAGCTCATTATCGTGCGCGTCTGAAAACCAACTGCTAATGGGAACGGCGTGCTGGGGATGGAAAATGTACGACGTGGGAGAGTTGTCGATGATGATGGTGTCCTTCAAGTCTCTTCCCACCTGGGAAAGATCCTTGACATAGTTTCCTTGGTGATTGTAGCAGCTCTCGCGGAAAAGTCTGTGGTGAACGACCTTATGGATATCGAGCTGGTCTAGCAGCGGGTCGCCGTACTTTGGATGGGTCAGCATACAGAATCAAGTGATTGGTTGAGGAGGACGGTCTTACCTTTGAGACTGACGCAGTGAAGACCACCACTTCATAAAGCTCGCCAACGCGCTTCATAAACTGATCCACACCTGGTCTCTTGATCACATAGACATTATGATAATTGCCCTCGATCTCGACGGGGATAGTGAAATCGGCTTGGTGGAGAATCTGTAGATTTATGAGCATTTTTGTGGGATAGAGCCAAAAGTCAGCATCATTGCTTACCTTGAATGAACTGTGGACCAAGGTCTCGTCCAGATCAAGCACGAGACATTTCTTGCCCTTGAACTCAGGTGCAATGGGTGGCAGCAAGAACTTTTGCTCTGGAATGGCCTCATCGATAGGAGCTGATACCGGCGGGTTCGGAGGAGGGGGCGGCAGCTGCTGGCTAGTCGGCGCGTCTTCTACCGGGGGCGGTATTTGGTGCTTCTCTTCGGGCTCGGGAGTCGCATCGGGCATCGCCTCGTCTCCCTCGGCATCTTTCTTGTCTGCTTCCAGCACTGGCGCCTCCTTGGTCTTCTCGCCAGTAGTCGACTCTACCGTAATCGCGGGTGCAGCACTACTAGCTCCGGCGTTGCTGACGACGTTTTGCTTGGATTCGCCAGCTTCTCCGCCAACAGTAGAATCATCGGCAGTCGTTGCTCCGGACACACGCTTGCCTTTGTTTTCGGTTGCCGTCATTGGCTGCTCGGGCTGCGGCTGCTTCTCCTGAATTTGCGGCTTGTTCGAAGGAGGTTGCTGGTCCTGCGGGGTGGGCTGTCGAGACTTGGCGGTCGTTGGTCTTGCGGGCAGCTTGTCGAGCTTGTGGACAGCGTCGTCGCCGTTCTCAATCGCGTTCGCGTTGTCGGGGACACCGCAGCACCCGAGGAGGGCGAAAAGCCCTCCTTTCTTCTTCTTCTGAGGGGGGTTCACGGGAGAATTCGGTTGCGTGTTGCCGGGGGTGTTGGTAGGTTCGGTTTCGATGCCGGATCGGTGGCTGCCGACACTGCCATTTCGATGGCGTCCTAGAAAACTACCCTTGGACTCCTTCGAACGTCCGCCGATGCTGTTTCTCGAATCGCTGACTGTTGCTCCGCTCAGCCCTGTCGACGTCGGGGAGGATTGATTGCGCTGCGAGGAAGACCGAGACGGTACATGCAGGAAGCCCCTACCCTTCTTTGAATTTCCACCCTCCTCTGGCGCCAGAAGCACCTTTTCTTTGGACATTTCTTGACTCGACTGGCCGTTTTGCTGAATCTGTGGTGTGATTTCGTCTGGGTTGGATGGTTGTGGTCTCTCGGACATGATGCTGTCGAGCTAGAGCAGGGAGGTGGTTAGCCAAGACGTTCAAAGCAAGACCAACGGTTCTGCATGAATCAAGCGACGATGCCCAGGAGGGGCTGAACAGCACCAGTAGGCTCAATTAGATCAATCATGACACTACCGCCTCTGCCTCTCATTCCAAGGTCTAAGACATGACCGAGGCCGTGTTTGTCGACTGGTGGCCATCCGAGACGGAGCAAGCGGTGCGCGTGAACGTGGGCTAGGACCAACAGACGAGCGAACATGCCTCTTCCCTCGGTGAGGCGGTGTGTCGCGCGAGCACGAGATTGATGGTGGTGAGGGTGCGTCGAGGACTCAAGCAGAGTTGAACATGGAGTGTCGTCACTCACCTCCTATCTTCTTGGGGATCGGCAAGCCTTCCCAGAATCCTCAACCCCTTAAGTGAGCTGTTGTCGGCCGTAAAAGGCCGGTTCGCAAAGCTCGTCACGCGGTCCGAGGTGAAGGAAAATTGTCGGAAAGTAAAAGATCGACGCGGGTAGGCGATGGATGGAATGGAAGAGGAGGAAAGGCGACGTCCCGGTGAGGTTGTCGGTCGAACGCGGAGAATGGAAGATGGTTTGGGCTCAGTCGCGCAAGAAGCGGCGCCAATGGAATGACTAGGTGGGCGAGGCAAAGTGGCTGGGCCTGGGGGGGCAATGGTTTACGGCGGCCAGTGTCAGTTGGAGTCGGTCCCAAGGCAAGGTCGTAATGGTTGGCGGTGGTAGTGCTCGAATCAGATGGGAAAAAAGTGGGCGAGAAGAAAGCGAGCGAGCGGTTGCAGGGAATAGCAAGGTACGTCGCGGAAGAAGTTAAGGTTCGCTGGTAACAGGTGAATGGGTTGGCCTTTTTGGAAAGAGAAAAAAAGAGGCAGATATCGAATATCGCTCGAATGTTTTTTTTGAGGGACGTGGCCGGCCGAAGAGGTCGGGAACAACGAGTTTGGCGAGTTTGATGATGCGTGAAAGAAGTCGAGGGACGAAGAATGGAGCAACGGCAAGGAGTGCAAGGAGATTGGAAATTGGGGGGGGGGGGAGGGGGGTTAGTGAAAGAGAGGATGGGAGAGACGGGAGAGTGAGAGAAAGGATAAGCGAGAGAGAGCGAGAGCAAGAACGAGAGCAAGAGAGCAGCAGCAGAGCCAAAAAGCAAAGCTAACAACCCCAAATGGCCAGTAGAAAGACAAGGCGTCGGCGGCGAGAAGAGGAAGAGAGCAGATGGCAGCCAAGGGCCCGGGGGTGGTGAGAAGTGAGGAAGACTGGCAAGACTCAAGAGGACGACGTATCAGAGGCTGAAAGAGCGTCAAAGGCACAAGCGAGATGATTTGCCTTTGAAAGCAACACTTGGATGGGGTCTACGGGGAGGGCCAGGGGCTGGCCCGTGTCTACAGGTGCAGATGAAGCTGGGGGGGGCCGCAGCTTGAAGGGAACGGAGCCTGGGAGACGAAGAGAAAGAGAGAGAGGATGGATCACGGAAGAGGGAGAGACCAGGGATGCTACGAACAGCAACGAGCTAATGGATACATACAATTACACCAGAGAACACCCACCGAGTGAGAGAGCAAGAGGCCTGGAAGGGTGTGTGGGTGGATTTCCCGGTGAGATTAGCCCGTCCCGTCCTGGTTAAGAAGAGGCCGGGCTCGAGAGATGGGGAGCGATAGGGGGTTTCCAAAGATCACAGTTGACAAGACATATTGATACTGTTGAAGCTTGTGCAGAGGATACCTACCCAAGGTACTCCGTATCTTAGGTAATGTATGGATACGCAGTAATCAATGCAAATTGACATGGATGATAATGGCAGCAAGTGAGTCCGAGTGACGTCTTTCCTGCCTCGAGATTGAGAGTGGATCCACTGGATCCTCCCACCTGCACTGACCACGTGAGTAGATCCGCACTGTGCCCTACACCAGACGACTATCGCGCCGCATCAGACGCCATGTCTCATCTCCCATTTCTCTCCCATTGCCGTGCCGCCAAGCTCATATTACAGAAATCTCCATGGTGGGAACACAAGCAGAGTCCATCCCGGCCCATCACACGCTTCGCAAGGAGCTAGAGCCTGAATTGGTCCAATTCGTAAAGTGAGATGGGCGACCGCGATACCCTCTTGGACCTCGATCGATGGGTCTGCCATTCGCTTTGGGAAGCTATTCAGCCAATGCTGGATGCACCAGCACAAATCTCGTCTTCAACCTTCGGTGATACGGAGTACTGCCACCAGCCATGCCATACCTGGATCGTGGAATCCAGGGTGTCGAGTCGTCGAGTCGAGTCGAGCAGAGAGCTACGGAGCTGCTGGCACAGGCACCGGCACTGGCGCGGTAGCCGTTCCTGGAAAATCCCCTCGGGCACCGTCAAAGAAGCTGCGTCTGTCAGAGAGATTACCTCGTGTCCTTGGCTCTTTGTTGAGCCCATCACTCGGCATCCCAGTGCCGTCATTTCGTTTTCTCACAGTTCAACTAACTCTTTCTTCAAGAGCAGACACACAAACGAGATAGCACAGGCAACTTGCAAGCAAAGATGGGACCCATAAATTACGCCCCCAGTGCCCAGGAACAATTCCAACGACGACAGAAACATCAGAAAACCCACAACCCGGTCTGTGAGCTAAAGAGAAGAACAACATCCCTGGCACGCCTATCCGAACTCGTTCCGTGCTCCATCGCCTTCACAGAGAAAGACATTCTGAGGGGATCTTGTCTGACTGAGCTTGAGTCTCACTGTACACAACCTGAGTCTGTTGCCTACCAAGCAATTACCCACGAGTCTTGCTTGCCCCCGTCGTCGCATCAGATGCCTCTTGGCTTATTACTCTACCTTCCACGCCTGACGCCTCAAGGTGCCGCCTGCCTTGCTTGAATCAGCTTCCAGAGTAAGCACCACGCGCAAGTGCCAAGCGCAAAGTGGGTGCTGCCGCCGCCGTCGTCTCCTACTTGGGGCCTACGGGGGAGTGGTCTGGTCTAACGCCAGACCATCGCAGGGTAAACTCAGCCGGGCGGCCGTTCTCCTTTAATGCGTGCGCCGCCCGGGTCCCCCATCAAATAAGACAATTGGAACAAAAGGCAAAGACGAAAAAAAAATACAGTCTCGACCTCGTCCCGATGCGCGACACCACCATCCATCTGCTAGCCCCCCAAGGGCCCCAGCACCCCCCTCCACTTCTTCTGATGCGGGTAGCAGATGGGGAGCTCTTCTAAGATGAGTGGCCGGGGTTTTCCATACTGCAGACTTTAAAGCCCAGAGTACGAAGCACAGAGACGGAGAGCTCGAAGCACTGCTGGGCGGATGCCAGCTGCCATTTGCTTAGCGCATGAGCATATTGGGCGGTTGGAGTTTGCCTCATCCATGTCGTCTTCCGTCTGATATTCCCCGCGCATGCTATTGTTGCACACAGAGTTGAGAATTTCATCTGAGTGAGAGTGAGTGCTCGTATGAGATTGAGGATACCTTTCCTCCCGAACCCTCACGCAGCTAAGCTAGGTAGAAGAAACACCACTACCTTACGGTTACTTCTCACTCACTCGTCCTAACCAAACCTCCCCCCAAAAGCTCGCCCCCCTCGCAAGCCTGGCGATGACGGTTGGACAATCACTTCACTCTCTCAAGCGCTCATCGAAAAGCATCCCAGACATTCCAGAACCATCACCCCGTACCGATTCACAGCCGCAAAGAACGTCGCCGACCAACCAGCATCCAAACAAGCTCATGGGGGCAAGATCCAGACATCCCAGACAAACTCATCCCTGGACCGCTCTATCCTCATTGGCCATGTTACCGCCCGATTGAGTGACGGATCTGGTTGGGCAGGCACACATTCACTCACACTACGTATTCAGTGCTCACTCACTCATTCACACACTCCCATACAGTACGGATACTAGGTAAGGTACTCCGTACCACCAACCTTGGCCCTCTCTGCCTTTCTCATGCATCCCCATCCCACATTGTCGCCAAAAAGTGAACTGGACAAATAAAAAGAAGAGTCCCAGCTTTCCAAGGCACTGGACGCAGGACGGTATGCAGGACGCAGGCTTTGGGCCACTCACGCACCGCGCAGCAGGGGCGCTCTCATGCAAAAGAGGGAAATACCGCCGCCAGGGGAAGGGCTTCCCGATTCCGCACCCGCTGCGACCTGGGGCCTTTGACAAGAAAAACCACACCGGGATGACCCCCCGAAAGGTCCCCAAAGCAACGTTTTCCCAACGTGGATGTCTTCGCGCCGGATTCTGTGCCAGTCGGGTCCACCGCAAAAGTTGCAATCCGCAATTTGAACCGCAACACCTTCCTCCTCTCTGTCTTTCTGAGATCTCTTCCAGGTTCTCATAGTCGAGAGATATGTTTTCCCGTATCTAATTCCTCCCCGTTCATCCGTTGAGCAGCTTACTCCCCTAGTCTACATCCCCTCCCCTGCTGGCCAAACCACCAGAGTACCCAAAGTCGCCAGATGTTTCTCAGGTGGCTGTATTCTCCCAAGGAAAAAAAGAGATTGAAAAAAAAAAAAAAAAGAAGAAGAAGAAACAAGACACATCCACGGTGCCGCCTGCATTGACCGGAAACGGTCTCGGCATGCATCTCCCCGCCGCGCGTAAACATGGGATGACAGACTGCTTAGAGTCTTGAGCTCTCTTTCTCTGTCCCTGCCTTTGCTTCCCTTCACCCCCCGTGCCCCCCAGACTCTATTCTACGGAAACAAGCGTCAGAGGTTCCAGAACCCAAAAGGCATTGGCCAGGACACCCACTTCAAAGTCCAGGGCACCACCACCATCACCGCCATAGCCAACTGTACATACTTCAAGACACACAGTGCAAGCCTTCCCTCCGGAGCAAACAAATAAAAAATGCTGAACAGAACAAAAAAAGAGGCTCGTGTGGCGGAGGCTCATGTGGGTGGTGCACCAACGCCGGCGGCATCGGGGACGGTGCGTGGGCCCCACACATTGCCGTGCCGCCGGTTTGTACGAGTAAACTTCCCACTCAATGCAAGATGCTCCTCAGGTATTGTGCGGGGGATGAGCCTCCTTCCGTGGGCTCCCCGTGTGTCTAGCAGTCTACAGACTGGCATTTCAATATTATTGCATCTTATATCTTTTCCCGGCAAAGTGTCAGGCACCTACAGGCCCTACACTGCTGTCTCTTCGACTTGAATTATTTGAATGAAACATGACAGCCCATATAACTGGCCGTGAGTGTATGTGTGTGCATGTCCCTTACTTCAATCCCAAGTAGACTGTCTGCTCACGAAAGCCAACTTTCTTTTCTTCGTTCAACGCCTCCCGCTTCTATTAGGTCATTGTGCAGAGAATGGCTGAGCCAAGTTTCAACTGACAAAATTGAAAATTGTCTCGATAAGACACGCACGCCGGGAACCACAGAGGAAACGGCTACGGATGTTTGACGGTTTGTATTCCCTTTCGGAATACTTGTACTGCTACTGGATGATTCTCTTTTCAGCAAGGAAAGCTATCATTCCTATGGCATGGTGCCGGAAGCTTATGCACGATAATGGGCAGTTGCGGAATGGTGATTTAAGCACAATCCCCAACTTCCCCAAAAGATTACGCAGCTGGCATTCTACTACTCCGTTCACTTGTCCTACCAACCGCACAGCCCACACGCTCACGAACAACAACCTGATATTGGAAAGTCCAGTGGAAGGTGTTGATATCTTCTGTTCTTGGCTACTCAGCCCACCAACGACTCGTCCATCAAAAACCTAAGTGTACAATGTTACCGTACTGTATCGACGCAAACCACCAGTTCAACCTAACAAGAGCCAGCTTCGTCTCTTCTCACGACCTTCGAGCTCTTACAGGAAACATATTTTTGTGTTTAGTCTTATCAAAGCCGCCCTCAGTGAGCCGTCTTCGCTGTGGAGCTTCCTTTATGCTTCGACGAGCGTCGTTTACTCAAGATAGAGCAGACGAAATCTCAGAGAAGGGCGTCTGGGGAGCACTTCCACCCAGTATTTCTCTGGCTGACCGTCTTATATGGATATCAAGCTGTCCAAAGTTCAGCCTGTCTCCGAGAAACGGACACGCCAAATATTCCTCGCCCAGCATTTTCCTCGTCCGTGATGAATCAGGGTCGACTCCAAAGGGACTGAGAAAATCAATCAGCTCTTCCCAAAACTTCAACACAGTTGTTGATCAAACTTACCTGTGCCATAATCGCTTACTATTTTCGGTCAGCAACTGCCACTTGTCTGGGTTCCTTTCATCATCGTTCCTCTCATCACCACTCATAGCATCCCAGATTATCATCGCTGGCCTTGCCAACTCGGTGATGATTTGCTTGACGGGAACGGACGGTTTGATCGAAAAAACAAGTGTCTTGTCGTCAACTTCGAGGAAACCTCTGTGTCCATCGAGAACACGAATGCCCATTTGATTCAAAAGAACCCTGCATTCTGGAGAATATTCTGGTTCTTGCGAGTAGAATTCTAGGT